TTTTGTGCAATCATTGAATTATACCAGTTGAATTTATGTATCTTTTCTTAGGGGATATGGTGCCTTGGTTGGTTATTTTGTGAATCATCCATTGTATACATCACCAAGTGAGTTAGATGATAATTGAAAATGCTCAAATTAGTTTTATTAAATTTTTTTTGTGCACAGAGTAGCTTGTTAGGGCAGATGTCTTTTTTCAGCACTTTCATTTACACAGTAGCTCTTGTAAAAAGCTGAAAAGGCTACAGACAATAGATTGCCATGCTTCAAACATTTCTTATTATGCTAGTCCTCCAACAGCCATACTGACTGTTAGTGCCAGATAAATCACAATATTTTTTTCATGAATGTCTGATTTGATACCAGACACAGTTGAACATCTGCAAACACTCCTCCTGTGAGGAAAATTTTACATTAAGCAGAGGGGAATTGTTGATCCCACCACTTAAACTTACATGTCATTGTCTCACCTGGCTTTGAGATAGATAAAGTAGTTTTGTTACAAAAACTATAAGCTCTGCGACCTAAAAACAGCGTGATTGCAGGTGCCTGTTAATGTGCTAGAATGTAGCAAATTAAGCATGTGATTGCATTTGTGTGCCCATTATCACATCATGCAACAAATGAATTTTTTCATTTGCTTATCAGTGTTTGGGGATGCCCAGATTTATACTGGACTAGTTATGTTCCTGGTGAGTTCTGTTCTCTCTTTTAATTGCATTTGCTCTATAGTTTGTTGTTTTTATTAGAGGGTTGAGTAATTTATATCCCACATTTCAAATTACAAACATTTCTGACCCTTAACAGTCAGCAGGCCTGTCTAACTAATATAGCATTCTCTCAGATTCATCATGGTTGCATCTTTTTTTTTCTCTCAATCATTTCTAGTTCAATGAGTATGGCAACTTTGTCATCCATTGTGCATTGAGGGATTTGAGGCCTGCAGGTAAGTTTGAAGTATGACATGCTGTGTTATAGCATTGTTGCAAAGATGTTCCCTGGATTCATAGGCATAGGCAGTTGTTTTTTTAAGTACACTTAGTACAATTATTAATATCTGATTGGTATTTGGAGAAAGATGTTGTTTCTTTCAATGAGCAAAAAAAGCATGAACCCAGCAGAAAAGCTGTTTAATTACTGGTAGATCTAGAAATTCTTGAGACTATCCTACATAATTTGGTACAGAAAACACTTAGCCAACATTTTTCTGAGTTTAACCGTGATTTCCCCATACACCTTAACATCAGTATGCATATTCTCTCTACTGTTAACTATAAAATTGCTTAGGTCCTGACAAGGAGAATTTGTGAAATGATCCAGAGCTTCTCTAGTTGGTAATCATTCCCTTTATTTTTGTGACGTTAAGGTGCAATTCAGGGATGATATTGTAAGGAGAAATTAGATCCTAGTCACGCTTTCCTGTCAAGAGGTTAAAGTTGTATTTACTCTAATTTTTCTCATTTTTGAAGCTGCTTACTTGCAGGCCAGCTTCTTTAACCCTTTCACTCCCAAGATCCCATGAGTAATTCTCCTTACTGCCTGCTATACAATTCTTATGATGTTAGTCTGGAGAATTTGGTATTGGATCAGCTAATAACCCTTAACTGATATTTTTCTCTATTCTCATCACTTGTCTGCTTGATATTGTATGAATAATGCAGGGAGAAGTTATGTCTTGGTCACTTAGAGAAGTAAAAGGGAAGATTTTACCTGTAAGACTTAGAGTTCTAAGTTTTGTTCCCCTGTTCCTATGCTACAGGCACTAGAGAGAGGAAAATTCCCTTCCCAACCTCCAACCCCTTCACTAAGCTGTTCAGATTCGTCTCCTGTCCAAACTATACTTACGAGGTGAGTAGTGTAATTTATGTTTGTAATTGTGATATGTAGACAGGCTGGCTCTGTTCAGTCCAGAGCTGGTTGAAATGGGGGCCTGTATAAACAATGACAAGGTTAGACCACAACACCGGGAGCTTTTTTTCCTTCTCTTTGCGAGAAGTGTGTGGGTTCTTTAACATCCCCTGAAAACTAACACAGAGCAAAGGCAGCATATTCTCCTATCTTGTTTTAAGACTCTGAGTGTTGGTCCGGTCTGTGGTTTGAACCCTCAACCTTCAGCTAGGCAGTCCGGCGCTCTATAACGTGAGTTAACCAAGTGCTGAATGCTTTAAAGCTAATTTAACAGAATTTTTTAAATTAGTTTTGACTGCGACCGCGCCACCCTCTTAATCCATAAGACTTGCAGCCAAACCAATCTTGACATCTCTTGCTTGACCTTCACCACGTGTGTTTAATTAAATCCCCTTTGGCTTCAATTATCTGTACTTATTTTAGGATCTCCAGTGTTCGTCTGGTCTGGGGCTTGAACCCTTAACCTCCCGTAAGGCAGTTCGGCGCTCTACAACGTGAGCTAACCCAAAGTGCTGAATGCTTTAAAGCTAATTTAACAGAATTGTTTAAATTGGTTTAGGTTGCGACCGCACCACCCTTTTAATCCGTAGGACTTACACTGAAACCAATCCTGACCTCTCTTTCTTGACCTTCACCACGGGTGCTTACTTTAAATTCCCTTTGGCTCCATGTGAGTTTTCCCTTTGTTCTGTTTGGCCATTGTGGTTACCGTCTAAGGCAGGGCGTGAATTTTTTTTTTTTTACTGATAGCCACTTGGCTCCTAAATTCTTCAAATTGGTAGCCAATTCAAAAAAAGTTGGTCGCCATTCTCAAAGACAATCAAAACCTTTTTTTTACGCTGTCATCGTTCTGGAAATTAAGTTAGGGAAAAGATCTTTAACGTGTTACAAAGTGGACACTAGAATGTATAATATACAACGTTCAAGCTCACCTAAATCCAAGATGGTGTCTAGTTATAGATCGAGATGCATGTGCTGCGTTTTGAAAACAAACTTAACGAGGAAGTTTGCCGCGGAGTTATCTTTGCAAATCTTTTTAATTCACTATATCTCTAAGTAAGGTTATGATGAAACATTCTAGTCGCCAATTTGGCGACTAGTTTTCAGGATTTGGTCGCCAAAGTGAAAAATTTAGTCGCATTGGCGCCTGTATTAGGCGTAATTTCACGCCCTGGTCTAAGGTCGGCAGAGGACTCCAAGCCTTTAATTTCTTGCAAAGGGTAGGGAACTTAACCTCTGATTTTGAGATCTGACCTTGTTTCCAAAATTGGGGGCATCTGCAAAGTTTCCTTTAAAAAAATTAATTGGAAACTGCTTAATGCAGTTTGGCGAAAGTCCCCCGCAAAGTGTTGTAAAGCGCATTAGAGCATTAGTGTGGTTGGTGTGCTATATCCACATCACCTCAGGTTTGATTCCCAGACGCTTAATCTGTTGCTATGTCGTCAAATTCTTCAAGATAGCGAGGCTTTCGTTTTTACGGAGTCTCTTCTGATGTATGGAAAGAAGCGTAAGTAGGAAAATATGTTTTTTGCGAAAATGGAGGTGATCTTTTCCCCTTTAACCACGGAAGATAACGCTACTGAATCTCACTACTTTAGAACTCTTGCTTTTTTCCCTTCTACTTCAAAATTTTCGATGAGCAGCAGTTCGCAATATGACTTTACCTCGATGATAACGCTAACAATAACGATCCCGCTAACAATAAAGATCACGCAACAATAACGATGAAAATAACGATAACGAATATGGTGTTTCTCACCCAGGTTGGTGCTTGGACGTCATTTGCTGTGATGACTCAGACCTTGTCAGGTAGGTGACCGACTTGTGTGGCACTGGCAGTGTCTTTTTCTCTATCCAGAAGACTTGAATGTTTCGATAATGTTTGCTCGAATCAAGTTTCGAGCAAACATGTTTGCCAACGCGAACTGCGTGTGCACGCGCATCTCCTCTGATTCCGTTTACTTCAAATTCACCATTAGCATTGTTTAACAAAGGGGTCACTGTGGTTTCGTGGCTTGCGCGCGAGACTCTCTATCAAGAGGTCTGGGTATGAGCCTTATTCTAGTCATGTTACTCTCATAATGCCTCTGTCTACCCAGGAGTGTACATTTGCACCGGTGAACTTTGAGACAAACTTAACGGAATTCGGGTAATGGGGTGGGGGGTAACATACGATGGGTACACATCCCATCCTGGGAGAGTAGTAGCAGTTCTCTTAGTCGGGTAACATTTTGAAAATTGGTATGAGCTCTTGCCTAAGTGTGACTGTGTAACTCCCCGTGGAGAAAACGTTTGAGAGGTCAGGGTTCGAGCCCTAGTCGAGTGGAGACTCCTTTTTAACGCGTTTTTTTTCCGTTGCAGTTGTCCTTTTCCTCTTGGCCGGATTCTATCAGATGTCCGTCTGGGCTATTGGCAAACATCGAAACTATCGAAAAGAATTTAAAGATTATCCTAAAGGACGAAAGGCAATTTTACCTTTTCTGCTATAAACATCTGGAGGGAACTGTTCCCTCGAAAGAGATGAACAACCGTCATGTTGGGATTTATTTAGTGAGAAACCAAAGATAGAAGATTTCATCCCTGATAGTTACCACAAACTTAAGGAAATTTTCCTTATTACATCATTACCTTTTAAAGAAGGAAGAAGAGAGAAGAGAAAATTTCTAACTTGGGGATATTATGTGATTTGACTATAAGTTCTCAGAACTGAAATTTTAAGAAACAGTAAGGGAGAGTTACTATTTAGTTCTAGGGGTGAAAAGGTTATATGTAATTCGATGTAATGCGTCAAGACTTTGCCGAGGAGAACTTGCAAACTTTGCAATTTTATTTGTTCGTGTGTGTTATATCTCTCTGAATAAGTAAGTGTTATAATTTTTTTCCCCTTAAACTACTGATTTTTCGGTGAAATTTTGGTGATACCTGAGTGATGAATATTAAATTATGTGAGAAATGCCTGAGTCTGTTCTTTTTATATATATATTCGTTTAATATAGCAACTCAAAGAAAAGTGATAAAGGGGGTAAGTATTTAATCCTTATGTCCCGTAGCTTCAGCAGGCATATTCTCTACACTGTTCTTTATATATTTCCTACGGTGCTGACGATGAGAATTTGTTTGCAAATCAAAAGGTTCCTGCCCTGGTGACCATTTTTAATTATTTGATTTGCTCTCCTGAACTCATCACTGGCTCTACGCTCAGATCTAAAAGGGCTTTAACTGCTGCGTGTGCCTCTGTCGATTTACCAGTTTGACGATCAAGTGTCAGAAGGGTTTTTGCCACTGATCGTTCAAGGCAAACTTTTATGCACCGCTCTTTGTCTGCTTCTCGTTCGCAAGATGCCTTCCGTTTACGAGTCGCGACACCTAGGCATGGTGATATGAGAGAATGACTGAATTAACTTACCCTTTCTTTACTAGCTACAGCAGATATGGGATCAGGATCCTCTTCTGTTGGACCATTTCCACCGACGAAATGTAGACTACAAACGTAGCTGTCCTTCGTGCACACAAACGAGTCACCTCGATGACATAACCTTATCCACCTTTGCCTTCTCTCCTTTTGTCTAACTGCCCCCGGAAAATGGAAAAACTTGACTGGGTCGCCGTTAGCGTTTCTTACCCAGGAGTTGAAGTATCGCGAATCGTTTTTCAGGTGCCATAAGCTCATCTCTTTGTCATAACCATTATGTTTAGGTATACACTTACTAAACAACTGCAATCGTACACTTTCAGAGAGTTGAAGTCAGTTTTATTTTTGGGAATCAAGGCCTCCTCACGTTCTACAGCGATTCGTGGGCACTAATTTCCTGTCGGACGGGGATTTATCTGACAATCTACGCACTAAACACCCTGAAAATACCTGATCAGATACGTCACTGTACGCAGAACTAGTTCGATTATTCCATGCCGCAACGCTTCGCATCTGCTTCAACGGCAACGAAATGACAACTTGCTTAAAAACGATCAAATAAATGACAAAAGAACGATGTCAATTTTGAGCGAAGAGACGCTTCTTGAAAGTGGGAAGTTATTTAAGAAAAATTTCCAAAGCCGAAGTTCGGACACATGAGCTGCGAGCTCGACTCAATGTCCAAACTTTCGGGGTTTGTTTACATCAAAATTCACGTGATACTACACGTGACCTCTAAAGCCCAAAAAGTGAATTATATTTGATTGGACAAATTTATTAGCTATGTAATAAGAGTGGTGTGACAAAACCAAGTACAAGCAGAACTAAGTGGATCGGTCGATCATAACTTTTGCTCGCTCTTGTGGTCAAAATGGCTTCTTCTAACGCAAAGGAAATCAAGACGATGAAATTATGTAAGTTTAGTTCGATTCTTGGTAAAATTTCCGCACAGCCCCATACTATTGTAAAAAAACTGTTTTCCCAATGGCAATGTATTGTTTTGGTCATTTTTTTTTCTATCCAAGAACTAAATGCGTAATGTAGTATGGGGCTGAGCGGAAATTTTACCCGATTCTTTGCTAATACCAAGATGTGATCGAAAATTGCGGTCTAAATTTAAATTATGATATCGATCGTACGAACGATCGATCGATCGATCCATCGATCATGTGATTGAGCTCAAAACAATTTCAGAGCCTATGAGGTTACACCTCTGATCAGAAAATCATAGGCTCCTTCTTTGAATGCCGAGGTATAGGATTATGGCATAGGATTAAAGCATAGCATTATATCAAGATCATTCATTGTGTAAACTGAGCATTACAAGAGATGTATTTTAAACTTTTCTTAGAGTCGTTTTATCTCTCTTTTTGAAATTTCATAGATAGCCATATCGACAGGGTCAATAAGGAATTGCAAGAGGTCAGTTTTTCTTGAACTGTTATGAAGTTTCCAGAGCAGGCCTTGCCTATTAACAGAACATTGATCATGGTGGAATAGTGACGTTCATAATTCATAATATGACAATCAAGCTAAGTGTGTTAATGCATGGTTAATTAGGTGTACACTGATCATTCTGTAGTGCAACCAAATTCCTCAAAGTTTGATATAGCCAGGGGGAGGGAGAGTTGGGTGGGTTACAAGTAATGTAATCGAAAATTTTTTTCCACCAGGGGTTAGGTTGTTGTAAAATAATTAATTATCACTTATTCTTAAAAGAGAAGATAATCACATGCATCTTAGGACTTTGCTTTGGTTTAACCTCTTTAACCCTTTAGAATGGGTAGCATTAAATCTCTCCCAACAATATATCACCCCTGAATCAAACTTTAACCCTTTAACTCCCAGATCACATTTGTAATTCTCCTTACTGTCAACCATACAATTCTTACAATGTTAGTTCAGAGAATTTAGTGTTGGATCAACTAATAATTATCCCCAAATTGATATTTTTCTTTATTCTCATCACTTATCTGGTTGATATTGTATTGATATTGTAAGGAGAAATTCTATCTTTGTCACACATGGGAGTTAAAGGGTTAAGGTCATGAGAACAAAGGAAATGATAACCTTCAGAAAAAGCTATTGATTGTCTGACAAATTCTCCTGGTTAATAACATAGCAAATGTGTAGACAGCAGTATAAGGAATATGCATGCTGATGTAAGGTTGTAAAGGTATAATGCCCTTGTATAAGTTTAAACACCTTTCTGGCGATGAATGATGCTATAAAAATTGTGTCACATGTAGATTCTGTGCTGAGTTGCCCAGATTCAAGGGAGTCCTCTAAATCCTAGGCATCTTTGTGTACCTTTATAGCTTCTTGCTATCCCAAAATTTATCTTTTACAAACATTTAGTTCAAGACAACTAACAAGCTTATCAGGTTGAGGGTATTATCTTGATTTTAAACCAAATTCTCCTGTCTACTTCACATGTAAATTTATGGAAGTTAGAAGGGAGAATTACTCATCAGATCTTGGGAGTTAATGTGTTACTGTATTGCATTTTTTGAAGCTTGGTTACAAACATGGAGATCCTTTGAAAGTGGAGGATGTCAATAAGTTTGATCAGATGCACTATTATGGAAGCAAAGCAGTCAATGAGGCAATAGATATGCTAGGAATAAGGTAACACACAAAATTTAGGCCATTTCTGGCTCTCCAACAATTGTATCCAAGCAAGATCCTAAAGACCTTTTCAACCCTTATGTTTCAACTATGAATTGGATCCCATATGATTTATTTTTTCAAATATTCTTAACTGAACAAAGTGTTTTAGAATATAATCCACTAAGATACAGAGAAGAGATATTTTATTTAGTAAATAGAATATCTCTTCTCTTACATGGATTTTTTTGGGATATCCAATGGGCTGCAGCTTGGTAAGATCATATTTGGTCTTACTCTTGCACCAATTTTTTTATTTCATTATCATGTCCTAAATCTAATGATAATAAAGTTCTGATATAACACACACTGTCTTTGGTTGAAAGAGCATGCTCTATCAGAGTATCATCAAGCATGCTGACAACACTGTTGTTTGCTTTGGAAGTAAAGTTTGTTTTGAAAATCGAAAATAATGTATGAGAAATTTAATGGATTCTTTATTATAAAACAAGTAGAGAATCCTTGACTGTGCTGTGTTCTGTTATTAAGCACTTAGGAAGCAGCTAGAGCACTCAAGAAGTAGGGAGAAACACAAGGTGTTATCATATGTTTCTCCCCACACTTCTTCCATGCTCTAGCGGCTTCCTGTGTGCTTTACAACAGAACAGAGCACAGTCAAGGCTTCTCTATTTGTTAAATTAGATTATTCCTTAAATTTGGAGAATTTTAGGGGGAGGGGTGGGCAGGTCTGATGCTATTTTATCGTTATCCCCCATTCCTCACTTTTCACTCACTTCTCACAATCCCCCCCCCACCTAACCCCACCTCCACCCCCACCCCTCTAGAACTACATTCCAGCCATGTTAGCCTCTACAGTGAACATTCTGTGCAGAATTATCTACCTATTTTTTTTACTCAGCTCATCTCACAAGATCCTAGATGTAGGCTCAGGTCTTGGGGGTCCTGCAAGGCATTTGGCTCACACCACAAATTGCTCTGTCACTTGTCTTGAGCTTCAAGAGGATCTTCACTCAGAGGGGCAAGATTTGACAAGGAGATGTAACTTACAGGAGAAAGTAACTCACATATCAGGAGATTTTCTCAAAATGGACTTAGGTCAGTGAATGATTTACCCTTTACACCCTAACATCAGTATGCACATTCTCCATTCTGTTCTCTATACATATCATGAGGTGTTGATGAGGAGAATTTGTATAGCAATCAAGAGCTTCTTCTGTTGGTGATCATTTTCTTAATTCTTGTGATCTTAATGTTTAACCCTTTCACTCCCAGATCAAATTTGTCATTCTCCTTACTGTCAGTCATATAATTCTCATAATGTTAGTTCAGAGAATTTAGTATTAGATCAACTTATCCCCAAATTGATATTTTTCTTTATTCTCATCGCTTATCTGGTTGATATTGTATTGATATTGTAAGGAGAAATTCTCTCTTGGTCACTTATGGGAGTTAAAGGGTTAAATTTGGGGTGTTTTGTAGGGAGAAATTAGATGCTAGTCACTCTTAGGAGTTAAAGGGTTAAATGTCTTTCACAGTAAATGATTGCTATTGATAGCAAATAAATATTAAACAGTATGAACTTTCCTCAACCACTGACTTTGAAAGGCTGGTTTTCTTTCTTGGAATAGACTTCTCTAAAAATATGTTAATATCTAGCAGCAGCTCATTAGAACTAACACGTGATATTTACACATTAAATGAACTGAACAGAACAAGCTAACCCCACTAGCAGATTGAAAATGTCCAATCACGACTTACTTATGCTACTTGAGGGTGTGAAATAGTCTGAACAGTATGATAAACATTTTGATAAATTTCATCTGTATTTATTCACTTGTCGTTATTCAGAAGTTTATTTCCGGTCAGTGGTCTTTATTACTTTGCTCACGTCACTAACACGTGTGGAAAATCACCAGGAAAATCACCTTTTCATAATTTTGCTCTCAGTGACTGCCTAAGTATTTTGGAACAGTTTTTAAATATAGCTGAATTTCTTGAACAACTTGTATTGCTTCATCACAGAGGATTATGACCAATAACATCATGGTAGAACTGACCAATTAGTTTTTCAAGCCAGACATGTAACACCCAAGTGACAAAAGGCTCCTCACTTATCTTTGATGTTAACGTTTGCTCTGGTTGTCACAACCACGGTTGCAGTACTCTTTCTGACAAGAGTCCTTATCAGGACTACTTTCACCTCCACAGTAAGACTACAGGATTTACTAATGCTCAAAAGAACGTCAATGGTGTTAATCTTTTGTACAATGGCACTTAATACGTAGGCTAAAAAACGTTAACCAAAAAGCAAAGTGGAGAGGGCTGTTAAATAATAAGTTTTTTTCATGAAAAATGTTAAGTTCAAAGAACAAGTTGTGGGCAAATGCTGCAAAAATGCGCTTCAAATATGCAGCACAGTTTAGCTATCATTTGATAGCTGAGCCAGTGATTCACCACAATTTGTGAAAATATTTTGATGAACGATCTCCCCTTCTTTTAGGTGATGGCAGTTATGATTTTATAGTGTCTTGGCTGGTTTTTCTCCACATTCCAGATAAGAAGAGTATATTTGAACGCTGTTTTCATAATTTGAAACCAGGAGGAAAAATGTAAGATCCTCGATGATAAGTTGTATTGTGTAAATCTTTCCACTTCTACCTCACCTGCCTACCCTCTCTTCCCTTGGTCCACCTTCCCTTGGTCCACCTTCCCTTGGTCCACCTTCCCTTGGTCCACCTTCCCTTGGTCCACCTTCCCTTGGTCCACCTTCCCTTGGTCCACCTTCCCTTGGTCCACCTTCCCTAATACTTCATAACTTGATATTAGTCATTATAGCTGTGCTTATAACGCTCAATAAAGATATATCCTCGCTCTTTGTGGAGTCTCTGTGGCTCAGTGGTAGAGCATCGGAGCGCGGAATCCGAAGGGCTGAGGTTCGATTCCTCATGGGGACTGAGAAGTTTTTCTTTTTCTTCTTTGTCCCACGCTCGTGACAAAACGAAAAAAATCTTTCTTTATGTTCTTTTCTAGTTTTATTGAAGATTTCTATCAGAAGTCAGGTGTAGATTTAACCGAAGACGACCTGAGAGTTTATGAACAAGACTTGTACATGAGCAATCTCGCTGAAAAAGATGCTTATATAAGCCAGGTGAAGGCAGCAGGGTTCACCGATGTCCAGGTAGGTCAATTTCCAAATTCGTCTATAGTTGGACAAAATCGACTACCTTACCTCCCCAAACTCGGCTTCACCAACCGCCCTATATCGTGAAGAAAAGATGATACAAACTTACCAAACATTGTAGAGGTGTTGAGTGCTTTATGGTATGAGTCCATGGTATCGCACTTCGCATCCTTGTCAGCGGTGCATAAATAGCATGCGCAGATGACTTAAACTAACGCGCGCACATCATAGGCCTCCATTGACGAGCTCAAACCAAGAGAATATATACTTGATATTCTCTTGCTCAAACCACGTGCAATTTCATGATCCGTAGTTTTTTCTTCTTTTCTGGGTGGGAACGTCGAGGAAAGTCGACAAAGATCGGAAATATATGGAAAAGAGGTCTTAATTCTCTGCAAAATCCCGCTTTCTTGCTATTAGTGATAGCACCGCGAATTTTTGTTCTTCTTAAGCAAATTCTTACGAACTCTTGCTTCAACTCATAATGATGAACATGAGAAAACTACGCGTTTCTGATTGGCTGACAACGAGTGCAAATAACAAAAAAAATGTTAAAATTTGTCTGTCTTGCCTTGCTGAGATGTTTTTACACGTAAATTAGTAACAAGTAATAGCATGATTTCTCCTGCAATTTGGTGTAATAAGCACTTGTAAAATCTTTCAAAGACTACAAATTGCATTCGCCCTACGAGCTGGTGCAATTTTGAATTGGTGCTTAATAACACCAAATTGTAATCGAAACCATGTTACTACCTTCTCCTATTATATCTCTATGATTGGTCAATTTAGCGGGCTGTGTTTCATTGTACGGCCCGCTAAATTCAATACTTACTTTAAACTGAAAGCTTCCCTTTCTTCTTGAACCCAGAGATATGATAACTATCTTAATAACCCCGTTTCCTCGATTTTTACGGTAAGTGACGGAAAAGACTCGGTCTGCAACTTACACGGTTACCGTAATTTCCAGCCGACTACCCGCAAACAGTTGTTGGTGCGGGTTATAGGAAGGTGCGGGTAATCCGATAATTTTTTAAAGCTTCCGGTATACTTTTAAAACTTTAAGCAGGAAAAAAACAGAGATGATAGGATCCACTAAAGACACTCTTTAAAAAACCTGTGCGATAACTCATTTTTTCGCGCAGACTGCTCATAATAATAAGAGACTTTTATGCTCTTGATGAAAGCCGATGCAAATCGAGAACATATCAGCAAGACTCGATGATAAAGCTTTTATCTTGTTTGTACTCTTACTTTCTTACCTTGTGAAGTTCTCAGCTTGTTTCTTTGTTTATTTTAAAAAAGAGGTACATGTATACTTCCGTGGGGTTCTTTCTTGACATGTTTTATTTTTGTTTCTGTTTCTTTTTTAGTTTGATGATCTGACCGAAGCTTACCTGTCGTTCGTTTCAAACAGACACCAGGAATTTTGCAAACAGAAAGAACGCCATGTGCGGGTGATAGGGCAAGATGCATTCGATTCCCTAGAATATTTTTACTCAAAAGTTCTTTGCGTATTCACGAAAGGCATTACGGGAGGTTGTCGTGTTATTGCGACTAAACCAGTTTTGTAGATCAAAGTTAATAGTTTCCTAATTAAAAAAGACGTTTGCGCATTAAGTAGTTTTAAAAAATATATTATAAAATAATTCAAATAGTACGCGCGCTCTGATTGGCCATAGAACCATTTTACATGAGCGTATGTAAACACGGTTTTCATAATGAATCTTCTCGCGGAGTTCTCCCTGCTATTAATTTAGCTGTAACTCAGTTTCTTTAAGTTTGTTTTGAGTACAGTAATGGAAGAAGAAGATTTTCCTAATTTTTCTTTGGAGTTTAATTTTCCCAGTATTCAAGAAACGGCCGAAAAGCCAAATGAACAACAACAACAAGCACGTCGCTTTCCTTCGTTGCAAGAAGAGGCTCTTTCTTTAGTTATTTTATAAAAGATAGGCCCGATATTATCTCGTGTTATCTCTTATCTCATGTTCTCCCAACCTCCTGCGTTTTCACATCAGGCTATGTAAACACGGAAACCATTTTACATTTCTTCAGTGACAAACTAAGAAATATATAATATATATATATATATATAATAAAAAATATTCCATGTTGCCGAGTGTCTGTTCACGGATAGATCACAGAAGACACCAGTCATAGACGTCAAAGAGTGGCACACGAAGCGCAGCCATATTATGCGCGCATAGGAGAGTTTAGAGACTGGTACCGAGTGAAATAAACCGCTACTTCTCGTGCCAGTCCCTCGCGTTATTTTAGTTCGGCGCTTCTGGCTGAAACGAGCTTACTCGGAGCTTTAAACACAGACTCCACGCTAGCTGATCTGAGGTCTGTCTTTGTTCAGGCCTTAGAACAAAGCATATTGATTCAAAATATAATCGAAGCTCTGGACAATCGTGTAAATAGGAGAGTCTTTAGTGAACGGTGGACTCTGGGTAGAGATCGCCAGGGCCCATAACTTGGGAAAAATCTTGAAAGTCTAAAATAAATTCTGAAAACACTTTTGACAAATGAGAAGGACGATATACGTAGAATGCAACAAACAGCAAAAGTGCTAGAGCAACAGAAATAAAAATTTTAGCTACAGATTTGAAAAAGGATTGAAGGAGCCATCGCCCAGAATGCCGCGACATATCCGGGACCTTTTGCGTAGCCAATAGCGCTAAATTTTCCTCCGCCATCACTCCTTAAGAGGCCTACCTGTCCCAGCGCGATTTATATTTCCCTGGTCAACCCTCGAACTGAACAAAGAAATTTCCTTACGTCGCTCTTGTCTTTCACATTAGTAACAGCGCGCTTAACTCAATCCTGCCCTTCGAAAGGCTTTGAATCCGAGCACGAAGTCAGAATTCTATGGGATCTTTTTCGGCTTACGTAACTGAGGCAGTCTTGAGAAACTTATTACAGTGGCCAATCTTCATAATCAATGAATTAATGACACCAAATTGACTACATAACGGGCCTATCGTTAGCTCACCTCACTAAAGATCTTAATAACGCTTAACACGTACGTGTCACGTCAGTAACGCGAAACGGCCGAATTTCGCACAGAACCACACACGAACTTTAAGATGACAGGATGTAATACAGTCGAATTTCTCAGTGATTGAAAAAAGTCTTTTATTGTTTCGTAGTCTATGCTTTGCTGATGTTAGCAGCCTTTTGTGATTTGACTACACTGATATTATTCTGAAAAGGAGAAACAACCGAACCAGACAAACACAAAAATTTGATCCTAAAGAGATGCCGAACGCTTGACAAAGAATTAAAAGTGATATGACATATTGGTACTATTTTTGAAAATCACGCAAATGCAATGGACTTCGTTTGTTTACGAAATTTCTTTTCCTTTTCCCGTCTGACTGATATTAGGTCATTTTTAAGAATCATTTCGAGGAAGTCGAGCGAAATTATGCCTAAAACTTCAATCAGATGAAAGGCAATTTTTCAAATCCGGTTGGGGGGTAATCCTTAAATCACTAGAGGTCAAAAACTAAATCCGAGATACAAAATTCACGTAATTCCGATAAAAGGACTAAGTCTTTATTTGGGATGGTTTCCACGGTCTTAAATAGCTTAGCACAGGTTAAAACTTTCGCTGATGCCGTTTAAAATCTCCCTGACCCTGGAACTGATGTAGATGCCTTCGTCTGTGTTTCTTAGGCATGAACAGTTTTCCAAATGTTTTTTGTCACAATAGAAGGCAGATGAAGGCGCAACCCTTTGAAAACCACACACCACCAGACAATTAACAAATGTGTAATATAATATACAACGATCCATCCCGGATAGAGAAATCATTCTTTCTCAAAGACTTCCTCTTTTTCAATCTGTCGAAAGGAAGATCGAGATGTAGGGTAAAAACGCCGTGGGAGTCTTCCCTGTGCGGTTGTTAAAGGCGAGAAATGGTGCAATCACAGCTTGTTGCATTATGATAAACTCATTAGCAAACATGACCAAAAGTGGTGTGCCCAAAATAGCTTCTAAACTGCCCTTGAAACAATAGACGCCATGTATTTACTTGTTCGGGTAACACGCGTTGCTGAAAAGTTAACATTTCAGGAATGTCGCTAAAGCAGGGTACAAAAAAAACCGACCGTAGATGGAATAGTTCAGAGTTGTTAGTGGCCTGGTGATCTTAATCCTACAAAATGCACAGGTCATGAGAAATATTTATTTAACAAACAGGATTTCTGAGCGGCACACGCGCCGACCCAAGGACTTACTGTGCAAATGCCCCAGCTACAACTGTAAACACAGATTTAAAACGTTCCATTCAAAAATAAAACGCTTAATTATTTTAATTCGGAGGCAATATTTTCTTCCGAGTCGGACTAATCAGCCACTAAGTCATGCTAAAGACATAAAAAAGGAAATACATTTGTTGTTCAAATAAACATTCAGTGGAAAATTCTTAGCACGGAACACTGTATCAGAACAGAACAGGAAAGTGGTTACTGTAAACGCAACAGCTGAAGATGATTGACAAATTTGGTGAGATAGCACCAAGTGAATGGTTTATCAGTTACCATATTTGGCAACCTTTCCGATTCACGACTATATTTAGGATCAATAACTTGAACATTGCGAGTTTGTAATTCATGCATCGATAAATGCATCAATGCTTATCACATGAAATTGTGCAAAGGCGTGCAATCACGGACGAAACTGCGAATTTTATTGCAAAATAACACTATGGTATTTTTGTTTTAATGCTAAGATGTTTGGGAAAAAGTGAAAATAGCTATTAAAACAAACATTTAAGAAGAAAAGAAAGTGAATTTCGTTATTCAACTTTGCTTGATTTCGAATACGAGTTATGAGTAGTTTTAAGCTGAAATCAAAACACAAAATTTATTTTGAGAATAACCGAAAAACAGTATATGACATGCAGGCCATTCAGTTGATTTTTCGGTAGTTTATTACCAATCAGCTAATTAATTGAGAGTTGAAAAGAGGGCGTTTTCTGAATGACAGGAAACTTCACCAACATGCGCGCGCCATGACAGATGAACGATGAAACCTAACCTATCATTTTAAAACATCTCTTTTATTTCTGACATTGTCAATAACGGAGTCACCAGCAACGTCGTTTAAGAAGCAATTTCGGGGGAAAAAATATGCAAATTATGGGAGATTTTCTCTACGTGAACCTTTTCGACCATCACAGATCAAGATGGAAAAAATATCAAGTCATTTTTCAAAGCTACATCGCAAGAGGCTGTCATCATTTGAGGTTTTTCCAGTCACGTAAAGCTAAATCATTTTATTCCTTTCGATTTCAAGGGGACCTTTCTATTCGAGAAAGACGTTCTTCGACAGTTACGCGATATTATCTGCATGCGGCTACCTGACAATGTTGCTTATTTAAAACATTTGGTTCAGTTTTGGGTAAGTATTTCATTGCAGTTAAAAATAGACAAGTGCGGACCCTTTACCACATGGGAGGGAAAATGACAGTCCTGAAGTATAAACAGTAATACTATACAATTACAGATCTCTAACCTGCCTAAGGGCTAAAAATGCCACCAAATGAAGACACTGTGTGAAAAGAGCCTGTGGCCTCTATGAGCGGTCAATTTATGTCAATAGTTACATTAGCTAGCCACACGGGGCAAATGTAAGTCAATTTTCAAATACATTGAATTGCTGGTCAAGGATCGTAAGCAAGATATGGTTCACCGTGCCAATTTGGCAAAATTACAAGCACTCCTCAGTCTGCGGTTGGTTTATGATGGAAAACAGTTCCGGGCCGAGGTACTGAGCTCGGTTCCGCTGAGTATTCACACACCAGTGCTAACACTTCCCTTGTTATTCCCCTTGAATTAACTTTGAATAATTCAGTGATGCTCTCTGATACCATTCGATAATTTTCCACCCAGCAAAGACCAAATGTATGTTAGTTTCCTTTGTTATTGAACTGAGCGTTGGACACCCCCCTCACCAAAGCAATTTTTCCCTCCTCCTTAATGTCCTATAACCCATACACAAATTTTTGTTATTCATCATCGCTCGCTGACTTAATTTTCGTGGCCACCACCGAACAGAGGTAAAAGAACGAAGAGACAAAATATCTCCTTCGTCCTTAACCTATGTCACCCAAAGTAAATGTTTGTTTGCTTTATTAAATTTCTTTTTTTATTGTGCTAATTTTGTCAAAGACGAGCAATTGCCCAACTTTGAGAAGGTCATAAATCAAATTAGGCTAATTAATGAGAGACACGGTTCGTCGTATAGGTTTACCATCTTGAATGTTTTGCTCTGTGTACTATCTTGCGACTTCCTTAATAAATATAAGAAAATAAAGCACTTTTATGAGGGAGGGCAATTCTATTAATCTTGGCACTTGTTACGTATCGTGAATCCTAATGTTTTCTTTGGAGGGAACTGAATAAATCAATGATTAATTGCTTCCTGGCTTCTGAAAACGGCGGCGGTCTCAGACTATCTCTTTCATTGCGATTAAAATTGAAAATTTGTTATTGGAAAAGATAATAGTTATTTCAGGAAACAGCAGGATTATTGATTTGATGTATAAGCTTTTCAGCCCGTAGAATAGATTTAAAGGGTTGTGTCGTAGAAAGGTGTAAATCTGTTAAGATCACTTCTTCTCCAAAGTTTAGTAATTTAAGTATGGAATCGTATGTGTAGCCGAGACAAAGTAAACCTCAGGCCCCTGGGAACGAGTTTTATGATTTTGGTCCGTAGAGGGTACTAAATTTTGAAAATCTAGTGGCATTTGGCGCATTTTAGAACTTTTTTCAAGGAGAAGCTTTTTGCCATTTTCTGGTGATCCTAAAGCCAGTTCTTTCGCATTGTCACATAAAATATTCGCGACTAAACACATTATTGATAGTGTGTTTGTCTTTCTCTTCCTTTAACCCGCGGGGTTATGCCCCTAGGTATTCCTACGGGTATGAAACCAGGTCGATTCGATCTCGCCGCCGTTGTTTCTTCGCTTTACGCAAAACGTTCGTTTTGTGTTCGTTGCGTGACACAGCGACCACAAAGGAACCCAGAAATATTCAGGATTGCAGATGATTTATACTCTGACAAGAGGGCAATACAGCTCACGCAGAGCTGGCTCGACAGCGCTTTAACATCAAGTGTCGACAGACGTGAAGTCTTTAAACTAATCACCACTGGTTTCCGGTCATAGTGGTTCGTAAAAGAGATTAGCTGCTTAATCACTTCCCTGCACAGTACAGGATGATACAAGGAACGGACAGAAGTAGAAATACAGACTCGTAAACAGAATTCTCTTTCAGGGGGTCTCACAATGGCGTTTTATTGACTCTTGAGACATACAATACCATGGTTATAAATCATCTATTGTCTCTGCCCAGAAAGGATGTCAAATCCACCTTGATTACCCCCTCTCCCTCCGAACCTCCCACCTCTGAATCGCGCCGTGAACCGAGCGATTTGCATTGCTCGTCCAAGCAGTGCCACCATGAAGAAAGATGTATTAATAAAACCTTCCTTGCGTAAGAAAAGACCTGGATCGCATTAAATAGTTTCCGAAAAGGTTACGTAATACATGATAGCATTAATCAAGAACACGATCACACATTCCTTTATATAGTAACATTTTTTTTGTTTTCTGATACTTGCTCGTGGTTTGGATAATTTCTTAGTGCTGTTCATGCAGTATTCTTGCAATTTTCACTCATGAGGAGTGAGCATTCCCCATACACATTGTTAGCATGACTTTCTTAAGAAAACACAAATTAGAAAAAAAACAAAAAAACATATTATTAACCGCCCTTTCTTTTAATCACGATAAAAATAACACTGAAAACAACTTAAACAACATTTTAAAAACAGTAAACCCATTTGCTATTTTTAGAGGGCTAAAATTGAGAGGAAACCACCAAACTCGCCCATGGGAAACCAGTCTTAATCAAATTCATTGGAAGAAATAAAAAGCTCTATCACGTACTTGAACGCCAATTTTTTTCTCATTATTTACAGACTCTGGGAGGCTGAAAATGATGATAAAAAAAAGAAATTTTCAACTACACAGGAATTTCATTCCAATGTCTAAAAAAGAATATCAAATGAAGGATACAATCTTGCAATGTATCATTTTAGCTAGCCATTATTTAAGCCGAAAAAATGTACCCTCACATTTAAAAAAAAAGAAAAAATCCGGCGTCTTTAGGAAGTGATCAATAACATATGTTGTACCGTCTGTAATCATGAGCTTATTCAGACTGCCATTTCTCTGATAGAATAAAATGCGTTGACCTGCGCTCTATTAAGACCAAATGCTTTCTTATTGCGAGACTATTTTTGCGTGTGATGAATTTTCAGCTATTATGGTCACCATCATAAAGATCGATGTAAATCTGTTTAGAGGAAATACCCTCGGGATTGTGAGATGGGAACAGAGGGAGAAATCCTTGGGGAATCCCGTGGGAAATACGTCTGCTGGACATACGAGACAGTTCTACCCGAATTTCCACTCTTTTAATTGATCTTCAAACGTCCTGTCGTTGTCTGACAAATTATAGCAATTTGTTTGACAATGTTTGACAACAGCTGATTGATCTAACATTCTGTCAGTCCATCCAGCTCTGTTCTCTTGGCAGCTGGTAAGGCGACTCTCCGGTTTCAAACGAAAGAATTCACCAGATAGTCTATCCTGAGTGGATATCGTTTACAAGTGCAGCCCTTGAGAGTTCTGATTTAATTTTCTACGTCAACTGTTTGATTAATTACTCATGATACTAAAATATGTTTTATAAGTTTTCAATCCCCTGGCGGAGTTTCTTTTTTTGAAAATTTTACATAGTAAATGTATTATTACTCCTTCAATATCTGCATTCAAAGTCCTTCTTAATCGTATTTTTTTTTCGCTTATGAGATCTACCAGTTGAGCATGATTAAGCCAGTAAGTTCAGTTACTAAACTTATGCAAACTGAATAAAGCACTACAGTTTCTTTAGAAACTGTGGTGCTACGTCGGTGGGAGAGCATAACAAGGTGATTAAGTTTTATCAACCGAGTCGGCCATCGTGAAGAGTTAAAAGCTGACGTTTCGAGCGTTAGTCAATCGCTCCGACGAAGGGCTAACGCTCGAAACGTCAGCTTTAAAACTCTTTACGGTGGTTAATTTACGTTATTAACTCAGTTGATAGTACTTAATCACCTTCTTATGTAAACTGGTTTGACCAGTTTAATGTACTAGTCTTCAGAGCGAAATAGAAGATGCTTTTAATGAAGTAACCGGTCTAGATTCAGTAGTAGTTCTTAGTGATATAAGAGCACTTTCCTTTTTTTTCCTCTCCTAGGAAATCTTGAAACTCAGGAGGCACTGCAAATTCATTATTTAGTTTAGGAGCCCATCACCCGCTGAATCAATTAAGCGCGGCTTGCACCGCCGTTGCATGCTTGATGTATGCAGCCACACATTAATCAAGCGCTTGTTTCCCGTGGCATTGATCCAGTAAAGGAAACAGGGAACATCGGAAGTAGACTGAAACGTACCAGGCTACTGAATTACCTACAAAACAAGCAGTTTAGTCGAGTCATGCAATTGAATATGGCGTGCATTTGCAAGATAGGGCTAAATGCAATGAGTTCAGAAATGCATGCCAGACATTCAAGAAAGGAGTACGTTCGAGTTAGATGACATATGCAGTCAAGACTTGCAAGTATTGTATCTTCAAAGAACATGTACACCGTTTAATTTCATACCAGAAATGTAAACTTAACGCAAGCTTAAGTTGCAAAGCACTCAACTTTAAGTTTCCTACAGAGGTGTAAAGCGCGGATCTTAAAATTGATAGGCATGTAATCTAAAGTAACAAGCGATTCATAATTAACATCTGAAGTGGAAGCCATAAATCTTACAGTCGGTTGACAGGTGTATACGTCTTACTAAAGTTGCCGCGAAGATGGCGTACATGCAAGGGTTAAGGGCTGGGTATTCGAAAGACGGTTAGAGAAATCCAGGATTAAAGTTTTAAGCTAACTGGTTTAATTTAATCGTGTTTCAAACAACCCGGCCCAGCAGCCAGGTGATTTGGATTCGTCATCATAGTTGCATAGAGTTGGGTTACACTGATCTGTTTTCAAACTACCTCCGTCATAATTCGCGATAAAACAACAACAAAAAAAGAAAATAAACGTTCATATTTTTAGGATATCTTCAAAAACACTCTCCAAGAAAAGAACTTGAGTGTTGGATTGCCTGTTAATTCAGGAAAAACTGAACATCATAACATCTGTACATCTTTACACCTCAAAGAATGCAAGCCAAAAATGTACGGCTTTATCTCTGCAAAATAAGATTTTTAAAAATTATCCATAAATGCGCAGACTATCAGATCAGCAACAGGAATACGATAAAACCATCAAATGTGATCGCAAAAGAGAGAACCCAGTCAAGTTGAGAAACCCTCATCTGAGACTTGGTGGTTGGTCGGAATAACAGGAAAATATTTGTTCATTACCTTCTTAAAAATCAGAAACAGTGATGCGCTTTGGGGACATCATTACAGTGTTGTGCTAATCCCTAAATCTAACGACGTGACCATTTTAAAGAAACGTCTTCAGCCATTTGTTCACATGGCATACCTTTTTTCCAGCACTCTACAACATGCATTTCTCTTGGCAGACTCCGAAAAATACTTTTAAAACCGGATATTACATTATATAACCATTTTTTTTTTAACAAGATAATAATACTATTATCTTTAAATTGACTTAGAAATAATTTTCTGAATTTATAAACCTTGAATAGAATTCTTATCTAAAACCATGAACATACCAACAACCCAGTTTTCTTGTAAGGGATCTGTATTTCTCTGAGGAAGAGCTACTTTGTACATCAGGAAAAACCTGACAAGCGAAAAAAAAGCTTGAAAAATTGGGATTCTACTTCGGATTTCATATTTGGGTATCAGAGAGGATTTAAAAGCTTAAGGGAGAAATGTAATTGTATGATTCTAAAGGGTTTTGAATCTGGTAAATGAAAACGTTTAGTGTATGAATACTGAGCATTTTACATTGAAAAACTATGGAATCATCGCAGTCTCAAAGATTTTAAAACGGTCCTGCTGTAGGAGGTCGTTTTTAAACTGCAGAAGAAGGAAGTCCATTTTTTAAGTAGGTTCAATTTTTTACGAGTTTATGACACGGATAAGAATATTTCTTGATACTCTTCCAAATTTAAAAGGATCAAGATTCCAGAGAACAAAGTTGTACGCTACTTTAGGTCAACATGCTTCTAGGCGGGGGGGGTTCATGATCACTTTACCTACTAAACCCACGCGGGTTGAACCCGTTTCCTCACTCACTCGCTTTGGTGGGCGAATACTGGCTCAAACTGGCCGACTCTTCGTTGAAAAGGATGCTCCTTATAATTTACACTTATCCTTTGAACCGTGACCTAAAGGAAGCTTGCCTTACTCACTCGAAGAGTGACATAACCAGTAAACAGAAACTCAAAGAACGCGCATTTTAAACCTGATATCATCGATTAACGAGAAAACAGCTCACAGCTCATTTCATTCAGTGAGTGAACCGCGCGGTGCAGCGTTCAATTGTTTGTCACGACACATGTGCGAAGTCTCGCCGAAGCTTCGACTGCGTCCTCCATGTTACGAATCAAATTTAATGTCAGATCGACGGCAGATAGAAGATCGGATCAGGTCCAGGGACAAAATGAGGTAACATCTACATCAGATAACGAAAACAGGATTGAGAGTCAGGCACGGCGTTTGGTTCGAGAAGCGGAAATCATAATCTCGAGTTTCAATGTGGGCGCTATGAAACTAGCCGCCTAACACGAACAATTTTCGCCTTATTACCCAGTCTTGCTTTACTCTCGATCTTGTGTAGTGAGCTTTAGATTGAAGGAAAGATTGATTAGTTCAACAGCTATAGGCGGTATGTCAAAAAATGACTCTAATTATGCGCCATTCGTTTATGATTTGGCTATTTTGACCTTCCGGAGGTTGTTTTAATGTTTTCATCACCAACTTCGTGATCAAATTGTGATGAATTCCCGATGTGAGACATTACTTTCCTAAGGATCGCTATGTGAATCCACGATCATGTTACTTTTACCTAGGATTTTAAGTTTTTATGGGTATTTCTCAGAAATATTAGTTTAGTTTGCTATGAATAAAGCACGACAGCTGTGAAAAAGTTCAAAAAGCAATTCTGAAGATATGTACTCTACCGAGAAAAAACAAAAATTATCATTGTCTTTGAAAGAACCTTTCTTTCTTTTGATGAAATAAAGATTCTTTGTATTTGAACAATGAAGACGGACTTTCGTCTCGTTTTTACTGGCAACTAAAGGCAGCAAAATTCAAGCGTCAGTGAATTACATTTACGCGTCCATCGATCCCGCCTGCACACGAGATATAAATCGCATCCACTCTTTTCGCGCGTGATCACGCTATATTCACGTTGGCGACGAAAGGAAGGAAAATCCACATTCTCACTGTTTTGAAATCGACTTTCTTTAAAAACAAAAACTGTTTTTGAGCTAATTTCAATTGAATCTCTATAACTGAGCAGTAAATAAGTTACCTAGTGCATAGAAATCTGTTAAGCGTGTCAGCGAGATGCCGGAGCAAACTCACCTTTGTCGAGAATCAATGGATTTTTCTTTCAATGCGCCATGCCGCCAGCATCGCGGTCTTCATCAGCAACTCTATAGGAATCATAGGACTTAAGTTTAGTCTGTGTTTTCAAACCTACCCCGTACCGTGATACAAAACATTTAAACAAGCTATTTCGAAAGCTAGCTGTGTTATTATGAAAGAAAACATCGATCTCATAGGCTTTTGGATTGTCCATTTAATAAGGTTCATTTGCGATGTCTGATTCCTGTAAATGTGGTTTTGCTAAAACAGGCTTCACTGTCAAGATATTATCCGATATTGAAAGTCCAATTTGCCTCTGTTACATAATTGTGTTCTTTCATTTTTGTTACGATCACAACTAAGAGGTCATTGTTGACCCCGAGTTTTCTTAACACTTCTGCGTTCAGGACGAAACCGATATTTACGTCTGCTGATTGATTATTCTGTCAAGCGATTTAAAAAAGAAGAACAAAAGAACACATTGGCAAGCAAACACGAAAAATTAGCGCTAAGAAAGACTGGGGGCGTGGCTGCGCGCCTTCTCTCGTTCCCAGACTTCGCTTTACCACCCTTTTTCGTGGGACAGTTGAACTTAGAGCCTAGCAACCAAGCTGGCTAAGCTAGCGCAACTAATTTTGGCGTATCTTCATATGAGCAAATATAAACCCGTTATCGAGCTAGAATTTCTCGCCGCTGACCGTTCATTCGAGAAACCAGGCGCGAACTTTCAAATTTCGTCCCGAAAATAGCTAAACTTGAGCAAGTTTCGAGTAAGATCATGCAATCAGCGCGAAAATGATATCGGCACGCCAGGAACTCTAGGTTGCTCGTCTATATATAGATTAAAAGAAAATAAGAAATGTTTGAAATTTATACCAGGGTTGACTGATGAATTCCTCAACTCGCTAACAAAATCCTCTACAGGGTCACAGGTTGTGTAATTACAGATTTCTTGGTAATTTGATCAGAAACTTTTAAAGTATTTTTGGTCAGATGCATGTGCATAACTCCTCAATGAAAATTAGATGTTTTACGCTAAATTTAGGAGAAAAAAATTGAGGTATAAGTTTAGGAAAACATGACGCATTTCTAAAGCGTAATTCTGAGACCATTTTCATGTTGAATGGTTAAATAATGGGTCCATTTTATCTGATTTTGATAATAAGAAATTAATTTTTTTTTATCTATAAGTAGGCGCCGGGCGGTCTCGGTGTTTGTGGGGTCTTGATCTGAAGACGTTGCACTCTTCAGATGACAACTAACCTAAGTTGACTATTAAAATCTTGGAGCTTTCCTTTTGATTTCAGTAATATAATACAACTTGCTTGAAAATGCTTTGCTTTGCTTTGTAAAACCTATCAGTTTGACTGCGAGTCGAAGGTTCAAAATTGTTTCTTTTAGGTGCAATTTGTAATTCGAAGGATTTGCCTGTGTTAAAGTATTAATTTTTAAGGAATTTCCGGAAATTGATCGGCGCACCAAAACCGCCATTTTCCGCTTACGTAGGGCATTAAAAAGGATTTCCACTCGAGCCTGACCGAAAAAAAAAACTCAGATATTTTTCAGCGGGCGCAGGGCGAAACTTTAAGAAACAGCATCAAGATTGTCTCTCTTTGTGAAACAACAACGAAATGGTTTCCCAACAAATCAAATTTTAAAGGAAGACCTTTGTATGGTTGGGAACTTAGGAAATATCAATCGGGCGATATCACCTGATATTCCTCAATATAAAGCCGAGGCATGGACGCCCATGTGATGCGTTTCAACCCATAGAACGCGAGCGACAAAAAAAATTTGTTAAATTACGAGTCGGAATGTAAAACCAGTTGTAGTCAATCCTAGACGTTCAATCGCATAAATATTAAACCCTCTATAAAGAACTAAGAGCTTTTTTTTTTTTACCGTAAAGAGGTTTCTCATTGGATTTATTGAGATTTAAGGGTCGTGGCATTCTTCATTTAACAAAACGGAGCGAATTAGGAAACGTCGTTATGAAAAAAGTGAGGGAGGCTTGGGTCGAGTCGGGCTTATTAGGTAACCCACACCAAGCCTCCTTGTTTTTTCACCCCACCGCTTCTACAGTATCGTGAAGAGCTGCTTACTCTTGGACGTCGTTTTAACAACTGAGCGCCTGCACAAGCCCCCAAGGGTCGCAATAAATGGAAATTCGTTCTTGCAGTGAGAAACAGAAGACTCAAAGAAAAAGTCGTAAAATCTCGGAATACCTGAGGGTATGCCTCAGCCTAGGAACCTTTTTTCGTCGAGTTTTTCGGGGAAGGTCAATGAACCCAGTGCCAGCTCGAATTTATCGAGCAGGCGCGCAAAAGCGTCGAAATTCGCTGTAGACCACGGATGTGTGATAACTCGTGTTCTTGCAAAACCCCCGAATAACGGTTTTAGGTTTCGGACCACCTTTAAAGACATTTCATTTGTTTGAAAATCTTCCGGTCTGGAAAATAATAATTCTCAGACAATTTACATTCCAAACAACATTTTCGGAATTTTTCGTTTATCGTAAACAACCAACATTTTCGCTATTTCGTTTTTTCTCTGGTTTTAGCATCAAGAATGTTGTTTTAAAGTAAACAACTTTTGCGGTGGGGCAGCGCGAGCAAAGTCGGGTGAGGGGGGCAAGTGCGAACGAGTTAAAAGAAAGATTTGACGCGGTAAGAGTGGACTGGAGGAAACGGACTCCCGAACCCCTAACTTTTGATTTGGAATGCTCACACACTGTTACGGGGAGCGTTACGTGACGGTTCAGCGAGGGCTATCCAAAATGCTATGGGCAACATTTGCAACACCTCTATGAACTAAGTTCTTTTAGTGGCTTGGTCGGCAAGGGCGGGGGGAGGGGGAGAATCCCTTCATGGAGATGAGGTTACGTGACTCCGGAAAGAGTTCCTCCGCACAATTTTTTTAATGAATGGTCAACGTCTTTCAGTAAATTGGCTGTGAAAATAGCCATAGATATTTAATGTACACCACTTCATTAAAAACAACATCCAGTTACAAGACAAACAAGTCGTGACTTTCGCCTGAAAAGCAACAAGGTTGTTGTCATAAGAATCGAACACAAAACAGGAGGAAGAGTAAGAAATATGCTGAACGACGGATAATGTTCTATTTGTTGATAACCTACGATTCTGAGCTGATAAAAATTCCAGTAATGAAGTGCAAATTCTTTTTCAATGAAGGAAGTTACATATAGTTCGAATGTCAATTACTGAAGAATCTGCCACGTGCACATACTTCAAAATAGACCTTCTTATGTTGATTGTGGAATCTAAATGCTTACTCGTGTAACTCTTAGTTCTCTGAGTTTCCGCTTTCGTCTCTTGCGAACCTGACAGGCTTCACGTAGGGATCTTCGGGATCCGACCATTAATGAATCGTAACATTGAAATTCTTTTACAGGACTGAATTGCGTGATGAAAGACAGCAGTATATTGTAGGCAAATGATCAACATTTTCTCCTTTATATTAAGAAAAAAATACCGTCATTTATTAGAATTCTCTTCGATCTACAACCGCAACTTTTTTTCAACAACATAGGGCTCCAATCGTCTTTGTGTTCGATGGAACATCAACAAGTTTAGCTCAAGGTTTTTCCATTTACACAAGCGACGGGTGAATTTTTGGTTAACGGAGCGAGTAAAATGCTCCCCATTTACATTTTCCAACTTCTACGGACGATAGGAATTTGGTATTCTCATTTTCTTTTTATTATCTCAGTCCCCTTTTAATCCTCAAGACCTTTACCGTTCGAATTCCTTTCCCCTCATTTTATATAATATATCTCTTCTTGTTTGTAGAGCCTCACGCGAGTCGTGAGGGGAATGGGGCAGAGAATTCATCCCTAGAGATCCCCATCACGTGAAGTTTCATCGATAACCCCCAAAACAGACCTCTTTTCAGGCTAAGCTAAATTGATAGCAGCAAATTTCGGGCTTCCCACGCTGCGGATTAGCGATTGGCAGATCAACAAAATCTGGTAACATTAATTATGGTGTAACAGATCAGATAAATTGGAACCGATCGACTCGAGCACAAAAAAAAAATTTTTAATTTCGCGGCACACCCACAGTTACGAGAGTATTATGAAAACAGCATGGTGCACGCTGCCATTCTTTTGAAATTTTGAGAACTGTTTACAATGCACAAGGCAAACTCCAATCAAAATATTAACACAAATAACAGAATTCTTCAGCAAAATTTCATCAAGCTGCAAATGAATGGCTCGGTCGACGCCAGGAAGTCTATGCGTTATTATTTGAGTGACACTAGAGTCGATATACCCGGTGGCCTGTTGCACGAAATTTAAGGGCCAGATAAAATTTTTACGTCTGAAGGGGGCAAAAAGGCAACACATTCGAAGTCTACCGGGCGCCATATACTTAAACACAAAGCGCCAATTATCTGGCGATCAAAGCCCGTGATCACCGTTATTCCATCGAGAACCTTTTTCGGAGCGGAAATTGAGCCGTAATAGATGTTAAACCCACCAAGAACATGAAGGCCTGCATGCGGTTCTTGAACAACGAAGGTCTTTAGAGACAATGTAAAATCATCTTGGAGCGATTATCTAAATGTCAAACCTCGTATATGGAAAATGGCCGACGTTAATTGATAGCCCCGGAAATTGTTGCCTTCGAGGCAGAAATGGTAATGCACGTGACTCCGATTACGCCGCGCAAGAGAGAGAAATTCTGTCCAATGTCACCTTCTTTTTCCGTCAAAAATTTTCCATTTAGTAAAACTAATTTAATCTCATAAAATGCTCGTCTAAGTCCTTCGCGCGAGATTTCGCCGCAGGAAAAACCCCTGACGAAAATGTGGAAACCGCCACTCGAGATTTAAAAATTTTGTGGTATGAAAACATTCCTCCGTGTTCTCTATCACAAGGTCTTTTTCTTCTTTACGTTTCATAAGTTCTGGATTAGCGTTCGTGAGCGCGATTTATTTTGAGAGACAACTTATGCCGGGCTCCTTTAAGAGAAACCTTTTAGTGGCATTGTTGTTCTGTGATTTGGACGGTCAGAGATAAAAAAGATAGTAAGTAATGTGTGTCTTGGTCGTCATGTGTGGTCTTCGATCGCCTAATGGAGGTACTACTTGTAAGATAGACTGTTTTGACCAATCAGCGGCGTGCATTGGTGACGTTAGACAAGAGTGGTGTTGCGGAGATTAGTTTTCACGCAGGAATGACACCGACGGATCGGTTTTCATTACTGAGGGAATGTACAGTTGCGACGAACTGAATGACTCTAAGCACGGATTATGACTTTTAGAAAACGATGTTTTTCGCTCTGTGGTTTCTGTCTTACACTTGAGTTACTGTCCATGGTAGAGACTCTGTCTCAGTCGCCTTGCCGTGAGTGTAGAGCGTTCGCGCTTTGAAAACGTTTCACACCGTTGAAGTTCAACACCGCGTGGTCGTTAAATTTTTAACCATTCAGCTGAAAAATGAGCACTTTTCCGTCAAGAAACTCCGGTTGGGCAGCTGAGAGGCTACGAGAGATCGACCAGGTGAGAGAATATTAATAATCCAGAGCTACTCAATGGGGCAGTTTGCATCCATATTGTGGACAAGTCGCAGTTTCTCTTCAAACTAACGTCTAGTGTATTGTTTACATTACTCCGCATCGAATTCTCGTCAAGTTCTGCTCGAGCTGGACCATGTTCTCTGAAATCGGGTCATCGAGAGCCTATTTGAGCTTGGCGAAGGTCTTGAAACATTATTTGTAATTTAATGGAAAGTTTTTGTGTTTTAGTAGTCGCTCAAAATATTTACTTTGGAGGGGATGGTGGAGCCCTCCGTATATTTTCTCTCTGTGGAGTTTCGGTAGGATCAGCTACGAGGGAGGTCGCGATTGTCAGGAACTAATTTTTTTAAAGGCATTTTGACCTCATGTTGTCGTACGACTTAACAAAAGTTGTGATGGCGGGCAACAGAGTAGAACAAAGACAAATTACGTTGTAGGACAGTTAAAACATGACACCTTCTACGTTCGTTTATCTTGGACACATTGCAACAGTTCTGAGGTTTTGACTTTTTTTTAATCTCCGTCCCGTAGCCCACCAACTGTTTTGATTGCCAGATATAAACTTTAGCAATTCGTGATCACATCCTTTCCATTTCCTCCGCTATTATTTCGCCAGATGAAGTTGTGTGTGACCTCACATTGTTTATGAAAGGCGCCGAAGCAATTTCGAATCTGTTGGCGGCTTCTTCTTTGCTGTTGATTTTGACGCCTGATCAAATTTAACGATCGTTCTCCATCTTACGACTATGTATACTAGACTTGCATCGATAAATCTGTTTAAAATTCCGGTACTTTTGATCCTCTGGAATTTCCCCTTTATATCGGTTCGAGATGGCAACATTGACAGATGCAAGAAGAACTAATGTAAGAAGAGAAACATGCAATGTTTGGCGAGCTCAATCGTTTTAAAAATTTAACTCGGAAGACCTCGCCCTCGCTGTCTAGTGAGGCTTGTTAAGTTATCAAAGGCTTTGGTAAGTTTGTCGATCGTGGTGGTCCAACCGACCGGTAAAACACGTGCTGTTACACAAGAGACACAATAAAAACTTCAGTAAGAATCTCAAGAGCTTGATAACGATTCTATGTAGAAATATTTACACAGAGATGGTTGAAATTCAGCGGAAAGACCTACGTCAATAAGTTAAATTGGTTTGATCCATATCTTTTTTATCTTCGTGGTTGATCACGAACTTGGAGCTTAACAAGAATTAACTGACTATACTTAAGATGGAATGTACTATTCTTTCATGTTTAAGTCGTAAGTTCATTATGTACAATGGAACATCGCAAGCTCCAACTTCGCGCTTACTTGATACCGGCAAAGCCATTTCCCTTCAAGCTGCACATTTCCCTTCTCGCAGTTACGCGAAATCCCAGTAACTCGATTGTTTTTGTTAGCGGCTTTCCGCAGTAGATTTAACAAATGCAGTGGTTATAGATATGTATATTTTTTCAACAGGGCCATGCGAAGGGGAATAGACCGGCTTTGGTCGTTCGCTCCTTGCTGCAGTCTTTCCTCAGAGGCCTTGGCCGCTTTATACAGCGAAGATGTGGAACTGTAATTATGCTTGGTTTCCTTCTATTGATCATATCAGCGATCGGATTGATCAAAGCAGAATTGGAAACAAATGCTGAGAATCTGTGGATTGAAGGTAAGTAATTATTTTTTTGCAAACATCCTACGTGGATATCGGCTGTCGATCGATGTGATTTGGTAGATTACAATTATTTCCTTGCTCCAACATACTTTAGAAATGTTATACAGTCACATAGCGGACGTATTGTTTTGCGCATTTCCTGTCCGCTTGCGAGGTTACAGCCTGGGCGAGATTTCTTTAGTGACAAGAAAACCAATTTGAAAGTCATGTATGGTAATTACAAAATTAAAAGTTAATCTAAGGGTCAACCCATATGGCACACTCCATTGAGATCGGAGCATTCTTATGGAAGCCAATTTCATGCAATATGCAATCTGCATGTGGTGTAGATTGCTGCTATATTGCCATTGTATTTGCTTGTACCTTCACTAGTTGCTATTGCAATACAGCAATGCAATACAGCAATGACATCATTTTGTATTTGAATCTTCCTCTTCATTAGCTGGGGCATCTAGGTAAGGTGATATTCAGACATGTTGAACAGGTGTCAGCTGTCCTACAATTTAAGTAGCTAAATCCAAACTGAAATTCCACTTTTTAAGGTGTACATCATCCAAATTCCTATTGCAGTAAAAAAAAAAAAACCTTGTACCGTTGTGCCAAAGTCAGCTACAACTCCTTTGTGCTGATTCCTTTCAGTAGAATTTGATTGTATTTTGTCATTCAGAAATGTAATTTTGAATTGTTCAAATATGCAGCATTGTTTTAAGACTGACAAACCTTTACTTCAAAGTTTTTCATCTCCTAATTGTCATAACCTGCTAGAATTTTTGCTGGAAATGTGAGATCTCTATGGAAACAGTTTAAGGGTCATTTTTAACTTATAACAATTATTCTCCAGATTTGTTAATTTTCTTTGTCCAAAGAAATATAAGAATTAGAGCTTTGATTTAAAGAGTTGGTTTAAAGATGTTGGTAGTACCCCGACTAGTATGTTTATATTTTCTATTGGCAAACTCTTTCACTATGTTAGATTAAGCTGTTGTTAGCCCCAGTGACTTCTCCCCCAAATGTCAAACTTGAATATGTTGTTACCAATTTGCATTCAACAAATGACTTAATTTTCTGCTTCATTGGGGACATTAAAAGATTTGGTACCAAAACACACAGCCCAGGGATCATGGCAGATGCCAAAACCCATCAGCTTGAAAAGACTTCCCTTGATCCTCAACATGGGATGTTATGTCTGAAGAAATAGAGCAAGATTTTTATCATGTGTCAATGACCTAAACAAGGGTACAGTTTCAATAAAAAACAGTGAGCCGTTTATGTCAGAATCTCAAATAAGTTGATTTCATGGTGTCCAGAAGTTGTAAAAGCTATAAAGCAGTGTGAGTCGGTATACTGAAGACTGATTGTGTCGAGAGACAAAAATGTCAAGTACATGTGGGTATCCCTTACTTCTGCAGAATGAAACTTTTAAAACTTAACTGAGTGAGCATGGATTATTGTCAATACCACTTAAAGGATTCTGAACACTTCCCAGCACCTTAAACTGATCTACGGATTAGGAAATCTTGCTAATTGCTATATCTTCTTAGGAGCCCACCCAGAAAGACTCAAAATGTTTCTGTATTCCGTCTATAATTTCAGTGGTTTTGGCTAACTTCAGCTGAAGTTGCTTTAAATGTTAAAAATGATCTGTAACGAAAGCAGATGGCATCAGAGGTTACAAACACTGTCATGATTAAAAAGATGGCTTTTAGCCATGATGATCTTTACACACAAAAAAAGTTTTACTTGTTTCATGATCAAAGAAAATTTCTATTGATTCTATGCAGTGGTCACAGTCAGGGTTTTTTGTGTTGGCCATTTAGCTGCCCAGAAAAAAAAAAACTGGTTGTCAGAAATAAAAGATCTGTCAGTATTCACAAGCAATAGTTTTTTAAAGGTTTTGGAACATTTCAGAACTTGACACATGTGCAAATGAAGAAAAAGGAGAAGAGCACAAATGATTTTGTGTGCAAATATTTGTCATTCCTAAATTTTGGGTTGTAATTTTTTTTATTTGAAAAGTGACAACTTGCTACTTAAGCAGCAAACACAGGTTGCCAATGCAGCAGTAATTTAGACCTCAAAATTTTTGTAGTCATCATGGCGACAAAAATGGTCTCTGCATGGAGAGCTGTCACGGGGAAATCTTTGAAGATACAGATCATAGCACACACAGATACCAGTAACAAACATGTAAGAACTAGCACCAGGAATTTAGATACCAGCAAGATTGTTAGAATTAAAGGAAAACACAAAGACAGCCATCTTCTTGATCTTCGATACTTGCTCCTACTGGAAAAAAAGTTTAAAAGTAATTTAAGTTAGTGGATATTTTTTTATACTGGGTTTGTCATCAATTACTATCAACTAATTTGTCAGTCAGAAATGGAATTCAGTTTTGTCTTTGTGAATGTTTCAAATTGCTTTCGAGGTGAAGGAATCTGGGAATTATTAGCTTAGTAAGATTATAGCCTCAGGTGTCCTTCTGAGCACAGAGAGATAAGTAAGTGAATAAGTGCATAAGCCAGTAAGTAAGTACTGAAGGGATTTATTGCATGAGAAAAGCCAAAGAACAGAAAGATGAAAAATGCAAATTGCTAATGACAATTGAAAAAAATGTATGCTAAATTTTTCAAAATCCTGAAGGCTTGATGAAGTTCCGTATGTAATGGAGATACTTTTAAGTCAGTCAGACTTTGAATTCAAACCCTTGCTGCAGTGAACTTTGATTCATAAGCTATTTCCCCTTGGTTTGGATAATGTATGAGAGTATTCTCTGACCATCAGCTACTAAATCCTCAATAACTTGAATATTCCTCATTCTTGGGCTAATATCTGTTTCCCTGAGACATACTATGTTTGTCAATGAGTAGCAACTCAAGACAAGTTGACTTCTAACCACAGTGCTTTATCTCTGCATCATGAGTTCTTTGAAGTCAACTGTACAATGTTGTTGTTAACAATCTAATTTATAATGCAAGGTAACAATAACTTTGAAATAAAGACAAAAGTAGGGTGAATCCAATGGGGAAGATGAGTTATTAGTGGTTAAAGTACAGAATATTGTTCTTAGAGTTAGGCAGCAGATTTTTACATGAAGGCTTCAAAGTCCACAGATTGCATCATCACAATCTGGACTTCTTTGATTTTTTTTACTTCCAAGTAGACAAAACAAAATCATTATTACTGTCTGTATGTTGTATTTTTATCCGAAAGATGATGAGAACAGTGTCTCTAAACCTTTTCGCTCCTAAGGGCTCATGTGTAATTCTCCTTACTGTCTACAATAACATTTTTACAATGTTAGTTTGGAGAATTTGGTATTGGATCAACTAATAATCTCTATGTTCTCATCGCTTGTCTGCTTGATTTTGTATTGATATTGTAAGGAGAAATTCTGTCTTGGTTACTCATGGGGGTTAAAGGGTTGATTTATCCATTCCTTGTAATTTCAGTGGATGGTCGCCTGGAAAAAGAGCTATTGTACACTAAAAAAGCCCTTGGAGAAGGCTATGGTGGCACACATGAACTGCTGATTCAAACGCCAAATATCAAAGGGACAAATATCCTTTCTGTGCAGGCCATGAAACGACACTTGGATGTTTTGATGAGAGTTACAAATATATCAGTGGAATTGTTTGACCAGTGAGTTATATATAGCATGACTGTGTGTTTATGTAACCAGTTTTGAATCTCCTGGGTCATCTGATAAACAGGAAATTTCAATTGTGTAAGACTTGTGGGATAAAAAGATTTTAAGCACCGGTTTGTGACCTGGCCAACACTCACAGGTTTAAATCCAAAAATACTTCAAATGCCTTCACATGCGCCTTACCTTTTAAATAACTCTCTCCTCCTTGCCTTTCCCAACCAGTAAAATTGTTAGATAAGAGTTATACTGTCACTAATTTAGGCTTAAGGTAGCACTGCAGTATGTGATGCTGATATGGAGAAGTTGACATTGCATTAAACTCACTAAAGGCTTTATTTCTCTCACCTCGTCAGCTTTTGTGTGATTGACATATTTAGGGCCAAGAGCAGTGTATAATTAATCTCCATTAACTGAGAACCTTTTTTTTTTTTTTGCACTTCAAGAGAAGTCGGCCATCTTGGCCAAGCATATAGTTACTCAGAAGGAAGCCGAGTGAGTCATAAGGACTCACCATGGTTTGCAAATAATTTCTGATTTTCTTCTTCTAGGACATGGACACTGAAAGATATTTGTTATACTCTAAGTCTTCCACCATTAGATGATAATATGGGACTTGACAGTGTAAGGTTTTTTTAAATTTTTTTTATTTTTGGTGTATTTATCCAATATCTCAGTTATATAGCTAAGCATTTGATATTAACTTGGATCTTATCTTTCAGATGTTCGGCAGTTATTTTAGTAGGGGTGTCATGCATGTAAAATTGTTTTGATCCATTAGCTTGTAGACTCCTGGAAGTGATTAATATGTAACTTCTCCCTTTAATATCTATACATTATCCAGCAAACGGGTAATGAGAATGTTCATTGTTATCAGGTAGGGGTTTTTATCTTGGTCCAACACTAAATTCTCGTATATAATTTACAAAGAAAGGTGTAACAGTCAGAGGGGAAATTCTATAATCAATCTTAAAAGTTAAATGGTTACAAATGAACATCAGCTACAGCTGTAGTGGGTCACACAGTGACCAGCATTCCACCAAACAGATATGGTGAAGATTATGGGCCTTACATCTTTTCAAGTAAATTTTGTGCAATTTTCCAATTGACTCGAACCATTAAATTGTGAATAAATCTCTACTTCTCTGACTCCTCTTAGGTGATCATTAGCAAACTCTGTGGTTACTATACAGAATTTTTGAGCCATAATTTTTTTTTTTTTGGAGATGTGGAAAACATTCTCCTGTTTCTCAACACATTTTTTGACAAACAAACCCTGTCTTTTATAGATTATTCAGCAGCTTCTGCCCTGTGTCATAATAACACCTCTGGATTGTTTCTGGGAAGGAGCAAAACCACTTGGTCCACACAACAAAGTGAACCTTGGGTAAGAAACATACATTAAAGAAAACATTTTAAGGCAAAAGTAGACCAGTGTAGTAATAACCCAAAGATTAATTCTCTTTTAGCAACATTTTTCTTTGGCAAGGCACTGATGCATTGTAGAAAAAGTGCTCTAACAATTTTGAGCCAATTAACTTTAAGCATATTTTCATTTGAGTTAAGTCACATATTTAATAATACATATCATCATTTGACTGGTACGAAACTGCACATGTTTCTTTTTGAAAAAGATCACAATGCTTAAGCCACTGCCCTTAGGAATGTATGTCCACTTCTCATCAGTCTCTTTTTGTATTTTTATAAAAGGTCAACATTCCCTGACATCAAGTGGAAAAGTTTGAATCCCATTGAATTAGTAGAACATATATATGAGTTTTATCCATCAATGAATGAGAAGTTGATGGGACTGCTGAATGAGGTATGAATCAAGAACTTAAATGTACAGAGAAACCTTTATTAAGCAGACCCCCAATTAAGCAGACACTTTCCATCAAGCAGACGTGGACACTAAAATAAACTATAATTGGCTAATTTCTATTGTTAAAAACTTCTATCAACCCGTTAACCACTAAGAGTGATGAACATCTAGTTTCTCTTTACAATATCACCTTTGAATCAAACATTAAGGTCATGAGAATAAAGGAGATGATCACCGACTAAAGAAGCTCTTGATTGTTGAACAAATTCTCCTTGTCAGAATTGTAAGAAATATGGGAGTATAGTATGGAGAATTTGCCTACTGATGTTGGGGAGTAAAGGGTTAAGGAGACACTGGACTGAATTGACAATGTAGTGTATGGTATGAGGTCCTTGAAATAGTTGATTAAATGTAATCAGTCCTTGTAGCTGTCAATAAACTGTTGATCAGATGGATATCATCACTAATGAATTAGAGTTGGGAATGAACTTGAACTCTGGATAGCTTTGTTAACAACATCAAGCTTGATCAAAGTACAGAGTAACAATTGAGTGTTAATCTTAAGCAAACATTGTGCAATTTTTACAAACCTCTATAAGGTAGCTACCCTCCATTAAGCAAACACTTGGGAAAGTCCTAAGGGTGTCAGCTTGATGGTGGTTTCACTGTATTTCCTGCCTATTTTTTAAATTTTTTTTCTCTATTTCTTTAGATGTTTTAAGAAGCCAACACCTTCTAATTCTTACTTCAGAAATTGTTCTTCCTTTCTCTTTTTGAGTTCAAGTTCATTTAAAAAAGATGTTATTGTTGTTTAGGCTGGAATATCAAGTGGTTATATGAAGAAACCCTGCCTTGACCCATTTGATCCAGAGTGTCCCCATACAGCACCAAATTACAGGAAGGAGGTAAGGAAACTGATTGGAAAACAGCTTTTGTGTTAATACCAAGTATTGGTGCAACCAAGCCTTTTAGATCAAAATTACACCTTAGTTACTTCTTGTTAGCAACATATGACATGCATGTAAGAACCTTGAACTGGTTTGTACGAAGTCTTGATTGTCTGTTAAGCATTAAAATTTGCAACCTGATTATCTAGACTTGGAAAAGCACAGAAAGGGAATTGACTTATTCTTGAGAAAGTGGGAGTAACAGTGGGTTGTTCTTCACTTGGCTGTAACAATTGCTAGATGTAGTATCAGAAAGAAGTGTAGTATCAGCCAGAAAGTTGAAATAGGCATTGTCAGAAAAAGTTCAATTTTGGGACAAACTCTAAGCATCTTTACTCAGATTTTGTGATTTGAATTGTAGCATGAGACTAAAAAGTGAAAGTAATGGAGTGTGAAAAGTCCAGAAAAGTCATTGAATTCTATACTTTAAAGAGCATTAATAACTCATTTATGTATTCCATGTTGTTATATGTAGAAACCAGATATAGGTGTAGAGGTGACTGATGGCTGCCAGGGATTTGCAACAAAGTATCTTGATTGGCCTGAAGAGCTCATTGTAGGGGGAGTGACAAAGAATAGAACTGATTTTGTCAGAAGGTTAGGCTTTCTTTGAAAACATATGATTAACCCATAATTGTGTGACAGATTTGGGACAAATGGTGGCATAGTTTCATAGTTCAAACAAAGGTTGTCTGAAAACTAATGACTGCTGGTAGAAGTATCTGGTTTTTTTTTCCACCACATGATTGTAAATATTTATACCTTACTTGAGATTTCTTTGTCTGCAGAATGTTTTAAGTTTGGTTCATGAATGCTGATCAGCCTGTTTTTCTAAGTTTTTTTTATATAATTCTCAAGTAGTCTTAGTCTGTAGTAATTCCATAGTTTGCAAGGTTTGATAATTTGTGATATAATGTAAAAACCAAAAATTTAGTAGTTTTATTAAACATATTTTCAAACAATCTGCAAAAGAAGACACTTCTCTCTGAGTTTGCAAAAGCTTGAGTACACAATGCAAACAAGAGGCATGGAAATAAGGCAGAGTTTAAACTCAACATGACAACCCAATATCTGCAAGTCACGTCACATGCTATTGTTTATTGGCTGTTTGCTCTTGACCAATCAGAGTGTCCACAGTAAGCTTATATAGTCTAGTGTATAATAACAATGATGATGAGATCATAATGGTGAAGCTAATCTTAATATCAATTCTTTGCACCATTTCTATTTCAGTGCTGAGGCATTGCAGAGTATTGTTTTGTTGATGGGTAAACAACAAATGTTCACTCACTGGCATGGAGCAGCAAAAGTCCAGCACTTAGAACAGCAGTGGTCAGAAGATGAAGCTTCTCAAGTTTTGGAAGCGTGGAAGCGCGAGTTCACAAAGGTAAAGATAACTACAGCTTTCATATCTAGGGGTGAAGGGGGAAGTCTGCACTTGAGCTGAGTGGCTATTAACCTTTAACTCTCAGAGGTGATTGACATAGAACTTCTCCCCATAATATCCATACATTATCCTACAAACAGGTATTGAGAAAACTCCAACTTATCAGGCAGAAGTTGTTATCTTGATCTAACACTAAATTCTCACAACTGATTTACAAGGTAATGTGTAGCAGCTTGAGGGGAGAATTAACAGTCAGATCTTGGGAGTTAAAGGGTTAAGGTGCTGAAACTTTTCCCAGTCTCCATAGCATGAAGCACTCAGTGATATTACTCCTCCCTTGGATTATGTGCTAGTCTATAGCAGGTTCCAACCCTCCCCTGAGGCTTCCCTGGCAGGGGAGGGGTAACCATGTGTACCCCATTGCAGAGGTGTTTTTTTGGGGGTAAATCCTCATGCCTAAGAACAAAGCACAGTGACCCAGCTAGGCATCAAACTTAAACGTTTCCACCAGGAGTCCAATATTTATTCCATTTTCATCACTTGATCAGCTACAACTGTTTTGCTTTGTTGTATAAAAGACTTTTGTTTTTTTGAACTCTTACAGACAGTCAACTTGGTTGATCAAAGTGGAGAAGACTCAGAGGTCCTAGCTTTTTCTTCCACTTCGTTTAATGATCTCCTGAAGGACTTTTCCAAGACAAGCTACTCCAAAGTGGCAATTGGCTATGCACTTATGGTAAGATAATGGAATTGTTAGACTTAAATGTGTTAATTACCTCTTGTAATGACAAAGAGTGATTTTGACAAACCAATAGATCGTTTTCACTCACGTGACCAATTCCTTGACTACCGTTGCTACGCCGCCATATTGGTGTACCTCAATTGTAAACAAACTAGTAGCGTCCTTCGCGTGGAACATGGTTTTGTGTCTGATCGTTGGCTGTGGCAGCAAAAGTGGACGAGATAAAGGGTTGTACTTTGCAAGGGTGCCTTCTGTGGTCAAAAATCAAGGCGAAGAGGCACAGAAACTATCCGAAGAAAGAAGATCGCGCTGGATTTCAGCGATAAGCAGTGACGATCTGACCGAAGAGATCTTAGAAAACGATCGTGTATGCGAAAAGCATTTTGTTTCAGGAAGGGCAGCTAAGAGCTGGGATAAATTTAATATTGACTGGGTTCCGACATTGCTTTTGGGACACAAGAAAGCGTCTGATCGAGCAGATCATAAAGAAGCGGCGGCAAAACGAAGCGAGAGAGCGAGGGAACGTGAACTAGTGAAGAAGCCGGCTTTTGAAAAGAGAGAACAAGAGCTAGAACTAGAGCGAACGGCGAAGAGACAGAAACTTAATGAGCCCGTTGAACAGGTTTCAAACCTCAGCTTTGAAGGAAATGAGGACGAAGAGAAAAAATTAACAGTTGAAGCTGGCACACAAACTGAAGAGTTTGAATATTTATTCAGCTCTCTAAACATTGACCGGAAACCATTTTGATCGGTGGGAATTTGTACAAAACGAAGAAAAAGTTAAATTCTACACTGGATTGCCTTCCTTCGATATCCTGCAAAAATGTTTTCGAACATGTTTCTCCATTTGTTGCTTACAAGTCCCAGAATCTGACCACATTTCAAGAGTTTGTCATGACTTTGATAAAACTTAAACTTGACGCACCACATCAAGATCTTTCATATCGCTTTAATGTCTCCCTTTCAACAGTTTCAAGGATTTTTTCATCCTGGATGGTAGCGCTAGATGTACGCCTGGCTCCACTTATCAACTGGCCTGAACGTGAGGATTTATGGCAAACTATGCCACAGTGTTTTAAATATTCATTTGGAAACAAAACTACCGTGATTATTGATTGTTTCGAAGTATTTATTAATAGACCATCAAATCTGCTCGCAAGAGCACAGACATGGTCATCGTACAAACACCATAACACTGTTAAGGTGCTGATTGGGATAACTCCACAAGGTACAATCTCCTATGTTTCCCAAGCTTGGGGAGGACGAACATCAGACAAATATTTAACTGAGAACTGTGGAATTTTAAATAAGTTGTTGCCTGGGGATCTGGTCTTGGCTGACCGTGGTTTCACCATCGCAGAGAGTTACCCTTCGCTTGTGCGACAGTATCTCTCTCAACTTGTAAGATTTGTTCTTTTGTAATCTCAATATCTACCTCTTGACAAGCTTTTAATAACTCAGGATAACTCAGAGCGAGGTACCTCTTATCAAACAGATCGCTAATTGTAGGTACGCAGCGACTTTTTATAGCTGTCTGCATACTCGGGTATTAAGCTTAGAGCGATGGGCTTGCTACTAGACTTACTAAGTTTAGCATAAAAGGTATCCATTTCCGGTTTTGAGGGAACAGGGATCTCCTTTGACACGTTTCCTTTAGCATAGTTATCAGGGCTGGAAACATTGGAGAGGTTCTCAATCTTGGCATCTAAATTGTTTTTTATTTTCCTTGCGGATGTAAAGTTTATTTCTCGCACCTTTTCATATTCTACTTGTTTGACGTAGGTAAGTAAAAGCCACGAGCACTTCACTTGCGTGCAGGCAAGTCTGCCATTAATTTTTGTCCACGCTTCCAGATAAAATAGCACGTTTGCTATATGCGAACAGGTTTCTGCCAGGCCAGCCTTGCAACCTAAGCAGTGTGCAAACAAAATTGTTCCTTCTCTTTCCGTGATAACCCAACATGAAATAAGAGAGTCGTTCATACGCTGGGAATGTCTCACCTTTGCTAAAACAAGAAACTTGTCGGCGATTATGTGGCCTTGCACGCTTGCGATAAAACCAGAGACCATTTGGTTATATGCTTCAAGACTTCGGAAAGCTTTAAACTGTTTCTGAGTGAGGAAACTTGTCTCCAAGACAAGATAACACAAAATATGTGTGGATTCAACAGGAGGCAAACAGTCCGGCTTAAAGTCCTTCCCTTCGACTAAAACTGGATCAGTTCCAATTGCCGCTATTTTCTGTAAATATCGATCTCTGACTGGAAAATCCAGCTGCTTCGCGTATTCGGATATCGGAAAAGAATAGTCGACCCCGCTTTTGTTCTGGGACTCTTTTTCTTACTCTTTTGAATCCATTTTACTTGTGGGAATGATAATTGTGGAAAAATTACGGGGATTACGCAATCGAAAGTGGTACACCAATATGGCCGACCGGAAATGGTGTGACGTCACGTGAAAACGATCTATAGTGCAGATAAGAGGGGTCATGGGGAATAAATACTGTAATTAATTTATAAAGTAAAACATGATCAAAACAACTTTTTGTCTTCTTGTCAGCTCTTATATGCATGTGTAACCCTGAAACACTGGACCAATGCAGTAGACTCTCATGGTGCTCTTGGTTTTGCTGGTGTCCTGTTAGTGACTGTGGCTGTTGCATCAGGGCTTGGATTTTGTTCTTTTGTCAATATCAAATTTAACGCTGCTTCCACCCAGGTAAGCTGTGGACTCTCGAATGATTACATTTAGATGGCATCTAACAGCTCCTTATCTTTTCATATCCTGTTATTACTTACTTAAATTTCTTTGACAAATAGATCTTGCCATATCTTGCTTTGGGTCTGGGAGTGGATGACATGTTCCTGCTGGCTCACACATATGCATCTACCAGAGATAAAACCAAAGTAAGTGGTAACTAATTGAGTTGTTGCAGTGATCTCTTACAGCCAAAGTTCTCAAATGCCATGTCCAAGCATGAGTGCTTGGAAGTTAAAGTTGCCATGTGACCTTGCTATTTGTCTAAAAATTAAGTAATACAGCTGTTAATCATTTTTGGCAGTTCACAGGACATAGGTTAGGCCCATTACTTGGTCATTGGAGAAAAAGAGGTAAATTTTCATCAAAGAGAAAGACTTGACACTATAGACATGAACACTTACTAATTAGAATGCTACAGCTTGCAACAATATGGCTGCCAAACACAGGTGCCGCCCCCCACCCATGGTAGCTGAAATGGTAGCAGCTTGGAACACTGCATTGTTTACAGTCTTGTGCATATTAGGGGATCTTATTTTGCAAATCAGCTGAACAATTTTAAAGACATAACTTTAAATTAATGTTTTTCTCTTATAGGAACCAGCAGCATATTGCCTTGGAAGCACAGGGGTCAGTGTATTCTTGACCTCTTTTAACAATATGTTTGCTTTTTTTATGGCGGCACTGATACCGATTCCAGCCCTGAGGTCATTTTCTTTACAGGTTTGTGTGCAGATTCTCTCTGGTTTTGTTTGTCCTCTTTGTACAAATGAAAGTGACTTAGAGAACCATGCTTTTGAATTTCACTAAATTTGTTTAAATTGCAGGCTGGCATTGTGGTCCTGTTCAATTTTTTTGCTGTCATAGTAATATTTCCTGCTATGATAGTGATTGACAGAAGCAGAAGGAAAAGTGGCAAATATGATCTGCTCTGCTGTATTGAAAGGTTGGTTCATGTATTCTCTATAGTTGTAAAATTGTCAGCTTTACCAAAGAATGCTTCAGCAAAACTCATTTCTGCAAAAATGTTCTTGAGCCTGTTCAGTAATTTAGACTCACCTTTTCTTCTCAACAATTAAAGGTGTTCTGAAGCTTCATTTCAGATTTTGTAACACTTTACACTGCTGCTGTTCAGTGTGGTGGGCAAGGGGTTGGGTTTCCTGTTGTGAAATATCCCAGCTCTGAAGAGCCACAATACTTGAACTTTGGATGTAATGACTTCATGAAGTTAAGTCATATCCTTGCATATTTATTTGTTCTTTTATAGGAGGACAGAGCCTCAGAGAATTTCGATAACACCCAGTACAACAGGGCATGACAGTGATCTTGTGCTTCACCGGTATCACAACTCCTGCAACTCTATGTCAGACATTTCTGTGCTGCAAGGTCTTAGTGGGACAGTTATACTTCCTGGTAATATTCAGGCCACTGCGTCACAGACACTGCATTTCCCTAATGTGGTGACAGTTCAAGCATCAGCATCAGCTGAAGTGGGTAACACCCCTTTGACAGAACGTCTGCGACACAAGAGGGGTTGTCCCAGTAGAGATAGACAAATGACAGAATCAAGTGATTTTGAACTGTCAGCTTTGGGTAATATACGCAGTAGTAATGGGGTGGGTAATGCAAAGGCTAAAGCCGGTGCTTCAGCAAATGTCGTGCAAGTTCAGTTGGGCAGATCCTTGGATACAGAGCAGCAAGATGGTCATGATTTTAACACCAGGCCTTCTAGTCACCAAGGTCTTAATAAATCATTTGCAATCTACTCAGAACAAACACCAGCTGACAGTTGCACCTGTGGAGAGGCTGGCCCTGATCTGCGAGGTAGAAGACGCACTTACAAGGGACAGTCAAAGGACATCATTGATGAAAATGCTGTTGTGTTAGCTTCCAGAGGGGAAAGCAAGATCCGAACACTACCACCAACAAATACACCAAGAAATGTTCAGTTTCAGGTGTCAGCTAATGCTGCAGCAAATGGAGAATCCACAGTGGCTACTGCTGAATGTTCTTCAGTCCAAGACTTAATGAGGACAAGGAGCTCAAACTCAAGATCATCCCCAGGGCTTGATTCAATGTGGAGGGCCTCAACCAATCGAAGCATGTCAGACCCAGATTTAGAGTCAAACAGGTGGAATATGGTGAAAGAGAAGCTCCAGGTTCTGTCGTTGTCTTACTTTGCCAAAGAGTACTATGGTCCATGGTTACAAAAGATGCCAGTCAAGGTGATAGCAGCTCTACTGAGTATTAATACAAACTGACTTCAATAAAGAACTACAGACTGCCACTGACAGCTAAAGTTACACCACCTACAGTGTACTTTTAAGAAATAATTCCACTTGCATTTTATATTTCTATTTTATATTTCTATTTTAAACTGCAACAGTATAGCTTCTTATATTACCACATTCCTTGCGTGAAGATGTTAACCCTTTAACTGCCATGGGTGACCAAGACAGAATTTCTCCTTACAATATAAATACAATAATAGGCATCTTGATCTAGCAGAGCACCACCTACAGTGTACTTTCACCTACAGTGTACTTTCAAGATTTTATGCCATTTGCATTTAATGACTTTAAACTGTAATAGTAAAGCTTCTTAATATATTACCCCACTAACACTCTTTGCCTGAAGCTGTTAACTCCCTAACTCACATGGGTGACCAAGAGAGAATTTCTCTTTACAGTATCAGTACAATACTAAGCAGAGAAGTGAGGAGAATAGAGAGAAGAGTTAATCGAGGAATTGTTAGTTGATACAATACCATTTCTCCCAACTAACATCATAATAATTGTATAACAGACAATAGGCAGAATTACTGATGAGATCTTGGGGGTCAGAGGGCTCAACTAACATTTAAAAAAGCAAAGCTACTGATAATTCAATACTTAGACTACTTAATTTGCATAATGGAAAGCTAAAGTAGGTACAGTTAAATGCTCCTTACACAATACTGATACCAAACTTGTTTAAACAAGATCTCGTCAGTAATTCTCCTTACTGTCTGCCATACAGTTCTTCTGATGTTAGTTGGGAGAATTTGGTGTTGGATGAACTTTTAAATTCCCTAATTTAAATTTGTTCTTTATTCTCATCACTTGTCTGCTTGATATTGTATAACCATTGTAGGGAGAAATTCTGTCTTGGTCACTCATGTGAGTTGAAGGGTTAAGGAGAATAATGCTCCTGAAGAATCCTTGAATCCCTGAATGAATGTCTGGGGCTTAAGTAAAATAATAATTTTAGCCTTTTAATGAAGACTGTTTTGAAATAACTTAGACCTGAAGAGTATTACTGATCACCCCTGTCAAAGTTCAATCTGTTTTACTCATAGTATTGTATATTCTGTCCTTTCTCAGATTTCTGTCCTTTTTGTGTTTGCCTGTGTCTTTGCTGCTGGTGTGTATGGCTGTATGAAAGTAGAGGAGGGCTTGGATTTGACTGATGTGGTTCCACGGAAGAGCCCTGAACACAAGTTTGTGAAAGCGCAGTTTGAGTACTTCTCCTTCTACCAGATGCAAATTGTGACCAAAGGAGGCTATGATTATCCTAATGGACAGGAGCTCTTGCTCAAATTTCATGAGGCCTTCAAGAAGGTAAAAACTCTTCCTTAAGTGTAGTTTCTCCAGTTGTGGCCACATTTTTGTTTGGTGTGATGTAGAAATATTAGCCTTTTAACACCTTCAGGTGACAAGCTATTAAGATTCTTGTAAATAAGATTTTTATTAAATTTCTGAATGAAAATCATGTAAGTTTGTTGCTACAATTTTCTTGAAGAAAAAACATGGGGACTTTTCCCTCTTAGTGAGCAGTTTGGGAAACTCTAGTGTATGATTTCTGAGGTTCTTTCACTTTTAAAATGCAGTAAGGAATAAAGGGTTTGTTTATGATTCCTGAGGTTCTTTCACTTTTAAATAAGGGTGTGGAAAATACAATATTTCTTGTTGTTTTAGCATTCAAAGTATTCTCTGTTTCCTCCAAACCAAAGGCCTTTAATTAATTAAAATCTGGGAATTTGTCCTGTGTGGCACCATTTCCCAGGGCAGGAAGATGGAAGAGGTTTCAGTTTTCTGTGAGGCTTACCAGCACAAGAAACAATAGCTTAACTTGTTTTTAATTATTTCTCACAGATTGACAACATCATAAAAACCCCAGAGGGGGAATTACCACTATTCTGGCTCATGTATTTTAGAGACTGGCTCAAAGGTATGTTACAAGGAAATCCACCTTCAATGTTAAAATTGGGCATGAATCACTTTATTATTGTGTGTGCAACATTCTGGTGTTGGTAGTGCTATTATTTTTGTTCTTCTGAAGAGATCTTTTATATTGTTCAGATCTGCAGAAGGCATTTGACAAAGACTGGGAGGAAGGAAGAATAACTTATGCAGGATGGCACAAAAATGCATCTGACTATGGAGTGATGGCATTCAAGTTGTTAGCACAAACTGGAGAAAAAGAGATGGCAAACAAATCCATAGTATGTTTTAGCCTCTAATATCTTTTAATGTAATATTGGATGCTCTGGGTGAGGGTAGCCCTGAAAAAAACTTGTTGCCTTTGGCTGTGGCAGAAATTTCAACAACTATTGTGGAAGTTATGGTCAGAGTCATGGGAAGAGTTGTGTGTTGGCATTGTGGTATTAGGCTGATCATGGAGACTGATCACTGAGTTTGCAATGATTCCATTGGCTCTATGATTGGTCATTTTTTTGTTGTTGTTTTGCTAAGTGAGTGGATTTGTTGTAAGGTGGGTATCTGCTGATGGAAGTCTTCTAAGCTGGTGAACTCACTCCCCAAAGTAGTTTGTGCTTGTCAAAAGTTTGTAGGACTTTTACACCCAGAAGGGATGTTTATTCTAACTGATAGCAGAGTTTTGATTGCAAAGCTTTCAAGAATCTACCCTCATTGAGTTTGACTGCCTTTTTGTTGCTCCTCCAAATCAACAGGTTCGAAGTGTCAGGTTGGTCAACGAAGATGGAATCATTAGACCAGAGACCTTTTACAAGTACCTGATGGTCTGGTATAACATGGACCCCATTGGGTACACTTACTCACAGGTTAGTTGACGTGATAGGAACGTATTACTCTGAGAGACATTTACATCAAACTCTCTTTGGTCTTTGCAAAGGTTCACAATCTTCCTTTATATACAGTTTACATGGTTTGAAAAATTCAGGCTGAATTTTCAAGCTTATCATTAATTTTTTCCAATCTCTTTAACTGAGCTGCACCTTTATCACAGAGGTCATGAGTTCAAATCCCATACGTGCCTGAATTTTTTTCAGGTCCTATTTTCAACTACTCGTTTCAGTAGTGTTCTTAGCTGCGAGGATCTCTTAATTTCATCTCTTCACCGCAGTGCAAATATATGAATTTCATATATCTAAAATCATCATTGAGCTGACAATAGTTTTACTAAAGATTTGAGGCACATAATCATGACTTTCGATTGTACCAGTATGATAACTCTATGAAGACTTGACTTCACAAGTCCTCTTTATGCAGGCAAATATCAGACCAGAACCAGAAGAGTCTTGGTACAACAAGAGGAGTACACAAGACTACAGTGCAATGCGAGGTACAGTGTGCTTGTTATAAACTATTTTTTATCTTCGAAATTATAAATGTATGAAATACAAAAGGTGTCTACTTCGGTGTAGTGGTACTAGAGTCCATACCAGTTTCTATAGCATGAAGGGACAAAGAGCATTTCTACTCTCCCCTGGATGATATGCTGGTTCACTGCAGGATAAACACACACACACACACCCCCCCCCCTTCCCCATCTTTTTCGGCTCTGGTACACCACCTATTTGTTCTCTGGGGTGAAGGGGGAGGATTACTGTGGGAGCATGGTGTCTTGCCCAGGAACTCAACATGATAAACCACTCAGGGCATGAAAACTTCCAGAATCTCATAGGCTGACTAAAACACAGCAGTTTTCCTTAGTGTGTGTATGCTCACAAGTTAGTGTTTCAATTCACTCACTCTGTAGATGTTCAGATACTTACAGTTACATTAACGGAGAGAAAATGGTAAATTTTCTTGTGTGTGAGAGTGTTTTTTTTTTTTTTTTGCAACAGTTGAACCACCAGCACCAGTGATCAACTTCTCTTACATTCCATTCAAGCTGATCAATCTCCGAGAGACAAAAGACTTCATTCATGTTATCAAGGTACAACTTCTTTACAACATGCAACTACGGTTTTGTGTTGGTTCCATTATCAACCGATTTCAACTGAAAGATTTATCGAGGTGTAAAATTCTTGAAAGTTTAGAAATGAAAATATAGTCTTATCTCGGAGACCTCAACAACACAACTCTCACTTCACGTGGTTTTAAGTTCGTTAGACATCTACCATTTCAGCGTGATGTCGCACAATATGGTATCAAAACCATACCAACAATCTGGAATATTAATTTTGTCAGGAAGTTTTAAAGCTACAAATATTACAAACCCATTAGTGTGTACTTCAACATATCAGGAGCATTTGAGGTTTTCAGTTTTTCTTCAGCTAAGGTAAAATTCCCTTTTTGCAGAGTGTTCGTGCCTTGTGTGAAGAATTTGAAAAAGCTGGTTTGCCTAATTACCCAAGTGGCATTCCGTTCATATTCTGGGAGCAGTACATTTGGCTTGGGAAGCATCTTATGACTGCAGTTGCCATTGTTCTGTCTGCAAGTTTCGTGGTTATGGCTGTTATTCTGTGTAACTTCTGGGCTGCGATGCTGATTGTAAGTACACTTGCTCATTATTTGGTACATCCGGAAGGGGTTATAGAGAAATAACAGTTTGTGAGGGCATTAAAGATGTGCCAGGCTGTCTGAGGGAGATGGGCCACTATTATTTTCTCGGAAATGTGTTTAAAAAATCGATAAAAGTCGGTGTGATGGCATGTTTAAAAAGTATTGATCACAGTTTGCATGTTCTCGATTTTGCCGTCATGATAATAATTTCCTAACCAAGTTTGTTTGGTCGAGTTGTTTGAATAATGGCGACATTTTAATGAAATATCTTGTATTCATCCTTGGCAATTAAAACCCCTTGTTGTTGATCTGTACAAGTCTTGACTACATTAGTTCCACCCTCCATCCCAGAAGAGTAGCAAATGCAAAGTACTAATAGAATGAGTAAGGGTCTTTTTTCAAACTCACACTCCGCATTTTCACATTTCACAGGTAATTGTCTTGGTGATGATAACAGTTGAAGTGTACGGCTTCATGGGTTTGGCTGGTATAAAACTCAGTGCTGTACCTGCTGTGACACTTATTCTGTCTGTTGGAGTTGGAGTGGAGTTTACTGTACACATGTGTATGGTATGTATAAAAAGCACTAGAATCTTTCTTTAAGACGTTTCTGGGGGTTTTAATGACAATTTTCTCCAAGTGGCTAACGATGGAGGAACAGGAAAGGGACTGTAATTTAACAAAGGCAGACAAGAGTTTCGAGTTGCACCATTTTGACTTAATGGTGCAGATTGTTACCTTTTGAGATCAGTACGGTCGAAGGCTTTGAGACTTAATCTTGCCCGATTTGAATCTAAGAATTTACTTTCTTTTTATTGCTGTTACGTTTGGTATTACTGCGTCGTAGGTTTTGATTGGATTGTCCCAAATAATTACAACAAAAAATTTTATATAAAAACGAGATAAGTGAAAATGAAGCGAAGAAGCCTTTTACTTACACGTTATACTGCGTTGTTCTTGCAGAAATTTTTGACCAGTACGGGCGACCGTAACCAGCGAATGCAGAGAGCTGTGGAATATGTTTTTTCTCCTGTTGTGGATGGCGCCGTCTCCACGCTTCTGGGCGTCATTATGCTTGCAGGATCAGACTTCGATTTCATAGTCAGGTAATTATAACTAAAGGGCAGGAACGCGGAAAATTATGCTGTATAAACAACAACAAACACGACCATGTGCGTGGTTTGAAAAATGGCGGTAAATATCAAAATCAGATTTAATTCCCGTCACACCTTGCGAATGTTCTTATGTCCGATTTCCCGTATGTGAAGCCCTATTTACTCAGTAAGGTATTTCTAATCACTTTTTTCCTCGAGGGAAAATTTTATGTTCTCAACTTGTTTTGGTAGAATTATCCTAAATCCCTTTACAATTTCTTCGATATTTCTTTTCAAGTCATTCACGACAGCAATCATTGTAGTTGATGATATTTGCCGAAACGATATTTCTCGCTTAGAGTCTTAAATGCTAGCTATTGGACACAAGTTTCCGTAATCTGGTCAAGAATTTTTTTCAGCGAGAGTATAGCACGTTTCCGAAAGAAAAGAAACACAATTGTAAATATTTTTTTAATATGAGCCATTCTTTTATCTTCGTTTGTTTATTTTTTATCATCATTTTTTTTTTGCATTTATTTAGATATTTCTTCAACCTGTTGGCGGCACTTATCGTCATTGGAACTCTCAACGGTTTGGTATTTCTGCCTGTGTTGTTGTCTCTGGCAGGGCCTGGGCCTGAGGTAAGTGTCATGGGTGAAAATGAGGTGTAATTGGGTTTTAAGCAGTTGTATGCGATGCAGGAACTAGAAAAAAGATAAATAACCAACTCAAGACATACTGAAGCCTTACAGATGACTCTTTAAAAAACGTCGAGCCAAATCTTTTCCAAGTTCATTGTGCGCTTTAAAGGGAACGAAGATGCAAAACCGAAGCAATTAGAAAAGCCAATCAGAGAGTAGCAAATATCTCCAGTAGCTGCTGAGAACTCACAAACAAGCAAACTGCCTGAGGCGCGTAGAACGCGAGTGACTTAGTCTCAATTTCTTTGCTTTGCATCTCATTGGTTGAGAGGGTGGTGTGAGGATTCCAAACCAATCACTGCGTGAAGCCTATAAGTAAAATCAATTTGATGTTGCTTTCGACAAAGCCGCTGTGATGTGTTAATAGAAAGCATGTTTAGTCGAGGTTGGACCTGACTATGTCCTCGCATCAATGTTTACCATTCTCTTTGTTTTATATAAATACAGATTGAAGAGGTTCGCCCTCCAGGTACGGCTTCATCTACTGCTTCCAACGGAGAGTTACTACCAAGCTCCACGTGTAGGCAGAGAACTCCCCGCTCCGACTCCGAGGTTTGTATCATGGAAACTATCCCTAAACAACAGGAGAAGTCATCAAGTTCCGGGGGGAGACGTACGCGTCATAAGAGGATTCCGCATAAGAGCAACAGGCGTTCAAATCGGAGCAGGACTCCCACTGTGGATTCTGATTCGTCAAGCTCGACTGTGACTCGTGTTACAGCTCGGGCCACGGTCACAGTCGAAGTACATACCGAGCAGGTTTCCACTGAGAGATCGGCGTACCAGAATTTCCGAAGTGGCGGTGCCCAAGCCGGGCCGATCCGTAGTGAAAGGGAGATTGACGAGGAGGATTTGCAAGTAACAAATCTGGAAGAGTACGAGGATGATGTGAAAAGATAGGCGTCAGAAAACCATTGGAAATGTCAGATGAAGGTATTATCTAAACTCCTTCCATAGGAAAACACGCGAGACGTGGGTGCGTGGGTGAAGAGTGCGCGCGGCGCGAGTAACCTGCAGCAGCATTGACCAAGAACGAGAAGTTGGTGCAGTTATTCACCAAGAACTTCGTGACATTTTTTGTAAAGATAAAACCAGTAAAACCGGATTTTACTGGATTGTACCAAACTGTTATTGGACAAGAAAGGGTTAGCTTTACGTTGGAGATCTCAGTCTTAATTATTCTAATTTAGAACCGAATACAAACATTATTCGAATTATTTATATTTGGTGTACAAAGTTCGAAGGTGTAATTATGCATTTACGTGCCAACTGGGCCCATGTTATCCTATTATATCGTGTAATCTACGTCTTGTGTAGAGTTTGCAGTATTTATAGTAGAAAAGTGGAGAAGAAGCGGTCACTCGCTACAACCTCGACTTATAAAGAGATGTTTGGTTAATTTAGCCCGCTATGTTCTGTATCTACTGGAGCAGTATGAACCCAGGAAACGTTATATTCAGTGGATTAAAGACTTCTTTTTCGTTACCTCAGTGGAGGGTTTGATGTGTTCGTCATACTGTAGAAGTTGGTCACCATCATTTCAGCAGCTAAATGCCCTCATCTGGGGATATTCGCTGTTGGGGGTATGTGGCTCCAACTTGTTAGTTTATGGGTGAGATTTTAGTGTGTTAGTAAATCTAAGTATACTTCACTGGAGGAGATGTGATTGAAACCTGAGGTGGTTGTCTTAAGCGTGATAACCGTGGTTTTATCGGGTCCGATCTTCTCAAATACCTTTCTTCTCGAAGTAGGATCAATGCCTCCTTTTCCGAACAGAGGCTGGTTGCCTTGGCGACGGCTGTGTTGACAAAGCGGTGTTCTCCTTCGTGTGATTTTCTTAATCTAGATGTCGCACCTTACAATGTCTCCGAGTTGTTTGCTTTCATTAAGATAGCACAAAGTTAAGTGCCTACAGTTTGATGGTGAGGATCCAGATATAGAGCGATTTTCAATGAAGTGTCCAAAGTAATCTGGAATTGCATTGATTTTGCTTTGCTTTGTGCCGTGATTGGTCTGGAAACTCGAGCCTCCATCTTAAACCCATTACTCGCCTTTTTCCCGCGCACAAGGCAGTTTGCTTATTCCAATCCTGAACTCTTATATGCTCACTGCGATAGTTTCCTTTGCTTTAATTGGCTGTTGTGATTACGATGGGTTTAGTCTTATGACGTTCAATCGAAAAGCGCTCTATAGGGTCGTTTACGTAGGTTACATGCCATTTTGTGATAAGGGGTGGATTAGCCCTATGATATAGTCAATCCCGTATCAGTTGTATATCTTTTTTTAAAGCAGTAGCCCGTAAGTTATTTATTTAATCCTTATTACATTGGAATAGCTTTAGTAATCAGTCTTGCTTCTTGAGGCGTTCGTACTCGAGGGACATACGGGATTTGACCCCTAAAGTGACATCAGGGACTCCCCGCTATTATGTGACGTTATCAAAACGTACTGCCCATGAAGTGTAAGTAGAAGTTCCTCGGTAGTCCTCATTGCAGCAGTTGTTTGTTTGTGTCACGACGTGACATGACGCTGGTGCAGGGAGCTCTTAGCGTAATCGGCATAAACGAAAGCTGCGAAAGAGGTTACTGTAAGGGAGAAAAGAGTTGAACAAAGAACATAGAACTACTGTTTACTAAAGCTAACACTTAGGTCGATTGTTTAGGACTCCAGACGGCATAATCTGATATACCGGTATATACACGAAGTATTATCCCGTTCGTCATTCTAGTCGCTGGCCAAGAGTATTGAGTCATGGGCCAACGAACAAATGTTAAATTATTATCACTGATAAACACTGTTGGATATTTAATGAATAAAGTTTCGTTGAATCTTACCTTCACTCAAGTTAACAATGCAGGTAAGCTTGCACGTGCGAACGTTTGAAAGACAAGGTGGCATATTTTTCTTTTCATAATTTTCTTCAAGCGATCGTGGTTAAGATCGATGCCATGAGTCACTTTCGCTTTCATGAGTAAATATATATGTGTCCGAGAATTAATCTTTCGTCTTTTTCGAGATGTGAGCTTGGATACCTCTGCTTAAACGCAACAACAACCTCAAGAAACCTCACACCTCGGGGTTGTAAGATTGCATGTAAACGCATATTATTTTTCGACCACGGCTAGGCGGGTTACCTCACCTACCTGGGGTCCCCCACCTCCATGTAAACAGGCCCTTAGAATCAAGTTGTCTCCCTCATAACCCAGTCAGTCACGGTATTTCAAAAGCGTATAACTTTTTCGGTAAAACCCCAAAACTTAAATAATCAGGATGTCTGCATTGGAATAAGCTTTGCGATCGACTTGTCAAGAATTTTTCCCTTTTCTACGGACGTTTCATCTTTGGCTTATTTTGCGGAGCAGCGGTTGTTTATCATGTTTCCTTTGAAATTTTGCGCGGGAAATTTAAGTACAGGCTACCAGAAGTGACCCCCTCGTGCATGCCCGACGTCAGCCGGAGCGCTGTGCTACTCTTAGCCTGCGTGCAGGCGTTCAATAATGCTGTGGCACTAGCGGCAAAGCCCACAACATGCGAGCTGGCAAGCGAAACAAGCATACGGGAAGTGTACAAGGGGTTTGGTATTTTCACTGGTTCATTCGTATGCCAAGAACTTCAGAGATGAATACAATTTAGATATTTCAACGACACCTTGTTTTGACAGTGGAGGTTTCCTTAAAGTCACTCTATCTCCCGCCCAAGAACTCAGCTTAAATAAATTTAAAAATAGGTATGCAAAGGCATACATATGTCTAGTGCGAGCTAGTTGCTTGCATGTACTTCAAATTCTTTTGTGGCATACAGTTGTTACCTCTTTCGATCTATCCCAATCATAGCAGACGTTTTGGAGCTTAAATGGAAAATACATATTCTAGGAATAATTTAAATTTGAGCGTAAAAGCGACGGAATTAGTTTTGGGGTAACAAAAAATGCAATTCTCAAAAGCGTAGGGAAAGGCCCGAAAATGAAAACAGAACTTCCTAACTTCAAGTGAGACTCTGCGATATTTGACTATTTTTGGGACTGATAATTTTATTTTTTTAAGTGTTCATATGTTTTTAAGATATTATTAAATCGAAGATTTTGTCTTTAAATTATTCAACTTCCAGAATCTTTAACACAACGCTATGGCCGTGAACTTATGTAAACAACGATGGTGCATATATCGCCCAGGTCTTGTAAGTTCAAGAAATTCCTTGGCTTTTTCGTTTTTGAACGTTCTATCTAAGACTTTTTGGAATAAAGAGATATTTCTTGCTTATTTTCCTTGAATTTTATCAATAGCTTTTGGTCAAGAGAAAATATTATAGGGTTTGTATTCTCGTGAGTGTTAGTTTCGAAGCGCGTAGTTCGTGTACTTTTCTCTTGTCTTGTGTTCTGGTTTCTTTTTAACAATTAATCCCTCATTAGTTAATGATTATTAGTTAATAAGTTTGCCATTTCAATCACTTTCTTTTGAGCACATGTATCAGATATTGTATCTCATGTTTCATCGCCATTAGTTGCTGCTGTTACTTTCAATGTTCATCTGCTATCGTTAGGAGCTAGACCAAAGTTAGTCTTCCTTTACTTTACGTTTACGATATTTCCCTTTCGGTCTGTATTGACTACATTGGTTTATTTCTCGCACTTAGTTCTCTTTATAATCGTCTCATTGTTAGTTAGGTATGTGTTGCATTTCCCAGGGTACTTTCTTAGTTTATGTACTGCTGTACTTTTTTTTTTTCAGTTGAGACCACACAAATTCAGCAACAATCTTCAATTATAATCTCGTAACCTTCAATCGCAACTTCGCCCTTTTCATCCGTATAATTCAACATGATTTCACACCGATTACTTGATTCTAATTTGTAATTTTGATTACCTACTGCATTTAATTAATCCTTGTTTCTACTGTGCATTCGAATTGTCTTTTCCCTTCTACTAGTAACTTTTGGAGGAACAAGAATGTGTAACAACTTATTAGGGACCTCTGCACGAACCATGAATTGCGAACAAAGGTTTTCGTTAAAATTTTTTACCTTTCGGGATGTCTACGATAATTTTCACATTCCCACACGGATCAATGATCGACGCGAGCCATCTTAAAAAGAAAAAAGGATTGCAAACCGACAAATTTAAAGGAATTTGCGAGGCTTTTTTAGCTCTACATGTTGTACAACATCATGCGCAAAAGAATATTCCTTTTAAGCGACCTGGCACGTGTCTTTTAGGACCACTGGTGATATAATGTATTGTTGCCAAAGGTTTGGGCTGAATTGATTCTCACTGTGGGGTTTTGTAACATATTAGTCCATTGCAATTGTAAGAAAGTACATAAGCAAAGAACACTGCTAACAAACGACGAATGTAAAACGTAACATTTGTTTAACCAGAAACTGCCAATCTTTAAAGGAAACATATGTCTAGCCTGTACTCTTATGGATTACAAAGTACCAATAACTACATGTCATGGGCTAAGTGAAGGGCTTACTTGGAGAAATGGAAAATAACTGTTCCATCAAAACTTTAGTTCAGGGTGAATTAAACTACGAAACTGGAAGAACTCGATACTGTGTAATTGGAACGGATGTAATTGCATTCAACACAAACTTGTGACACAGACCTTTCAGTTAGCTCTGTTCACATGAAAAATAAAAATGCATGGTACAATATACACAATACTAGACATATTGCTGTCCATGAGAAAACAAGGAAATAATACAGTCGAAAGGTAACGATGTCATTCAGTATCATCATAATGATTAATTACATCAAGTGTTCGTTTTTCAATATTCTCTGAATAAATTAACAAAGGAAAAGCTAACTGGAACATTTCAATATTGTGTAACTGGAAGTAACATGGGTCCATTCTACTAATTAAATGAACTTGAACATAACTTGTGAACTTAGCTTACAGTTCAAGAACAAAAATTAAGCCTTTGGGACAACATCAGTGACAATTTTAGTCTTCTTGTTGTAAGTGATTTCCACTAGAGGTAGATCAAGGAAAACTTCAGTAATGTTATCTTCTGTTTTGGGCATATCTTTTTTTCCTATTGCAATCAGTAGGTTTTTTATTGTTTGATCAAAAATTGTAAGTGTAAGATTGGTGTTATCGTCGATCTTCACTATTACTTGCAGGTAGATATTTTTGCTACACTTTGCTAACTTTTGTTTAAGGCCACAATTACCGCACTTCAGAATGTTGGTGTTTTCATCATGAAGCTTTTTCTTGCACACCTGACAGGAGTGGTACACTGAAAACTGAGCAATTCCTAGTATTTCAGCAGTTGATTTAGAAATAAGAAATGATTCTGGGATGTCTGTTGGGGTGGCCGATGTTTCTTTGAAAGGCTCAACTTCTGTGATAGTTGTAGATCCATCTCTTGCTGTTGTTAATTCGTGCCAGTCACCATTCTTTCTTACTTTCAGGTTCTTGAAGGCATAAGTTTTCCCTTCTTGTACCAAATGGATCTCTTAGAGTTGCTTCCACCTTACTCTTAGGGCCATTCATGGTGTTAGCCTTTTTCTCTCCTGACAAGTAAAGGAGATTGGCTTTGACATCAACCAGTTGTCCAGGATTATCAGAGGTAATGGATGGTATGCTGACAGTTGTTGGGATTGTGATTGGTTCAAAGTTGAGTTCAGGCAGTGGTTCCACTTGGATTCTAGGGCTCATCAGTACACTCTTTGTATCTCCTGTTGCATCGATGTTGAATTTCTTGATTTTGATGGGGCTTTTCTGCTCACTGTACTTTTTGAAGTCATTGTGTTTTGCTGCTGAGAAGCATACCTCTCTAACAACTTCTGCTTCTGTTTGAATTTGCATATCAAATCATGTGGTTTTAGAACCTTTCTTTAGAGGAGAAATGTTATGAAGATAGCCAGTAAGTTCATCCTCCATTTTTCAGGAACAGGCTGTAAGGGAAAGATGGGATAATACATGAAATTACTGGTATTGACACTAAGACTTAAAATGAGGAGAAGGTACTTAGAGTTAAACAGAGAAATAAGTATATTTAGTTGTTATTATATACATTGGCTAGGAAATTGTTTGCTACTATTGAGAGAAAGGGGAAACCAAATAAAATTGAAAAAAATTGCAAGCTTACCTCTATCCCTATGTTTATTCTTTGATGGAAAAAAGTGTAAGAAGGTTGCCAAAAAGCAAAACAACCTTCAGAATTGCATTATAGTTTTAGGTTATCTTATTGAGGAATTTCATTGAGGAAAATTAGTATTTTTAGATCAGTTACTTGACAGTTAACTAACTGACTTCACATGTGTGCCTATTTTCAAGTTTCTATCCTTCAATTTATGCAAAAACACTGGCTTGTGATCTGAAAAACTGGAACATCTTATCAATACATGCATAAATTATGATGATGGATGTCAAGTGAATTTCTGAATTAATCTTCCTACATTGAATTCTATTAGTACTTTATGACATTCTCAAACATCTTACATGTAGTTACATGTGTATTCAATTTTTAACAACATCAAGTTTTAATCAATGCACATATTGCTTTATGATCAGTGAAATATGTTTCCAGAATGTGTACAGTCACTTGTGATTCAGGCAAATTGGTATATATGGTCAATAGTTGTTCTATTATCAGTAGTATAGGATGATACCAATTGTCTGTAATTGTTCTCTCTTATAAACAAGTTATTGAGGGGAACTTTCTCTTTTTGAATTAAGTAATTAACATTAAAATCCCCAAGAAAAACATTAAAATCAGAACAGCAACTATTGAGAATTTGGGTCAATGCTAGACACATTTGTCGGACTGACACTTTCGGTGACCTGTACACACCTATGATATTAACATAGGGAATGGCAACAACTTTGATAATGGTTTTTTCTACTCCATTGGTGTTTTTGGCCAGTGGATATCCAGGCTTAAAGGGGATTTTAGTGTATACAGCTGTTCCACCAAAGGGCCTTGTAGTGAGTATTGCAGATTCACTGTCATTTCAAAATATAGTATACCCACTTATGGCATAGCTGGCATTGCTATCTAAATGGTACAGTCTTGTTTCTGAGAATATATTGATATCCATATTTGAATAGTTTAGGTCACTATGTATGTCTTCAATATGTTTATGCAGAGATCTTGAATTAAGGAAGCAAATTTTAAAAGTATTTGGGTCTAATTCATAGATCGGAGTATTAGAAAGTTTGGTATGGCGATCTGTGCGTAACTGCTGCATGTGAACTTTAACATCATGATTAACAGCTATTTTACTTTCAGAAAGGTCGGTTATGTAAAGTCCATCAATTGTTGTTACTCTGCTGAGTCCTACATAATGCACACGAGGTATTGCTCTTTTGGTGTTAAAGTTAACAGCTATTCTAGTTTCTGTGTCACCTCGTGATCTATGTATGGTTTTGGCTGCTGCAGGTCTTAATGGAAACTGCTTTCTTACAACTTGGGCTGTTCTGTTTCTTCCTACTGCAAATTGTGCAATGATAGGTTTGATAGGAGTCCATGTAGGTTCAATTCCTTGCAAATACAATTGCTTGTTATCATGTCTAGTTTTTTCTCCAACATCAACATGGTCAAACTGTACCCAAATTATACCAGATGGTCTACTTTTGTCATATAATGTAGTCTTTTTGATAATATTACTTGCCCCATTTGTGATACTATTATCAGTTCTTACATTTAATGCTATCTCTGTTCTCTCACCCTCAGCAAGTTGAAGGTTTGAGGCCAACTGCTTGGTTTTTCTAGGATCTAGTGGTATTTGGTTTAATATCTTACTTCTGAGTTCTGGAGAGTTTGCACCTATAACACTGTCTAAAGCTCTAATGGTGTATTTATCACCTTCTTGTCTATACAGGCTACTGTTATTGATGAGCCAGTTAGCTGCTTGAATAACTTTATGCGGTCTTACATTGAAAGACATTGCTGAACTTTTGTATTGTAATTTTCTCTTTAAATTTACTTTAATTGTACCAGTATCACTGGGTAACCTTGGTAACACATTAACAGTATTGGATACTTCTGCCACTACATTAACTACATTTCCAAGAATTTTGAATTGCCTTCCCCTTGGAGCTTGCATTAATTTTTGAAATGCAAGTCTTGGTGCAAGAAGTCTACATTCAAGTTCATTCAAGTCAAAAAAATCTTGTTTTTTTGGAAATTGCATTCCATTTAAAATAGCAGTAGGAGGAACTTTATTCTTTATTAAGTATTTGTAGCATGTTCTGCAAAGCAACTCTTTATGTTTGACACTTACTTTATTAATAAGGTATTTTTCCCCAGCTGCAGGATTTAATTTCTTTAATGTATTGGCTGAAGAAACACTGTGTTTATACCATAGCTGGTCACAACAGCTACAGATGTATGATGGACCTTGCGACACTATTTCATGAAACTTTGAAATGTGATGATTCTCATTTAGGTCTTCATCATTACTTCTTTTTGCGGCAGTTGTTGCTACTCTAATGTGACATTCTCTATTCTGGTTTGCTACCTCACAGTGACATTGCTTTTTTTGGTTTTTCTTAGTGGTATAAGTTTGGTCATCTATTCCAGACAGAACACTGCTATTCCTGTTGTTTGATTTTTGCATCCTACCTTCATCAGTTCTCCTTTTTTTTCATGTATTCCCTCAGGTAAGGATTGCGATTCCTTTTGGCGCTTACTTCATTGATTTTAGATGTCTGCTTCCTACTTTCACTTAATTGTTTTAGCTCTTTTGGAATGCCTGCAAGTATCGCTCCTTTGTAAAGAAAACAAGATACCCAAATCCGTCGATTTTGTTGAATGGACGCTTACATTCCCAAAAGCACTACTACTTTTAAAATTATTTTGTCTATAAAAATAAGCCACAGTTTTCTCCGACGGTTCATTACTCAAAGGCATTCTCAGTTTACAGCAGATTTTCTAACTCTGAGCGATCCATTTTCAAAATACAGTTTCTTCAATCCTTTTACGGGGCTCTACAGTCCCAAAACAGAGCTCAATTTTCCCCAAAAGGGACTTAATAATTCCCAAATGGGCCTCAACTCTTCCCATAAGGGGCTCAATTATCCCCAAACGGGGCTCAATAATCCCCAAACGGGGCTCAATACTCCCCAAACGGGGCTCAATAATTGCATTCATGAAAGCGTGGTCAACATCTTTGTTGGCGCCAGCTGCCTTGATGGATCACCTGAAAGTATCTTGTTAATCCTTTCACTCGTTCACATTGAACCGTGCTTCGAAAACTGTGGCATAACGAGAAACAAACTTTGAGGAAATTCATTATAAAGACTCCACAAAAGACCGCTTCACTTACCTACTTCACCATCCACGCGTGGGTTTGACTACGCACAACGTCGAAAGAAAACATCACCTTTTCATCGACTTGTTGTTTTCTTCTCGTTTCCAAATTCCATTAATTGGTCTCGACTATTCCTCGCTCTGTTTTTTGCTTGAATGGGATTCGTCGTAGTTTTTTCGTTTCCGACTCCCCGCGATAATAAATCGATTTGTTTACACATTTTTTTGGTTAACATTTTCTTTCCCATTCATGTCGACCATCACAAAATGTATACTTTAATGTGGCCTTACTAGTATGACCTCGTAATTTGTGGTATATGAAGTATTTTTCGAAATTTTTTGCACTCTTCCATAGGTGTCTTCGTGCTAAAGCACTAGACACCAAAAATGCATACGCCTTGGCATGCTCGCCATTTGGAGAATGTTATGCGGCCCTTTTTCAAGTGGGCTGAGTGATATTAGCTGCGATTTTGTTTTTTATTATTGTTATTTATTGACTTTGTTGCCGAATGATTTTTTCACAGTTTAAAATCTCCTTAGCCACTCGCTAAAAATATGACGCGTGCAATTTTTTTTTCTTAAAACAAGAGCGCTCTATTAAAGATCGTGGCTACGAAATTTGTTTATTCGACTTCAGTAAAATATTAGTAGAGGGCCTCATTTCCAATTCCAGTGGATTTCCGCTTAGCCTCGATCACATGCCTGATATTCAAGCGAATAAATAAAATGTTCTGTGGGAAATGTCAAGCACAACGAATGTAACCATGACATGAGGAACAATTTAGTATAGTAGTAGAGGTGTTTTAGGTTTTAAGTAGGAATTTTTTCACGGTTGAATTCTCTCTAAGGTGGAATCTCCGTGACTGGATGCTAGTCGTGGGTGAATTTTCTTCAAGCGATCGTGGTTAAGATCGATTCCATGGGTCAACGAACAGCGCTAAGATTACGTTCAAAACTGCAAGCGATCTTCTTCAAGTTAGGGTGTTTCTGCCAAAGAAACTGTTGGGTTGTTCTCGCTGTTGGATTTTTTATTCTTATCGGGCTCTCTGTTGGGATCATAACAGCGAAAATTGAGACAGATGTGGAGAAATTATGGATGGAAGGTAAGTTGTGTGAGATGTCTATTTGTCTTTGCGGCAGGTTGGAGAAATAAGTTAGGTATACCAATCTCATTCACTTCAGTGTTTACAGCAATTCGTACTCTGACAGTAGAGTTTACGTTTTAAAAAAATGTATTCTATTCGAAATAAGCTCTCATCGGTCGTTGATTCTCTCACCTAAATGCCTTCTCAAATCGGCGAACGAGGTACATATATAAAATGTCGCAGCCTTCCACACTCCGGCCTTTGTGAAAGTTTACTCCATCAGTATGACAAGTGGTGTTTCAAGTCTAACTTTGCAAAGTAGTATTTCAACAAAAATTCTGTGTATTTACAAGCTAGCTCATGTTATTATAAATCAAAGCGGTCGGTGTAGAAATTTACGGAAAATTCAAATCAAGCATTGGTCGTGGTTCAATGACTGAAAAATTCAATGTTATTGTTATCTTGTTTCGGCCAAGTCAGTATCGGCAAAAATCACGTAAGATGTGTTGAAACAAGAAATAAAAGTGATCGAAGCCGTAAACTTGTGTCAAAAATACAAGAGCCACATTAGAATTTGCACCATTTATCTCATTATTTTCGTTTCATAGTCAAAACTGTTTTCAGCAATTCGAAAACCTTTCCATTTAATGGCTGTTTTGGAAGATCAAGCGTAACCGGAAACTGCGTTTATGCATACAAATGAGCCACTAGTGGTGGCGTGATGCGTGGTAACATGAATTTACCACGTTGCCCTTGTGATCAGCTTTTAGCAGCTGATATTGCAACCTCTATTTGATTGGGCGAGAAATAATCATTATTTTCACTTTCCAACCAACTCCGCTGTAACTTTCCCTCACTGTCTGTGGAAAAATCTTCGTACACGAAGAAACTCGAAATTTCCAACTGTGTTGAATGTTGTTTGTAAGTTCAACACAAAATGACGCGGCAAAATTTCGCTTTACTTCAAAAAATATTAAAGCAAAGATCACGTGGAGAAAAATTCGGAAAGAGGACGTGGATTTGTATACATGCACAAAATGTACATACTAGAAAATAATCGTCATCAAAAAATGACATCTATCTAATGAGCTCTGATATCTGCGATATTGGTAAAAATGCAGATTTAGAGCGTAAAGAAAAACACAATTAGCATAAAAAACTAGTAACAAAACTTTAGCTTGAGGCTCATGTGAATAGGTTGATTATACAATGAAGCAATCGCTAGATGTAGACTTCATTTTTTTAAATTTTGAGTCAAAATTACCTGCACACTGTCAGATTGTTGACACTGAACAATCGTAGAATTCGTTATGAAACTTCATTTGATTTCGCATTCCTAACGTCAAGACTAATTAAATTCGTCACCCGTAAACACGGAATTTGTGAGAAGGTAATGGTCACAGTATGTACTTTCGAGTTGTTTCTTAAGGGAAACAGCACGATTTGTGCAAAAGTACTTCGTTTTCTGTTACAAAAAAACTACCTCATCTCCGCTCAACAACAGGAAATACGTCGGCATTCGAGAGGCACGTTTTCAACTCCTTTTCACATAAGTCGCTTTCCGGTCTTTCTCGATGTTCCTAATATCACCTTACAACAACAACAACTAAAACAAAACAAAACAACGAGCAGAAAAATTTAAAAAATAAATAAATAAAGAGGAAAAAATCGATATGTTTCAAGGGGAGGCGAGCGTGGCCGCCAGACGAATCTCGTAAATTGGAATGAAAATTTCCCCATTTGAACAAATTAGCTTGTTTGACGAGATGAAAATTGATAGGCTGTGCCTCGTCAAGAAAACATCACGTCTTCACAGTCTTGTTTTCCTCGTGGTTACAGGGCTGTTCTCTACCAAGGAAAAGTTCAACTTGAAAGAAAAGTAATGCATAATATTTTTGTTAGGAACCTACTGTAGATCGTTTTAGTAAGTCCAATTAAATGATGAATCTGGGGATAGAGAAAAGTGTTAAAAGCTTGTCACTAGCGGTAACAGAGTTTGTGTGTAAGTTGTTTGCTGCAACGAAAAAAAATCGGTTTGATACAAAAGCAACGCAAAATGTTTCCGTTAGGAACCTACTGTAGATCGTTTTAACAAGTCATGTTACGGGACACATCTCTTCATAAAGAAAGTGTTTAACTGTCAGCAGTGGTCGGGACAGAAAAAAATCTGAGCGCGCGGTAAGAATTCAAACCCCCTCCTCTCTTATTTTGCGGAGAATGTTCCATTAACTGAGACACAGAGAACTCGTCTATGATAGATGTTTATCTACTGGTTTAAGATAAATGCTAGTTATATTTTGTAATGAAAGTCACTGCGTTTTTACTCTACAGTTGATGGAAGGCTTGAAAAGGAATTGCAGTACACCAAAGATTCAGTTGGAGAAGGAGCAGGAACAACTAATGAACTCATAATCCACGCTGCCAATGAAGGTGGCGATAATATTTTGTCGGTGGATTCGATGCAGAAGCATCTTAAAGCAGTTCAAAAAGCTATAGAAATTAAGGTCGACATATTCGGCAAGTAAGTTTAAATATTCATGAAATGTCAGTTCATTTTACTGGCCAGCTTTCTTTCGATTCATCGTCCAATTCTTGCCTCGCATTGACCTGAGACGTTAGCGATCAACAGAGACGTTAGCGATGTTTGATTGGTTGTTTGAATTTTGAATTGTGTGTCAGAAGTAGTTATGGGATTTTTCTACCTTCAGTTGAATTATCGAAACAATTTGCAAGGATTTCATTGCAGCTGTTAGCTGACTACGAATCCTAAATAAGAAATTGATTTTTCCCAGGACCACTTTATTGTACATGTGGCGTAAAACTCCACAAAAAAACTCCACAAAAAATCCACAAAAATATAAACCTTTTTTACTGACACTAACTAACAAAACAACAAAGATGAAAACAAACGGGATTTTAACTAATTTCTACTGTTTGTTTTGTTTTGATTTGTTTGTTTATTTTTAGGACTTGGTCTCATACAGACCTCTGTTACGTACCAGAGGTTCCATCTTTTAATAATTCTTTAGTGGACGGGGTAGGTGACGAAATAATTGTTAACAAATTGATCTACTCAAATATCTATTTCTATCCTATGTCCTAGCTTCTATTTTCTCGTGAAAGCGCAATTTGAATTCATGAAGTGAAAGATATTTTTTCTACAAATGTTATGGCGGGTGCACGGTGGATCGTCCTGCGTTCACCTCCCGACTTCTCTTGGAAGGATCAAGGACTGAACTCGAGAAAACGGCGGAAATCGAGCCTCATGCAAATAATTTTAGAATTAATTGAGTTACAATCAGTCGCGTCATCCTAATCCTGGTGTCTTTTAGATCATAGCAGCCATTATTCCCTGCCTCGTTATATCTCCACTGGACTGCTTCTGGGATGGAGCTAAGAATCTTAAACTTAGAGCCGAGCTACCATCCGTTGCCAAGTAAGTATCTTTAACTGCAATATATTACCTTTGATTTAGCGCTTTGTTTAAATGCGGCGAATTCGTCCCTTAAATTTGCTTGGGAGTTCAGAGGATTTTGATTGTGTTACGTTGAAATTTACCTGATTTCCCCCCCCCCCCCACACACACCCCCCCCCCCCACCAAAAGGCGCTGTAATGTTCCAATGACCCCCCCTCCCTCCCCACCCCACCTCACGGGCAGTTAATCGGCAGTCAATTTTGTATAGTCCCTACTTTTTATACTCCGTCGGCGACGACTGATACCCCCCTCCCCAAAGAAAAATCCTTCGTCCCAATTGTTTTCTTTAAATTGCTTTCTTTTGTTTTGTTTGTCTATTTTTAGAGTGTTTCCCTTAGAATGGACCGAAAGCAACCCGACTTTTCTTTTAACACTGTTAGATCAGTTTAATATTGAAGGCAAAGAGGAAATTAAAGATCTGTTTGTCAAGGTAGGCAGTAAAGCGATTTTTTCAAATTTTTGTCATTAACTTTACGGCCCAACTTTGATTATTATTGTTATTCAAACTTTAATTTTGGTATTGATTCGTTTGTTAGGCTGGTATCACCAGAGGATATCAAGAAAAGCCTTGCCTTGACCCGACAGAGCCTAAATGCCCGAGCACAGCTCCTAACTCTCCCTCAAAAACAGGAAAGGTAATTTTGTCCCTCTCTTTGAAAATAAGATAGAAAGGTATAGAGTGGTTCTCCCTTGATGGCAGTATCACAGCGGTGAAACGTAGGGCATGCGTAAGTGATATGTATTTTCGCCGGCCGCGTGCCGATTTCCCGCTCAAAAATTTCATGGAAAACATAAGAAACAACTCCTGTTATACATGACGTGGAGGAAAAAAGAAGCATTTCGATACATCAGGGAAAAGAAACAAAAGTAAAGAAAATTAAAACTTGAATAACTTCAAAATAACTTGATTCTTTGGCTTGCGTGGTTGCGTATAATTCCTGTAAGACAACATGGGTCTATGCGCCACCCAACGTTCACACATGCGTAATCGTTTGACCGCTGTTTCCCCTGAGGGCGGGCCAAAACACGTGTTAATGAGCCTGCTAAACTTGAGTTTGGAATGCGCGTACGTGGCCCTTTTTGCCTGGTCGGTTTAATATCCAGTGACGATGCAAGTGAAAGCTACTGAGCCATATTTTCATGTGGTGCCGTTCAATATGCTTTGAAAGGTGATTTTAACCTTTATCTCCGTGTAAGACACCATAGTCTGTGATCAATGCGATAAGTACTGACTGTGAATATTTGAAAATCATTTATGTGAACTGCGGATAAAGATGTGAATATGAAGGCGACTGGGAGCTGGTTCACATCGCAGTTCACATACATTATTTTCATATATCCACAGTCATTTATTCATCACTTCACTGGTTTATTTGGAACCATTATAGTGACCAGCTCCTAGTTGGCTTGTAAGCTCAGCTGATAGAGCACTGCACTGGTATCGCAGAGCTCATGAATTCAATTCCCGTTCAGGCCTGAATTTTTTCAGGCCTTATTTTCACTACTGCTTAAGTAGTGTTCATTACTGCGAGGATCGCTTTCATTTTCACGAGATAAGCACTTCTGGGCAGTAAGATTTACTCATTTTGTCTCTTATAATTATTCTTGTAGGCACCAGACGTAAAGTCAGAGCTAAATGGAGGTTGCAAAGGTTTTGCAACAGAATTTATGCAGTGGGCTGAAGAGCTAATTGTTGGTGGAGTAACAAAACACAATAATACGTTGACGAGGTTAGTTATTATTGATAGATTTAAAAAAAATATCTTTATCTGAAACTCTAGAACGCATCCCATTGATTGGTAAGATCTGCACGCCGAAGTTGAAATGGTTTCATTTCGTCGTTAGTGTGACTGGAAAGAAAAATTAACGGTATTTGGATCAAGTGGTCCATGTCAAACCCAAAGTAAGAAAAAGGAATTAAAAACAAAAGTAAATACCACATTTCAAAGAAAAAACATTTAAGTAAACGTACCTGATATGCGAGAAAACTCAGTTAAAGAAGTCGCGATTGGGTTAAGTTTTGCATCTGATTGGTCGAGAGAGAAAGAGAGAGAGGGAGAGAGGCGCAACTTTTGTTGATGAATGGCAGAAACCTATAATAAAAAACCAATTCAGTCGCGGATCAACATTATATTTGCGTATTCGCGATCGATGGAATAACGATACAAAGTCTTAAAAAACGCACGCAGTTTTCTCTCTTAGTTTAAAGAAAAGAATTTTATGTTGAAACTTCTGGACATTTTTTTCAGTGCCAAAGCGCTTCAAACAATTCTCGTTCTCGCGGGTCCACAAGGTCTGTACAAACGATGGGCAGACAAATCTCAGGAGTTGAATGTGCATTGGAGCTTGGATACTGCGAAACAAGTCCTAGAGGCATGGCAACGGCGCTTTACAGAGGTAAAAGTTTCCCCTGATCCTGCCAGATATATCCTGCATGTTAGGGCATGCTGTGTGTAACCGAAAAGGCCACTTATTCACTGGTTTCTCACTTGGCCCCACCGGCCATATGATGACAGAATAACATTTATATATATATAGGCATAAAAAATTATCTAAACGCGCTTGATGCTACATCAAATTATATATATATATATATATGCAGTTATATATATATATATATATATATATATATATATATATATAGGCATAAAAAATTATCTAAACGCGCTTGATGCTACATCAAAATGCTCGAGTCATGTTCCTCGGGAGCGACACTTTACGTTCACAGTGCCTATCCACACAGGATTGTGAGGAAGAGGGCACTTGCACACAGACAGAGAAAACTTCCAGACGGAGTCCCAGTACTTTATGTTGCTCCATATGCATGTTACAAAGACGGGAACTGGCTCTGACATCTATTTGAGTTTGTTTCGTAGTCAGACATAACCTGACTTTCTCTACCTCCGTAGGAAATCAATGAAGACGTCAAAGAAACTGACGAGTTTAGTATCCTAGCTTTTGACTCAACCTCTGTCACTGACTTATTGAAGGAGTTCTCAGAGACCAGCGTGTCAAGAATTGCTATAGGATACGTACTCATGGTAAACATTGCTGCTTGTAAAATAACATCTTCTGATAACCCATTTAATTTGATCATTTGAATAACAAGAAATATTAATTTTCCAGAGATACAATTTAACAAACCAGCCCTCACCTCCTCTCCCCGTGTTGGGGAATAAAATAAACTCCCCTTGGAAGTGAGGGAGACTGTCCTCTCTGGGTGACTTACAAATATACCGCCCTGTGTACCTTTCTTACTTCATTTCACGTGTGATCAAATAAAAACTTTAGTTTTCCCACATTTAAAGCTTCCCGCGCTTAAGCTCTCTTCCACCCGATTCTTTTTCGAAGTCCTCCGTAAGTGGAGATTGTGTAAGCTCTTTACACATTTATCTCGTTCCCAGTCCAGCTTCTCTCATTCAAGTTGAGGTTAAGTTTGTCTGCGCCACCCCAATCTCCCCGACCACCATTCTCTTTGGTTCCCATTCTCGTATTTCCTTGCCTCACTTTAAACTTAACAGACCATTCCAAGTCATAATCTACCTCACTCACCCACCCCACGGCACAACACAAAAAGCACACATGGAGTCCACATTTACAACATTTAACTCTCCCGACCAGCGGTCACAGTCAAGAACCGCTGGGCAAGAAGAGCGTAAGCTCAGCTTGAGACTAAATTTTCTATTCTTATTTCAGCTCATTTATGCGTGCATAACTCTGAAGCGCTGGTGTGAGCCAATCAGATCTCATGGTGCCCTGGGGTTTGTGGGTGTGCTCTTGGTTACGCTCTCGGTGGCTGCTGGGTTTGGTTTTAGTGCATTGTGTGGGATAACATTCAACGCTGCATCAACTCAGGTAAGAATAATAACATTCAGGTACTCCTCAACGAAATAAGAAGAACAGAAAACCAATGCAATATATCGTGTGGACTCACAATTCGGGTTTTGCACCGATAGCAGTAAAAGCAACTATAGACGACGCACACCAGCAATATGTTTTCACTTCGATTTAATGTCTCACCATAGTTACGTTATTGCCAATGTGGTTTCTAAATAGATGAATAAAATAAAATTACTCGGGAATAGCGAAACTTGACTGCGACGGACAACTGATAACTAACTCGAACAATGTGACTTGCAGACTGAATAATAAATTAGCATGCAGAGCGCGAAATAACTAATGTTGACGAGGCGGCCTGGGTCGAGGGATGGTTTTTACAGCAACTGTCGATGAGTGACGTGGATACTTGTTTTTTCTCAGGTGTTACCGTTTCTTGCCCTCGGTCTGGGCGTGGATGACATGTTTCTTCTGGCTCACTCGTATTCCAGCTTAATACGGGGTGGAGACATCCGCCATGTGGTAAGTTTTGTAAATCACAGTGAGAGAGAGGATAATAGAACCACGTGATGATATTTAGGGAAAGGTGGGAGAGCAAACCTACTTTAAACTTGAACGAGAATACTCATTCGATGCGTTGGTGAAACTCAATCAGCCAATTAGCCGCAGAAGTGAAATCGATTTTTTTTGTTCTTTTTTGCGCAGAAGCAAGAGCGAGGAGAGCGCGATGGGTGAGACACGCGCGTGTAGAGGAGCGCAAGACGAGGAGCGCGTGTCTTGGCCTTTGCTCTCTCTCCTAACACTTTTCCCGCAGGCTGATAAGTAATGGCAAACAAGAGCTGGTAATTTCCGTCAATTAAATCATCTCATCCACTTCTTATTTTCTGACAGGAAGAAGTTGGCTACTGTCTGGGAACCACTGGGGTTAGCGTGTTTCTGACGTCATTCAACAACATGTTAGCGTTCTTCATGGCGGCGTTGATTCCTATACCAGCCCTGAGATATTTTGCGCTACAGGTAGAACTTAAGTCTCCTTCTCCATAAGTCTGTTTTGGACGTCACATGATGTGTTCGTTGAGTAACATCAAAAAATCGACTGCTATAAGATATTTTGCAAAACGGGTTGCGGTTGTCGTGGTGTGACTTCAGTCAAGGGGTACGAGGGTAGTCTGGTTAATATTTGACGAGGAGTGCACAGTTGATGATTGCGAACAGGGACCCTTTCGGGTTGTTTAGGAAGATCGCACCAGCCTTTTTCTATAACCAATCACCAGGTGTGTTAGAACGGTCAAAATTAATGTTACTAAGTATTATAAACTGAGTTGATAAATTAAATTGGCCACCTTAAAGAGTTTCAAAGCTGACATTTCGAGCGTTAGTCCTTCGTCAGAGCGAATGGCGAAGGGCTAACTCTCGAAAATTCAGCTTTAAAACTCTTTACGGTGGCCAATTTACGTTATCAAATCAGTTGATAATACTTAATTATCCTGTTATACTCTCCCACCGACGCAGCACCACAGTTTCTTTAGAAACTTACCCCGTTTATTCAAAATCAATGTTGAGTGGCTACAGGCACCCGGGAAATTCTTGCTAAAACTGCTTTCAAACCATAGTTCAATATATGCAGAAGTGACGCCTCTATATAAATATTTTTGTTAAATAAGAAAAAACCCATTGTTCTCTGTTTTGCATAATAAACAGAACTCCAAGGGTATTGCTTGGTGTTACCTGCCTCAGCCATCAGCTTTGGCAGTTACCACTAAACTCGGCCTTGATATCACGCTTAAACTCATCTAATGATTGTCAATTGTCAGGCTGCTGTTGTTGTTATCTTTAATTTCATCGGAGTCATCATCATTTTTCCGGCCATGCTGGGAGTCGATGTGCAAAGAATGAGACATCATCGATACGACATCATCTGCTGTTTGAAAAGGTCAGCTGTGATTTGTCCAATGTACTGATCTTAGCGTCACGTGTTAGATAGCGTTGCGTGACGAATGTTCCAAATAAGGCCGCCATACACGTAGAGTAAGTGAGCGTCATTCTCTCTCAGAACTAGTAACTAATCAAAGATAGGTCAAGTGTGTCACATTAATAATATATATATAGATAATAATAACTTAATAAATGAATTAAATGAGGAAAACTTTTTCAACATCAATATCTTGCAGCTCGTCCAAGAATCAAGGTAGTGAAGAAGTGTTGTCTAAAACAAGAAGCGAGTTTCCATCAACAACTGAAAGAGAAAAAAATCAACATGAACTTGAGCACTCCGACAATCACGCTGTGTCTAAACCCTCCAACACCATGGTCATGAGCAATGGAAAATCAGATTCTTCTATCGGCGAGGTCCTGGTAAACGAGTATACAAATAACTTGGACAAGCAGTCTAAACTGTCTTACGATAGCGAAGCAAGTATGATGAGAAATCACCTCAGTCCTAATGCATCACAGCATGGTACTCCGAGTAGCGTAGTTGATTCCTCAGTAAATGGTAACGATGATGGATCTTTCCGGTACAAATGCGCACCTATATCGCTTCAAAATTTTGCCACAGTTTATTATGGCCCTGCACTGCAGAAAACGCCGGTTAAGGTAAGCATTGGCCCGTGACGTTTTAAGCAACCATTAGTTTTATAACTAGAATTACAGCAAAAGGTTGTGGGTCTGCATAAGATTCGGTATACAAACTGATTTTCATAATTATCAGAGGTAATTCCCGACTTCGGGGCGTGAAGCGACCAGAGGAGTATTGCTACTCTCCGTGGATTTTCTAGTCGATTGAAAAGCCGCCTCTTCTCTTCCCCCTAGCATCTCTGACAGCTTACCGATACCCAATTCTACTCTTAGGTGCACAGATCGATACTCTGTGAGCGGTAAGTGGCTCGCCCAAAACTCAGCTAAGGCTCGAATCCAGGCCCTCCGATTCGTTTTTCAGCGTACTCGCCATCAGACCACGGCGTTTTCTACAAGCGAGGGAGCTCAAGTCTTTTTCTCATGTTTTACCAAGAATATTGAAACTCTGGGTATAGCTTTTGGATCCACTAAAATTTTTTTTAAACGTCAGAAGTCTGTTTCTCTTCCAATAGAAAGTGGTTTTGGACGGAAAGAGATTTCGCATGACAGTGACGATGAGAGACTATGTTAGTGTTATCTCGTCTCCACCAAGCGTTCTTAACCACCGACTGTATACATATGGGTTTTTTAGGTTGCAGTGATTTTGTTCTTTCTTGGTCTTCTTGCTGTGGGGATTTACGGTGCCTTTCAAGTGGAAGACGGTTTAGAGCTCACCGAAGTAGTTCCACACAACAGCGTAGCGCACAAATTTGTGGAAGCTCAATTCAAGTATTTCTCATTTTATCCCATAACTCTTGTTACACAAGATAACTTTGACTACGCCAACAAACAGAACACTTTATTATCCTACCACGAAGCATTTAAACAGGTGGGTTCATAGCGACACGTTTTTGTCCATTGTAGCTCTAAACATTTCTTAACCAAGTATCTTAGTGGTCAATTGTTTATTTAATTTCGATAGGCTTCTGTAACACTAAAACAAATGTCATTACAATACCCAATCAGAACAAAGGTGAATATTACAACAAGCCAATGAGAACTCAAAGTAAAAATAAACAGACCGCGCGAAGCGCGGGAAATTACAGTGACACGGTCGCAGTTGACGACTTTAATTTTGCTTCTGATTGGCTGAAATGATGGCGGGAGATTTGTAGACCAATCACAGAGTGTGGTGAAGAAAGCCTAATGAAAGCGACCCTGAATTGAAAACTGCTTCATATTAGGGTACTGCAGTGTGAAAATATATAATATTAAATACTTCAATGTCAGCTAGAGAAATTATACTATGTTACATAAGAGTTTATTTTTTAAGGGGCGAGGTTATAAATTGGAAGTAACTGTTACATAAGGAAACGAATTTGAGCTATCTTTTTTCCCTGTCAACAGATACCAAATGTTATTAGAATTCCTGGTTCAGAAGAAATTCCCAAATTTTGGCTTATGTACTTTCGAGACTGGCTCAATGGTAAGGATTGTAACTTATAAATTTTATTCGTATTTTCTGAGTAAAATTAAACCGTGATGGAGCATGATTAGGTCTCGGCCCAATACCTTGTAATAGTCGGATAAAAGTGTAATAAGTTGAGACTGAAAATTTAATATTTTCATGTGAACTTCCTAGTGAGCCGTGATCTCAAAATATCTTTGTGACGGAGCTTGCAAGTACTGACAGGAAAGTCATAAGGTGTACTGCTGAATACACTGGACAGCGGATTGTAGGTCCGAGGTTCAATTCTTCAAGGGGAATCAGAATTGTTTCTTAGTTCCTAGCTCGTAACAAGACAATAAAACATCTTTGTATGATAATCATCATTCTTTTAGATGCACAGACGTCATTTGACCAAGACTGGGCCAATAAAACCATAACCGACGCTGGCTGGACTGAAGCAGCATCCAGTACTGGGGTAATGGCTTATAAACTACTATCTCAGACAGATGAATCAGATAACATTGACCGAACACAGGTAAGAACTTCAACCTCTTTTAATGCAGTGTTTTGAAGTCTGATTCTCTCCCTTCATAAAATAACTGGGATACTATGATCGCCCTGATTGATCAAAATCTATCGTTTATTTCGCCGATGCAAAATTTGAAGGTTATTTCGAAAACTTTGTAGACCACTCGCCTCCGGTTCGTGATTAACAATATCTTCTCGATTAAACGCCCTCGGCGTTTATTTAATAATCGGCAGTTCGGACCCGCCGTTTTCTCGATCGAAGTCGGTGTTTAATAAGAGACCGGGGTTTAATCGAGAAAATACGGTACTTTTCTACCTCGTATTCTTCCAAAATCCTGCGTGGGTTATTACGCTAGTAAACTAATCCAAAGTGCGGTCTATTACTTGAACAGCTGCTTTGATACAGCTGGGATTAAATATACAGTGAGTTCGACCCTTTAACCCTTAAAGTCCCACTAGTGACTTAGACAGAATTTCTCCTTACACTATTAGTACGATATCAAGCAGACAAGTAATGAGAATAAAGAAAAATATCAATTAAGGGATTATTGGTTGATCCAATTCCAAATTCTCCAAACTAACATCACATAAATTGTATGGCAGACAGTAAGGAGAATTACCAATGAAATCTTGGGAGTTAAAGGGTCAACCTCTGAGAGTGACAAGCATCTTATTTCTCCTCATTGTATCATCACTGAATCAAACAGGAAGAAAAGGAACGCTACCAGAAGCTCTTGATTGTTAAACAAAGTCTCCTTTACAGTACCACGGGAAATGTTTCCAAGGCAGTATGGAGAATTTGCATGCTCATTTTAGGGTGACTAGGTCCAGGTTAAGTGACCCCAGAGGAGATTAAAATTAAAATAATTTAGTGATTCCACTGAGTGACTAAAACGTAATTGCTTCATAACCTCGTTGTCTGATTGGTGGAAGTGACTCGTGCTACTCATCAACCAATCAGATGTCAAGCAAACGTCATTCACAACAAGGTCGCGTGCTGTTTACAGTTCATTATCATGCATTGCGTGTATTTATTGTGTTATTTCTTTACAGGTTCGAAACTACAAGCTTGTGAGCAATGGAATCATTCGTCCTGAAATATTCTACAAAGCTCTCACAGTTTGGATCGATAGGGACGTATTAGGATATGCATTTTCACAAGTATGTTAAAAAAAAAAGATAGACAACAACGTGTTGGGCTTATGTAAGAAAGATTTAAGATTCACAAGTATGTTAAATATTTTTTGAAGAAAAAATTTGTTGAAGAAACAACAAAGTGATAGGCAACAACGTGTTGAGCCTTTCTTTTTTTTTTGCAGGCCGACATTAAGCCAAAGACTGTTGACTTTTCAAATACAAGATCCTCCCAAGATGATAAAGCAATGATAGGTAGGAAAAATACTCTGAAAATTTAGAGTTTACGCTTTATAGCGTTGTTGAGCAGGGCTTACAATAGTCAGACTTGATCAACTGCTATTCCGAAACGGAATACTAAACATAGACGGGCAACATGGAGGAAGAAGTTGCGCAAAGATTGGTGGGTAGAGATTCTTTCCATTCTACCATCCATATCTTCTTCAAATGTATTACCAAGCTGCGCGCGTCATTCAGACGACTGGGACCCAATCATCACACTCAGAGAAACCTAGCGTGTTACCTTTTTTTAACTTTTCCTGCTCTTCATCGTTTTGTTATTTTTAGTGGCTGCAGCTCAACCGATCACGTTCGCAAAGATCAACTTTAACGTCATTGGTCTTCAAGAAACAAAAGACTTTGTAAAGTTGATCAAGGTAATTAAACCCCTTTTTGGGTATGGAAATATTTCCAGAAAAGTTTTGTTAGCAAGACAGTGACCTTGAGCTTTTTCAAAATGTGACTTTTTTTTCTTTCCAGGATGTTCGAGAGATTTGCGACAAATACGCCGAAGAAGGACTCCCTAACTACCCCAGTGGGGTCCCCTTCACGTTTTGGGAGCAGTACATTTGGCTAAGGCGGCAAATTATCATCGCAATTTCCATATCGTTGGCGGTGAGCTTTTTAGCAATGGCAGTGTTGTTGTTCAACATCTGGGCTGCAGCAGTCATCGTACTTGTCTTGGTGATGATAACAGTTGAAGTGTATGGCTTCATGGGCTTGGCTGGAATAAAACTTAGTGCTGTACCTGCAGTGACACTAATTCTGTCTGTTGGAGTTGGAGTGGAGTTTACTGTACACATGTGCATGGTATGTAATAGCTTTTGCTTTACATTACAGAACGCGTATGTTTTCAGAATTCTCTAATATAGTAAAGCAATTTTAAAGTGAAAGTCGTGAGCAATCCGAGATTTCATTAGTCTTGGCTTACTTTGCTATGATTGGTCTGGAAAACTCACGCCATCTTTTCGACTAATAGTTGTAGCGTCATTGATGGCTGTGTTTCCCGTGCTTTAGGTTTTCTAGTGGCTCCTTTTGTCGAGTTTTCCTTTCTTCTGACCAGCTGTTATACACGAATTTTTGTGGTTTTGACTTTTTAATTGCATGCAACTGAAAAACACATTGAGCACAAACAGGTTGAATTTCAGATTGTCCAAAGTCGTTCCACTGGAATCTCAGAAAGTGCAGATAAAGAAATTCCAGAACGAATTCTTACACCAAGGGCGCGAAAAATGACAATGCGTGTTAAGCGCGGGAAAAAAGCAACCGGTACAAAGGGCGGGAAAGCAAAAAGGCTCTGCCAAATGTCAAGGGCGGGAAAACTCAACCAAGCCAAAGCACTGTTGCGTTTATCGATGTAGCTGATTGGCTACGAGAAAACTGTATTATGAATATGATTGGCTGGAAAATTTACCTACCGCTTTTTGGAACCAGAGAAATTTGCTGGGCAAGAACTTTGTTGAACACTTATAATTACTGTGTACGTCACTTTCCTAGGCATTTATGCAGGCCGTCGGTGATAGAAACCAGAGGATGCAGAAGGCAATAGAACATGTGTTTGTACCAATCGTGGACGGTGCCATCTCAACGCTTCTTGGCGTTGTGATGCTGGCAGGATCCGAATTCGAATTCATAGTCAGGTGAGACAGATTTGCTGATTCAAATTTTTACGAGAATGGTCTCTCACTTCAAGTCCTCTATCTGAAAGCATTAAGTGCACAAATGCTCTTTCTTTACCTGTTGTGTTGGACCTGAGAAATCCCATACTTCACGCCTGAACGTTGCGTAGGAGCTACGTAAATTTGAAATTCACTTGAACTCTTAATTTTCAAGTTACATTTGCACAGAATGTAATTGTAATACGGATTCTGTTTTCAATCACTTTGTATAGGGAATAAGATGATTTTTCGTCCAATTTGGTGTTAATGAGCACGAGCAATTCTTCAAAGACAACAAAATTTCAAATGCCCGTAAGGCAAGTTAGGGCATGTTACAACAAATTTTGCTGTCTTTGAAATATTTACTGGGGCTTATCAACACCAAATTGCACGAAAAATCATGTTGTTACTTGTAAATAATTTTCATGAAGAACTCATCACAGAAAGTCGCGATGGACGAAATTTTGGCAGCGCGTGCGCTATTTGTAATTTGCATTCGTGTTACATGAGAATACACTCGTTTTCAGCCAATCAGTTGCGCGTATTTTTTTCATGTACATTATTACATTTGTAACTAATTTGTCTTTCAGATACTTCTTTAACCTTCTCCTAGCATTGATATGTATTGGCACATTTAATGGCCTCCTATTTCTACCAGTTTTCTTGTCTCTGGCCGGGCCTGGAGCAATGGTAAGCTGTATAGATTTTTCTATCGAAAAGACTTTGTCATATTCAGTTATCGATTGAAAGTTTGTAATTTTTGAAACCTGATAACCCTTGGTTTAACCCACGAATTAATATAAATGATAGTTTAGATAAAATATATCAAAAAACGAAAAAAATGTTTTAAATGAGCGGGAATATATCTTGCAAATAGTGTCGAACGCAAGAGTTAGTGCAGCCGGAGATAAGCGCGGGAAAATTCACACTCTTCAAGTAACGACAGAATTTGATTGGCTGATTAGATAATTTATTAAACCTGAATGGCTAGATGAATTTTCGGTACTTGTTTCGGACATGATATGAAACAGTTTGAATGCTTTGCAGTTTTCAGCCCATAAAATTCGAAAAGTACACTTAAAAGCAAACAGAAGGACAATTTTGTTATATTTCAAGCCTTTTTTTAATTTTATCCGGATCGTGTTCGTATTTTTTCAGGCAACTGAAGTCCCAACTCCCAGCCTATCAAATTCATTGGCCATTCAAAACCAGGCAACCGCTCCTTCCTCTGCTGGTTCAGCGATAAATGATTTGGAACTAGAAGAACATGAGCCAAGCAGTGAAACTAAAGGAAACGAGAAACCTCTCGAAAGGACCAATCCGATGATTAAACATTGGGCACAAGTGGAACCGACGTATGATAAAGAACCATGGAATTCAGACATGGCGACGATTGAAGGGCCGCGTCAGCATGAGCTGGATGATGTCAAATTTTGACGTAAAAAGTTTAATTAGTTAGCATACCATCAATATACCAGAAGACCACCTCGACGTGATTTGGAAGCCGCGACTGACTACTAACTATAGATTACTCGTCCCAGTGCTCACGGTCCTCACGTTTCGTTTAGAGGCGCGAGCGCTGGGAAAAATCATTTTCAAGTTTTTCAGATTTAGACGCTGGAGATATTTTTAAAGCCCTTCCTAAAATTTCACTTCAGTGTGTTGTTATTACCACCATCATATAAGATGTTATGTAATACAAAAATATACCCATGGGCCGCACAAGGTGTGGTAATTCTGTCCTTTCCAAATAAGATTCTAAAATAACTGATCTTTCGTTGACTTGGGTTTTTTTGCTTGAACATGCGCTAAACGTCCCTTTGTATATTGACAATGGCGACCTCACTCTTTTTCTATGAGTATTTTTTTTGGCATTTTTTGCGTGACAGGGTTGTTTCTTCCGTTTTCCTTTTTCTTTGAAAATTTGCACGGGAAATTGACGCGAGGTGTGCATGCGCAACGTTTGACCGCTGTGATTAATGTTTACTTCTCACAGGTATTCACGGTTCTCAGCGGTTATCTCCATCGAAGCAAATAGTGCTTCAAATACCACTATTAAATGTAACTTCAATAAGGTACACTACTTATTTATTTATTCTACAGTTAACTGATGTGTTATCATGTAAATATATTAGGCTAACTATGAAAAGAAATTATTTAAACAATTGAATTTACACACAGTAAATTATATCCCCTTTGTTTACATAAATATCTGTTGAAATGCATCAATTATTCTAGTATTTTTCTTTAAATTTTGAAGATATCTGAGCAAATGAAATAAAATTTCAGATATTGCAAAGGAAGCACTTTAACAGAATGATAAGTTTACCAAAGAGCACCACATTATTACCAATCCATCATTTTTTTTTTTTTTAGAAAATGAATTTTTTTAAAAATGGTTTATTGAAAAAAAAAAAAAGTATCCAATTCTAAACTCCTACTTTTGGAATTATGACAAATATTGCACAATAGTTCTATACTTGGTTATCAAGATATGATTAATGGTTATGTAAACTTTTTATTTAATGTATTTTAAGGAAAATATTTTGTAAAAGGAAAAAAAAGTGTTGGATGTGAAACGTTTTTTTTTTTAATTTAAAACTTTAAGGGTTCAGTGGCTGGACTTGAACAAGAGTTAGCATTAAATGTTTGACTGTACAGGCATTGTATAATTGTGTAAAATGTCACAACATTAGAGGAATATTGGATGTAAATGATTAAAGAAAAAACTTTTTTTCTCTCAGATAATTTTGTTCCTCCACTCAAGTGTTAACTGCAAAGAAAACCTTACCCCACCCACACTGGTCACTAGTCTCCACTCAAGCAAAAGATATATTAAGAGGAGACCAAAACGACCCCTTTCTGAGAGGCCTGTAATTTGAAAAGTAAAGAATTCCTGGCCTTATTTCAGGTCTTTTGTATTCCTATAAAGTAGCCCTTCTGGCTTAGGCAGGAGGCAACTTGGGTAAAAACAATATAATTATCATTGCGAGTGAGGCCAAGAAAGCATATCTGCATGCAAATAAAAGAATAATAATCTTGCCTGACATTATGACAGAGGTCTATGTTGTATTACTATATCTCTTAGTTGGTATGTGTGTGCTATGATTGGTCAGTTTAGGGGGCTGTATTTCATGGTACCACCCAGTAAATTCAAAATCTGTTTAAATGAAAATCTTCACCCTCCATTTGAACCCGAAGATACAATATATATCTTACTGACCTCATTTTCTCAGTCTGTACTGTAAGTTACAGATCCTAATTTTTTACACACAGATTTATGAGCTATGGGCTTCATGCACTGGCCATATATCCAAGGTGAAAAATCTTGGTCCATAGCATACAGTATGGACTGAGAAAGTGAGTTTAGTAGGAGGTATATGATTATTTTGAAACACAGAATGATAATTTTGCACAGAACTGAAGTAAAACCAGAGACTGATCTCTTTTTACTGTTTATCAAAAGCATTTTCCAAACATGACAAAATACATTATTAACATACTACATAAATACACTGCAGGTGTGAAATAATTGAAAATCTCTTGAGGATATACAGAACTCTCATGGGTAGGGTTAAAAAAAAGGAATGGGTAGTATTTTTAATTAGTAAATATGGACATAAAATGAACTAAGACGCACACATAAGTAAGCCATCAAAACATCAAACAAATGCTGACAACTAAACTACCACCAATGCAGTTTTATTCAGTGATGATCAGTTCATCTATCCCCCAGTCTTCATGGCTTCCGTCTGGAAGATATCGCCGAATAATAATGGGGATTTTTCTTGCTCTGAAATAATATTGAAAAAGAATTACGTAAGAGGTTTGCAACTTCTGCCACTATTTTTCCAGGTTCATTTGTCATATAGTCTAATAAATATTATCATAAATCTGTATGAATTATATCACAGATGCTGCCATCCCATTGGCTATGCTGCCCACTGTACATGTAGATAATTAACCCTTGATTTTCATGTAGCAGTTTATTCTGGCTTAGCACACATCAACTATCACAAAACAGAGATCTAAGTAGAGATATTAAAAACTCTCTTTGGATTACATTGCTGAGTCAACTTGGTACGGGCTGTTAACCTAATTACGCTGTAAGTTTTACCTTAAAAACTCTGTTAAAAAAAATTCATTAAAATTCTTACTTGAGTTCCTTCATGGCTATCTGTAGAGGATCTGTCTGACCTTCAAGTTCCACCATAACAGGGGCACCCATACTGGTTATCAAAACACAACAGATAAAAATTGTGGTCTTGCCAGAATGGACTGAAATAGTCTGTAGCCAAAGTATAACTTAAAATCTTAGACCGCCTCCCAGTTAGCTCAATTGGTTAGAGCACTGGACTGTTGTGCTGGAGATTGAGGGTTCGAGCCCCAGCCAGACCAACACTCAAGGTCTTAAAATAACTGAGGAGAATGTGCTACCTTTCTATAATGTCAAGAAATGGATAGACATTCTAGTCTTCTTTGATGAGGACAAATAAACCGTAGGTCCTGTCTCCTTTTTCTATTAATTAGTCTATTTGGTTAGGCAGGGGACATTAAAGAACCCACTTACGAGATTACTGTGATGTAGTCTAGCCTGTTTACTGGGAATTGGGGGGGGGGGGGGGAGGGTCTGGTCTTGTCATTGGTAATGTGGGATCCTCTGTGATTGGCTAAAGCTGTAGTGGTCTCCCTGCCTGAGATAATTAGGCAAAGCTAAATAAATTAAGATTGCAATCTCTACCATTAGGGCTTTAACTTTCTTTTTTTGTTGAGTTAACTAGCCCTTTAACTCCCAAGATCTGATTGTTAATTCTCCCCTCTAGCTGCTACACATTTCCTTGTTAATTGGTTACAAGAATTTGGTGTTCAATCAAGGTAATATAATATCTTGTACCTGATGAGTTTGAGTATTCTCATGACCTGTTTGCTGAATAATGTATGGATATTACAGGGAGAAGTTACATATTAATCACTTCTGAGAGTTAAAGGGTTAAGTACCTTATCTGTAGTGCTCTAGTTCCTAATACTCTTGCTCTCTCATATTTTGTCATATATGGTGTTGTGATTCTTTTTGTTGGTTCTTGGCTTTCTTCTGCAAATTGACATAAAAAAGTGTGAATTAACATTACATTTAAGCAATTAAAATGTCCAGTAACTGTTATAAAATGTTCTTCAGCCTGACATTGTGAGACATTCACTTATGAAGGTTGTAGTAGCAACCTTGAAGGATCATGTAACTTCCCTACTTGAATAAAATGAAATGCAAGAAACATTTCCTCATCCTGTGTCTTATAATTAACATGGTTAACTCTTTAAGGCCAAGTGGCCACAACCTCTCGATTGTTTGGCTTTGTTCTAGTGGATTACCTTATTTAACTGAGATTTTATAGAACACTGTTGAAAAGTTATTGCAAACCATACCTGTTGTGGGCAAAATGTCAATATTATCTGTGTCTTCTGTTGGCTGAAAAAAAAAACACAGTAGGATATTAGATACAACCTCCACCAGGAAAGGAAAATAGCTATAAAGAAGTATTTTACCACTTTTGATTACTGTGAAACTCAGAAAACCATGAACTTCAGAGTGAATATTACTTTATAAAATTTGATCTATGCAAGAAAACATGGCAGCCAGCCGTCAGTCAGGTGTGAGAAATCTCAGCCTCACGCAGTAAGCGCTGATTAGCTTGTACACTAGTATTTAATTTTGCCTACACATCCTGATCTCACATATGATTGGTCATGACAAATTATTATTCCGGACACGATGGTTTTCTGAGTTTGAAAGAAATGTAAGTGCCTTCAAACTGGGACGTCATTCTACATTGTCGGGAAAAAGATCATTACTATCCTCTCTGAGAGTATCGTTACTATATCAAACTAAAAATTTCCATTTATTTGATTCTGATAATCAGTAAGTGATGTTTGACTCAAATGTAACCGAAATTACACGTGCGTTGTCAAAATTATGGTAGATCCACTAAATTAACTTATTCAGAAAATAATGGCTAGAAAGCTTACCTCTAAGTCATCTACATCTTCAAAGTGGTCTTCTTCTTCGACCTCATCGAGGTCATCGTCATACCTAGAAGAAAATCGAGAAAGTTCTCCATCGCGACTTTTGCTGTTAAAAAGTAAATTGGACAACGATTGCTTCGTTTCCACTATTATCAACCACTGCGACAAGAAATGACTTTTGATCGACATATAAAATGCGAAAAAACGTGAATTCGGTATGTAGTTGTCTACAAGTGAATCACAGCGGAAAAGATCTCAAGATTCGCTGATTTGGAATGTCATTGCCACTCACCCTTCCAAATCGTCGTCCGCCATTTTGAACGAAAACGTAAGTTACCTGTCCAGCAGCAAAATCCAAAGTAAAATAGTACGTGATATATGACGAGTGGAAAGGTCACCCACGTGCGTTTTTCAACATGGCGGCTGATTTGACATACGAAGGTTGTAATTTTTTCCGACAAAGACTTGTTTTGGCGACGCTTAGCGGTAAATCGGTGAAAATAAAAAACATAAGAGCTGTTGAAGACGATCCTGGGCTGAAAGGTGCGTCCATTATCGAACTGATTAAGAAATCACAGCCTTTTCAGCTGCTGACTTCAGCTGTAAAAAACTTATATAAAATATGCTTCGTGTTTTGCCGTCTAATTTGAGAATTTTTGCTGTCTATGTAACCCTTTAAAGATTTTGAAGCAAGTTTTATACGGCTCCTGGACAAGGTAACAAACGGATCACGAATAGAAATTAATGAAACAGGTAAGTCTTCAGATAATTTATCAGATAATTTTTGTTACTTGTTTATAAGATTTTAATGAATGATAGCACTGCCCGGCCAGGTAATGTCCATTATAGAGGTCCTATTAGGGGTTATCGGGATACAGAATAAAACATTATAGGGATACGGGATACTTAAGGAAAAAATTAAAGGGATATTTAAAATATAATTATATTCCGGGATGTAAACTTGAATTTTAGGATAGAAACTACAGGAAGTAATAGGATACAGGATGTTTAAGCCAAACATTAATACTATAGGGGACACCTGGACCCCCCCCCCCTTCCTAATGGGGCCAAATTATTAAAGCTATATTATCCTTATGTTTGGATATTTTGTTTCCTTTTCCAAAGGTACAATGCTGTTTTATAAACCTGGCCTGTTAACTGGAGGAACCATTGACCATGACTGTAATCCTCAAAGATCCATTGGTTATTACCTAGAAGCAGTGGTGCTGCTGGCACCATTTTGCAAGAAACCTATCAGACTTACTCTGAAAGGAATAACAAATGACAGACATGATCCAACAGTAAGCCAGAAATAATATCATATTTTTTTATTGCGGAGAATTGACCCTTTAAGCCCTCAGAGTGATGAGCTTCTAACTTCTCCTTAAAGTACACTGCTGTATAATTCAAGAAGATCATGAGAATAACAGAAATGATCACCAACACAAGAAGCTTTGACTGTTGGACAAATTTTCCTTGTCATCACCAAAGCAAATATATAAAGAATCAAACAGTACATCAAATATGGATACTGATGTGAGGTTGTAAAGAGTTAAATACAAAAAAGATCAAATGTTAATTCAAATTTTGTGTTGATATTTTCCAGTTTCTCTCTGTTTTGTAAAAACTCTCATTTCATATCTAACAGTGTAGACAGAAATAAGATGGAAAATGAGCTTGTATAGAGGTGCATAATTAGATTACTTCTGAGAAATGTGCCTTTCCTAGAATTTGATGATTGCTGAATTATGTTATTTTAGGTTGACATCATTAAAACAGTTACGCTCCCTCTGGTAAAGAAGTTTGTGGTGGATGATGAAGGCTTAGATTTAAAGGTATCATTAGCTATTATTAATGAATGTAATTATTATTATTATTATTATCATTATTAATGATTTTCCAAGTAGAATTTTAACACATGCAAAAGATTGAGTCATGCATTAATTGTACCATCAGTGAACTTAGTTGGAAAGAAAGTTAAATAATATGACTCAGCTGCCTCTTTCAACATGATTGAATATATCTCCTCTCCTTGAAGTAGTAAGCTAAGTTATGTAATCAACAAGGTCACCATAATAACTAAGCAATTCTATGTATATATTCAATATATACATATATACAATATACAATATGTATATTGAAATATTAGAGCAGAGAGTAGAGGCGCACATCAAGATACCTGACATATAGTGCCCCTTAATTTAGGATAAAAAGTTATTCACTAAACTAGGCATAACTAAAATGGCTTAGATCAAAGAGGAAGACAAAAGATGAAGTACATCAAAAATTAATATTGAGTCAAATAATATTGTGAAAGTACTTTTTTCTGGTTAGTAGAGGAAAGAGGACTGCAGTAGATCATTCTTACTAAACATTATAAGGGCCATATTTTTACCAAAACAATGGAATTGGCCGCGGCAAAATTGGTGTCTAAGACAATCCCATTGGATTTGAACTCCTTTCCTTTGCATCAGTTTCTTTAATTTGTTGCAATTGATTTACATGGCTGTTCAAAACACTATGAAATATAATATTATCATTTCATTGACTTTTTTTTGTCACAGATTGTGAAAAGGGGAGCACCTCCAGAAGGAGGAGGGGAGGTGGTATTCTCTTGTCCTGTGAGGAGAAACTTGCGGCCATTACAATTCACAGATCCTGGCAAGATAAAAAGAATAAGAGGCCTTGCGTATCCTTTACTTTTTCCCTTGGTATAAGTGTTATAACTTTATTACAGAGACTGTAAGATCAACTGCTTGCTTATTATTTTTCTTGTAATTCGTATTGACTTGTATCATTCTTTATATTTTTCATACCTCCTTGATAGTGTTTTTTGTTAAATTTGTCAGCATTTTTCCTCATCAGGCACACCTTTTCTCACATTTCCATACTGCCTGTTAATTCAAAGTCCTCTTGTATTTAAAGCCAGTTTCTTCTATGGATTATCACTTTTTAAGTCAGTTTACCAAAAGTTGCTCTTGGTGCAGTTCTCTTAAATAATTTATGATTTTAGCTTCAACGACTTCTTCTACGACTAGTATTGCTGCTGTCAAAATAAAATATATTTTGAGTTGTTGTGATAATGTTTTTACTGTTATAGAGACCATTTCACATAGATCGCTATTTTTTTTTTTGATAAAAGCTGATTGCCTTAACCAAACCTTAAACAGGTATGCTATGAGAGTTTCTCCAGCTATTTGTAATAGGGTGGTTGATGCAGTCCGTGGTGTTTTGAACCAGTTTGTGTCCGATATCTACATTTATACAGATCACTGCAAAGGAGGTCAATCTGGAAAGTATGTCATTTTATAACAAACCTTTAACTTTTTTACCAGGGAATCAGCATGTTTCACCATTATTCATACATTAAATATCCACAACAAGACAAAAAATTATCTTTCTATATTTCTCTACTGAGCTTAAAGCTTACCATCTTCTTCTATTTACAAAACGTGGTGCTATCGACATTGCTGATCCTAGCAGAGTGCAGGATATGTGTCATATATGAAATTCATAATGGGCCTTAGAGTCTCTGTGGCTCAGTGGTAGAGCATGGGAGTGTGGAATCTGAAGGTTTGAGGTTCAATTCCTCATGGGGACTCAGAATTTTTTCTTTGTTCTGTGCTCATGAGAAGATGACAACCATATTTCTTAATATCCAAAGTGGCAAAATTTATGAGAAGTTTTACTACTCCTCCCCCTCCCCTGGAAGGGGTGACCGTCCATTGTAAATTGTCCTTGGCATTTTTTAGATTTACTTAAGAAGTTATCAGTACCCATTCATACTCCTGAGCAGAGAGAGGAACTGTGAGAGTAAGGTGTCTTGTCCAAGAAGGCAAAGTTATAACGCTTGCTAGATCTCGCGCCCAGATTTGCTAATGCAACTGAGTCAGTGCACTTCTGTTGTGCTGGTGATATTACGATAAGCAAGCTTTTCAGAGTCTCTTAAAACCAGAGATGCAATGTGTTCTTTTGTCATAAGCATGGTACACCATTAGTCATCAGATTAATGATAATCATGATTAAAAATGTCTTCCTCCAGGTCACCAGGGTTTGGGATCTCATTAGTTGCAGAATCAACAACTGGTGCCATGCTAAGTGTTCAGACATCATCTACCCCAGTAGGGGAGGGTCAGCCAGTTGTCCCTGAGGATCTTGGCAAACAGGCAGCTGAAATGTTACTTGAAGAAATTTACAAGGTAAGGTTTTTCCTGCTTTGGTCAGTTTCCTTGTTTATACTTTGATCCTTCATTGGCTCATGATATGTTCCTTTATTCTGGTTGGCTACTGTGATTGCTTTCAGTTTTGGATGTACAACACTCAATCAAAATGCACTTCATTAAGAGCTCTTGGCAGCTGGTGATCAGGCTTACACTCATACTAGCTTTTAAAACAATGATTAAAGTATAGCTGTATATTCTGAAATAAGACTCACCATTATTATTTATCTTTCTCCTTTGATAGGGAGGCTGTGTTGACTCTCGCCATCAGAGTGTTGTTCTCCTTTACATGATTCTGGGACAAAGGGATGTTTCTAAAATTCTCACTGGTCCACTGACTCCATATACGTAAGTAGTTGATAATGTCTCTCAGTGAAAAGAGTAAATAAATTCACACAATTTTCTGTTTGCTGGAGTTATGATCTGTTGTGTGTTATTTGGAAAGATTTTTGTAACTGCTTGGCATCAGTCTGGCTCTCATTCAATTGCAAAAAGGAGAGAAGGGAGAAGGAGGAGAAACAGAGAGATTGAAAAGTGGGAAGAGGCAGTGTTAGGGAGTATGATGGAGGACACAGGAGGAGACAGGGAGGGAGTGGGAATGGAGAGAGGATAGAAGCATTGTAGGGGGTATATGGAGGGCACAGTGGAGGGGAATGAGGTAGCATGGAGGCAGGAGGAGGTAGAGGAATTTAGAGGAGGACAGGGAGGGAGGGGAAATGGAGGGAGACAGAGGGGTGGAGAGGGAAAGAGATAAGGAGAGGAGATGATGGGGAAGGAAAAGATAAAGAAGAGAGGAGAGATAGGAAGAAGGAGAGGGACAGGGTGGCAGGGAGGTGAGGTGTAGATGATGATGGGAAATGAAGACGAGTGCAGCTAAGACAGAGAGGAAAGGTCGAATGGATAATAGGAAGAGAGGGAAGAAAGGGAGATGATGAAGAATAGAAGGAGATGAAAGAGAGGTGAGATAGACAGGAAGAAAGGAAAGTGTTGGAAGGAAGGAGAAATGGAGAAAAGTAAGTGGGGAGGGAGGGGAAAGACGGCTTGGTGGTGGAAGGTTCATTATCAATGTCATGATAAATGTTATTGTTTTCTTTCTACTCAATAATTTTTTTAAAATTTTCTCAGTGCTATTATCAACTCTTTTACAGCATTCAATTTTTGAGGCATCTAAAAGAATTTTTTGGAGTGATGTTCAAAATACAAGCACAACAGAGTGATGATGACAACAGTGTAGCAGGAGGAGAGAGTAAAATCTTGCTATCATGTGTAGGGGCTGGATACACGAACATTAACAAGACTATGGTGTAAACAAAAACAAAAAGCAGAGAAGTCAGGGATATTGAGACCTTGATTCTGTGGGAATATTATAGAGTGAATGTAAACTTGTCTTCATCTCAAATAAACTCATATTGAGACATGAAATGTTTTTAATCGAGTTTCTGCAATGAAACGTTGAAATGAAGCGAAAAATCTTTCATTTTAATTGTAAAACTGTAAGAGCGCGCTGATCAAACTGAAGTGCTGACAATAAATTGCCTAAGGCACTTTGTGTTTCTCCGAGATAAACGTAATGCTGAGGTGTGTCTGGATGTTTTCCCCAAATAGTCTCTAATGTCAAGAGCACGCTGTTTGGACTCAAGTGCTGACAAAAAGTCGCCTGAGGCATGTTGGGTTACTTCGAGAGTAAAGTAACTATCGTCTAGCTCTAATTTCAAGAGCAGGCTGAAAAGACTGAACTCCTGACGAGAAGTCGCTTAAAGCATGTTGTGTTTCTCCGAGAGAAAAGTAACACTAAGCTTTGTTTGGTTCTTCTTCCGCTAAGAGTTTAATTCTGATTTCAAGGGCACGCTGAAAAGACTGAAGTGCTGACAAAACGTCGCCTGAGGTAAACTGGGTTACTCCGAGAGAGAAGTAATACTCGGCTGTATCTGGATGTTCTTCCCCGAAGAGTTTAACTCTTATGTCAAGAGCATGCTGTTTGGACTGAAGTGCTGACAAAAAGTGGCCTAAGCCATGTTGGGTAACACCGAGGTCAAAGTAACTCTTAGCTGTGTCTGGGTGTTCTTCCCCAAAAAGTTTAACTCTTATGTCAAGAGCACACTGTTTGGACTGAAGTGCTGTCAAAAAGTCGCCTAAGGCATGTTGGGTTACTCCGAGAGAAAAGTAACTCTTAGCTGAGTCTGGGTGTTCTTCCCCAAAGAGTTTAACTCTTATGTCAAGAGCACGCTGTTTGGACTTAAGTGCTGACAAAAAGTCGTCTAAGGCATGTTGGGTTACACCGAGGTCAAGGTAACTTTTAGCTGTATCTGGGTGTTCTTCCCCAAAGAGTCTAACTCTTATGTCAAGAGCTCGCTGTTTGGACTGAAGTGCTGACAAAAAGTCGCCTGAGGCATGTTGTGTTACTCCGAGGTCAAAGTAACTCTTAGCTGTGTCTGGGTGTTCCTCCCCAAAAAGTTTAACTCTTATGTCAAGAGCACGCTGTTTGGACTGAAGTGCTGACAAAAAGTCGCCTAAGGCATGTTGGGTTACTCCAAGAGAAAAGTAACTCTGAGCTGTGTCTGAGTGTTCTTCCCCAAAGAGTTTCACTCTTATGTCAAGAGCACGCTGTTTGGACTGAAGTGCTGACAAAAAATCTTCTGAGGCATGTTGTGCTACTCCGAGGTCAAAGTAACTCTTAGCTTCCTCTGGGTGTTCTTCTTCAAACAGTTTCATTCTAATGTCAAGAGCACGCTGTTTGGACTGGAGGGCTGACAAAACGTCGCCTGAGGCGTGCTGGGTTTTTCCGAGAGACAAGTAACTCTTCGCTGTGTCTGGGTGTTCTTCCCCGAGGAGTTTAACTCTTATGTCAAGGGCACACTGTTTGGACTGAAGCGCCGACAAAAAGTCGCCTGAGGCATGTTGGGTTACTCCTAGAGAAAAGTAACTCTGAGCTGTATCTGGATGTTCTTTTCCGAAGAGTTTAGTTCTAATTTTGAGAGCATGCTGAAAAGACGTAACTGCTGACGAGAAGTCGCTTGAGGCATGTTGTGTTTCTCCGAGAGAAAAGTAACTTTGAGCTGTGTCTGGGTGTTCTTCCCCGAAGAGTCCTATTGCAATGTCGAGGGCAAGTTGAAAGGACTGAATGGCACCAGGATAGTTTTGCATCTGATGAATAGCGCACCCACGGTCCAAATAGCTTCTTAGTAATCCTTCTTGATGCCAATTTAAATCAAGATGTTTGTTGGGTTTAGCTTTATCTCCTGCATTAACTTTTCCACTTTGTTTTAAGGTCATTTTATGATAATTTATCCATGTGTCCCACAACTTTGTTGCTTCCTCGGGATTATTCAGTACATTTTTAAGTGTCGAATTGACGTTGCGCTGGAAGGTCCATGAACCAATGGAATGTGGAAGGATCTGTTTATCTATTTCATTTGACATCCTTAGTACAGATTTGCTTATTGCTTGCTTTGTTTCATAATCAGAGGACATTTCCGTCGCTTTGCTAACAACGCATATCATTTCTAATCTAAGTGGTTGAGTGGTTGTAACATCTGATTTCGGGATATCTGTCTGGATCATTCTCAATTCTTTGTTATTCAATGGAGGAATAACAAGGAGACTTGTGTCTCCTAATGCTCTGCATTCATGTAAGGCTGTGGTGTAAAGCTCCAGAGAAGTTGCTTTCTTTTTCTTGAAAAGAAAGTAAGTAACAAGAATTTGCAGTGCAAATACTGTGAGAATTCGCTGTTCGGGGCTATCACTCACCAAGCAAAGAGCTTTTTGTAAGTTCTCAGCTCCGTCATCTATTTTCCCTGAAACCAGTTGACAGATGCCTTTATAACAAAGGAGTTTTCTTTTATCATCTACCGACAAAGAAAAGACCTCGGCTTTAGAGAGCAGCGTCATCGATCTTCCATGTATCCCCCAAGTCACTTCGTTGAATGCCAAGGACAACAGTAACTGACTGTAGAACACGCTCTTTCCAAACGCCTGAGCTTTTTCAGTTGCGTGATCATAAATTTTGTCGATAATTTTTCCCTCGCACCAGAAAAGGGAATCTAGAAAGATTTCCGCCTTTGTCAGGACACCAAATGAAACGTCACATGTCTTGGGATCGGAGCAGCTCTCCATAAGACTCTGAATAATATTCTGCTTCTCTTCATAGAAATCAATAAATGCTTGCATGGATTGTCCTGTCAAAAACTGTTTATTTAGCTTCTCGAAAAGAGAGACGTAAAATGCAGACAAACGTGCTTTGGAGTTCAGCATGGTTTCTTTCATTTCATCTTGACCTCTTCCTCTTGCAAACGACAGAATCAACTTATGCATCGAAAATGACTCAGGTTTGGAGCTAGAGTCGAGGAAAGATTTTCTCCGAAGCCTATGCAAGATTTTCTTGGCCTCCAGAGTTGTTTTTACACCCATGACAGCTGTAGCAACTGAGTGGTTAAAATCTCCAGAAAGAACACTAAGTGATACCAGCGCTTCTTTTTCAGATAAAGAGAGTCTCTGAAAAGAGGATTCAAATAGGAACTTTAATCGCAGATAGCTTGGATAATCTGGATTGTCCAACAGCTCGAAAAGGCTACTTTCTATTGATTCCTTGAAGGTATCTAAAAATTGACTCGGCTGAGCATTATCTTCAGTAATGGAGGAACACAACAGTTTCATGGCCAAAGGTACGAACCCGCAGATTTTCGCAATTTTCGAGCAGTCAGACGCGGTCGCTTTAGGAAGTAATCCGCCGACTAAGGTTTGAGAGAAGGACTCGTGTAATGGCCCTATTCTTACTGCTTGATGGCCTTCAAAATGCACATTCATAAATTCAAGAGATTCCCTTGTGGTAAGAAGAAATGTTAAATTCTTGAATTGACTAAGAATGACTTCCAGAAGGTTTATGAAATCCTCCTTCACATTCGGTGCTCCACTTTCGAGTAATTCATCGGCATTGTCAAGAATCATCACAAATTCACCTGAAATGTCTCTTAGAAAGAGAAAAAGTTCTTCTTCTATGGACATCTGCTGAGGAATTTGATCTCTTGTGGAGTGTCTTCTAAAGAAGCTCAGAAGCTGCGTGGTCAGATCGGCCTTTGAAAGAAGCCCTCTCATGGAGAAGAAGTATACGAGAAATCCATCAATTTGAAGTCGATTTCCGACTTCAGTTGCCACAGAAGTCTTACCAAAACCAGGCGAGCCCCATACCGACACGATCCGGGAACGTTTGGAAGTTAAGTGACTGCTGATGTCTTCCCATTCTCTCTGAGGGCCAGTGAAGTGTGGAACCTTCGAAGGAAGACTTGATGGTGGAAGGAATGGCTTTGAATCTTAAAAGAAGCAAATTGATGCAATTATGAAAGAGCTCATGTCGGTAGTTTGAAGAGAAAAATAACGATGATAATAAATAGTACATTTTACTGTACCATTAAAAATGTGGAAATCATGTTTTAGGGCACAGCTTTAATCATGAGCTTCTTGCTCTTTCCGTGAGGTTGTAATCTTAACAACATCCCACAAGAGTCACGATGCCGGTAAATATAATGGCTGCGGCTTACTTCTTAAACAAATTGTTTTAAAATAAAAGATAACAGATTGTTTAACAAGGTGGTATTCTGATTACAGAATAAATTCATCTTAGGGAAGAAGAGAGGATTTTCAAGACATGTACGAAGCACTTTTGCGAAAACTGGAAGTTGCCTCGTTGAACTATTATTACTAGAGTAAAGAGCAGAAACGCTGCTATTTCTTTTCAGTTCCTCCCTGCCAAACTAATGGTTATAAGACTGCCATATTGCATCTTAAATTGTTGTTAATCAAAAAATTCTGTAAAGCTTTTAATCAGTTTATACCTGTTTGATCTTCATCCATGTTAAGTTTCAAATCATCTATTTCTCCCTTCAACAAAGCGAGGTCATCAACTTTTTCTTTTATCGCATTCCCCTGTGCTATTAATTTGTCGACGCCTGATTTCACTTCTTCGAGACACTCGACACCTGATCTTAGTTCTTCGAGACACTCGATGTATGATCTGGTCTCCTGTCTAAGACTTTCTTCCAATATGCGAACTTCTTTGGTGGGAAAGTCAGACTCTGTCAGTCCACCGATGGCATCAATGGGATCTGTTATGATTCCAAGAGCTTTGAATGCTTCTTTAGCAAGCTTCACGTATTGGTCAAAGGTTGGTTTATCAATCTCTGACCTGTCTGCGTGACAAAGGGAGTTTCGTAAAAGTCGAAGCTGATCAATCGCAAGAGCGAAGGTTTCGGCTGTATTTCCACTTGGACTCACAACAGATGGATGGAACTTTCCGGGAGGTACTTTATGGTGCCTTACGTACATTTCACTGAGTGTCTTGTAATGAACTTTGCTATCTGGCGTAGCGATGGACCTTGCATAAATGGTGGCCTGGAACAGAGCGGTACAATCCCATTCTTCATAGGAGATGTGTGTAGGAACTTTGCTTTTCCCACCTTCTTCAGCGAGAAACAAATTTCTTCTCCTTCTTCTTCTTATTTTTGACCATCGACCTCATAGTACAAATTTCTTTCTCTCCCCAAGCCTTCCGCTACCATTAAAATCAAAGATGGCGGCCATAATTTTCATTCAGAAAATACATAGCACTCGCTCGCCAAAATTAAGCCTGTTTTTCAGGCTACCCTTTCCACTACCTTACACACGTGCGATGTATCACATCATGTAACCTGGATCGGAACGTTTTCAAAAGTGGCCGTCGATTTAGTGTCAAAAAAAACTGTAGAAAATTTGGCTTCGAATAATATGTGGTTTATTTGCTCATTTAGGATTCTCTAACCTAAAAGGAATGTATACGTACGTACGATTTAGCGTTCAAAAAGTGTCTCCATTAAGCGCGCGGCCAAAAACGATTATGTTATAGCTGTGACGTAGAAAAATGTGAAGACACGTCGGCAGTTATGGTGGAGAAAGGAAAAATCTGGAAAGAAGGACGGACGTAATGCGTGGCCGGAGCGCCCAATGATAGCTACAAGAATAATACACATATATCAGGTATTTTTAAACACTAATTTCCAAATGATGTAGCTATATGGCTAAAATGGACGTGTCTCGATCGTCGACATCGAGGAGAGTTTACTCTTCAATGTCGTTGGCCTCATGCTCCGTACCGGCTTCGAAGACGCCTGTTACGAACACATATAACTACTGAGTTAAATCAGGGGAAGATAACCAAAGAATTCAGCTAAAGAGGATGCTGATTAAGTAGCCTGTTCCCACACCGTACACGATTGTTCAACATTCTTTTCGGCTGACATTTCGCAAGCGAAGAATAGTGAGCTCCTTATTTCACGCGCTTGAGATGTACTCATACTCTCTGTCTTTCCACACGACTACATTTGCGCTTTTTTCTCTTATCGTATGAAAATCCTACCAATTGTAGTTTATGTCGTATTTTAACAACAGAAATGCATCATTTGTGATAAAGTTCAAGCCGTTTCCTGAGCTGACCGATATCCTGTGGCATGAACCTCTGGCGGATACTGGCATAAACACAAGCTCGAAGGGTCCGTGTATTCTCCTAACTTAGGTTTCCGAAAATCCATCCCACGAGCCATCAATTCCCCCCTGCCCTCAAGAAACTAAAAGTAGCAACAGTAGCAATATCATTGTGATAACAGCACTGCAACGAGATAATTAAAGAAACGCAAATATTATTGAATTAGATGCATGGTAGCGAATCCAAGTGTTGTGCGAAATGGGTCGCATGGCAATGCCGCACTTAAACTAAAGAAGGTTTTTCTGTATTAAAATCCCTATTTGAGATTAACTTGAATCGGATGACTTTTAACTCACTCGTTTTTCGTTTGACCGGTTCGACGACGCCGGCCTCTGCCTTTACAATCTCTGAGGAAAGGAGCAGTTTGCAGTGAAACTGCCCGATCACTTCTAGGCGAAAAATCATCGTGCCTCGTGATACAGCTGATTATTTCGTCAAAAGTTAGCTTTTGGTTTGCCAAGGAAATTACTCTACAGCAACGAAACTCTGGAGCATTAACCAAAGAAATAAGAAATAACATGTTATGTAAACAGAAACGAACACAGCTACCCATTATTACCATAGATTTCGTCGTAGAAAACAAAACACGAAGGCAATTAACTAATCATTCAGTAACAGGAGTACTTTGTTCTAATCTTGACCTGAACACCGCAGGCGAGAAACCGTCTTTGTCAGTCCTCGTCGAAATCTTCGTTGGCACGCAGTTGATGCAGCTTGTAAAGAAAAAGTATTCTCACATCTTTCATGTCCTCAACCTAAGGTGCATTTTTTAAAATTTTAAATGAGAAAAACTTTTTACTGGTTGAGACAGGATCTGAGAGTTAGGGACTTATTTATTTTTTCATATTCTAGAGTTAATGTAAAGTTGCCATTCTGACAACACTCACACGATAAATTCAATATGAAAAGTTTATTCAGGATGAGCCAGTCAGTCTTCTAGTACTAAGGAAGAAAAATCAATGATTGTAATATTTTACAGGGAGTTGGAATACCAAAATTACAACAAATACAGAAAAGAAAGTGGTCAAACATAAGACTGACCGACCTAGAATGACTTAATTTTCCCGCGAAACGAATGAGTAATCCGAAACTTTCATGATGCCATGCGAAACTCTTCGACTAATTCGTTCCCATGTCACTTAAACGTCAAAAATGACATTTTTATCTCGAGTAAGGTCAGATTAAGACATGAAGTGTTTTTAATGAAGTTTCTGAAAATAAACATTGAGGTGAAGTTAAAAATCTTTTATTTTAGTTAAAAAAAAAAGAGTAAATGGTTCCTTCAAGTATTCACAAAATTGTTTAATTTTCTGCAAATCCAAGTCACTTTTCTTCCCAGAGTGATCGGGGTTTACTCTTATACATAGCTTAAAAGGGAAAGAGTCCTTCAGCTGGGTTTCATCATTATAGGGAGTAAGTTTCTAAAGAAACTGTGGTGCTGCGTCAGTGGGAGAGTATAGCAAGATAATTTGGTTTTATCAACTGAGTTGTTAAGGTTACTTCCCACCTTCGCGGGTGTCCTTCGGGAAAAAAATCGTTGGAGTGCTAGTTTCATTAGAATCCTAGCAAACTATACATCAGAAGAACTGCAGTTTACAATAAAAATATGATTTAAGCGACTTTTCCTCTAAGGAAGTGTCAGGAGCCGGTAAGGCGTAAAACGACGGACGGTTCTTCTATTGAATTTATAGGTTATCGGATGTCGCAGCACGAGCAAAATGGCTGCACAGTCTTATTCACAAGGCATCAATCAACAAGAGTGTGTTCGGCTTTTTTGATATTCTGATTGGTTGTCTAGATATCAGCATCTAAACTTGGAGTAGCTAAAAATATGCGAGGCGTGTTGCGTAAATGGACAACACGAGACAAATATTTCAAATATCAAAGTTTGCCGACACACTTTCGTTTGTCATTATTCCTGGAATTTTTGGCGAAATCTGACGATTGCGAGATTTTAGCTAATGAAGGTTTGCAAACAACTGGCGCTACGCTAGAAGTTTAACTCGCCTCCTGAAACCGCAAACCAATGGGACAACGGGACCTCCCTGCGTCAATGACGATGGATCAAGATTTCCCGGGAAAAGTAACCCATTGCAGACTCGATCGCTCAGTGGAACTTTGAGGAGGACGACGTAATAATGGGCAGAGTTGCCAAAGGCTAAAATGGAAAAACAGGAAAATGTGCTGAGGAGCAAGACAACGGATCGACAGACACCTTTCAAAATTACGATTTGTATCAAGGCTGGTACTTGCATAAATAAAAGAAGACCTTGTTTTTAACGTTATGTCGAGAACTTTCAAAACACACTTTCAAATTTCAAATCTGGCAACGAAATAACTGAAAGAAAATAGCAACGACTCAAATGCTTTGTTTTAATCATAATCTAGCTTATTTTACAAATAAAATGTTAACGATGAAAGTTTCGAACGAAAACAAGCGGCAGCTTTTCTAATAAATACTAATTGGCGCGTGCCTGTTGAGATATCTTTCTATTGCGAAGATAGCCTTACGGCAATCGCACAGCTGATCCTGCTCTGTCAATGACAGCGGAAAAATTTAAATATAAATTGTTTTATCTTTACCATTTGTATCGGATCCAGAGGAAGCTTGTTTCCAATCCCCTTACGTCTCTTCCATCTAATTCATGCGGCAGAAAGAAATGCCGCACAAGCTGCACAGCAAAATTTTTTTCGGAAGTGGCCCTCGACCGCAGTAGAAGGAGGGTTTTCTCTCGTGTGTCCTCCTCTGATGTGGTCGATTCATCCAAGGCTGAACTGAGTGGACTGGATGGTGGCCTTTTTTGCTGCACCTCGAGGGTTTCGACAGGGGGGCTAGCTACTTCTGATGTGCCACTGAGAAGCGAAATTAGTGTGTCGAACCGCTCCATCATTTGTTTTTGTAGCTCTGCAACATGCTGGAGTCATGGAATTATTTACCTATGCCATTGTTCACATGATGCCATTGTTCACATGCCAATAATTTAGCGGAGGCGGGACAGTTCATTAACGACAGATCAGACTCTATTGATCAATTGTAACGCAAAAGCGAGCTAAGAAAAAGAGGCTTCGAGAAAAAGTATATTTCTTCGACCTAACAACGAAACTGCACATACCTGACCTGGTTCCTTCTTCCTTTTCTCCTTTTCTTTAGAATTCTCATCCCAGAAGCTGGCTGTTATCGTTTCTTAGACCCGCATTTTTTGGTTTCAGTTGTCTCGGTCGGTTGTTGAATCCTATCGGTCGGCTTTTCTCTCGTATCAGTATCGGTGAAGAAGGAGAGGGGATGGGTGGCAGGCGAGAAAAAGGGAAGTTAGAGAGGATATCAAGAAGGAAGACAGGGAGGGTTGAGGCATGGAGAGGGATGGGAAGGGAGGGGAGATAGAGTGGATAATTGGGAGCAAGGGAAAAAGAGAAGATGAAGAACGGATTGAAGTTAACGAAAGATGAGACAGACAGGAAGAAAGGAAGGAGTTGGAAGGAAGGGGAATTGAGAAGAGTAAGTATGGAGGGTTTGGTGGTGGCACACAGTAGGTTCATTATCAATGTTATTGTTTTCTTTCTACTCGATAATTTTTTACAATTTTTTCAATACTATCATCAACCTTTTTACAGCATTCAATTTTTGAGGCATCTGAAAGAATTTTTTGGAGTGATGTTCAAAATACAAGCGAAACAGAGTGATGATGACAACAGTGTAGCAGGAGGAGAGAGTAAAATCTTGCTATCGTGTGTAGGGGCTGAATATACGAACATTAACAAGACTATGGTGTAGTAAACAAACAGCAGAGGGGTCAGGGATATTGAGACCTTGATTCTGCAACTAGGGGACTTAGTCTGTGCATTGCTGTAACTGTAAGTCTGTTCAAGATGTCTGAAATACCCAATACCTCAAACCATTTTAGCTGGTTTCCATTTCCGGTAACGGAACTCGCTTGTAAAGAAAAAATATCCTCACATCTTTTATATCCATAACCTAAAATGCATGTTTTAAATTTTAATGAGAAAAGAGGGACCGGGGTTTATTCTCATACATAGGTTAAAACGGAAGGGGGCCCTTGGCTGGGTTTATTATTAAAGGGAGTAAGTTACTAGAGAAACTGTGAGGCTGCGTCGGTGGGGGAGTATAAGAAGATAATTTGATTTATCAACTGAGTTGTTCATGTAAATTGGCCACCGTAGAGAGTTTCTAAGCTGAAGTTTCTACCGTTAGCCCTTTGTCGCTCTGACGAACAAAATAAATTTCCAAATGTCTTTTTTATCTTCTCTGATTGACATGCTTTCGACTAATACACACGCTACAATTTTTTGGCACGTGATTATGATGTTTAAAACTGGCGTAGATCGAGTCTCAAGGCTCAGCAGTGTATCTCCAAGCCAAGGTTAGGGTAGTACCTCATTGTTACTCCTAGATTAAAGTAACTCTAAGCTGTGTCTTTGTGTTCCTCCCCGGAGAATTAACTATGATGTCAAAGGCACGTTGATGGGACTAAAATACCGAAAAGAAGTCGTCTAAGGCAATTCGTGTTTCTCCAAGAGAAAAGTAACACTCAGCTGTGTGTGGGTGTTCTTCCCCGAATAGTTTAACTCTAATGTCAAGAGCACGCTGTTTGGACTGAAGTGCTGATGAGAAGTTGCCTAAAGCATGTTGTGTTTCTCCGAGAGAAAAGTAACACTCAGCTGTGTGTGGGTGTTCTTCCCCGAAGAGTTTGATTTTTATGTCAAGAGCACGCTGATGGGACTGAAGTGCTGACAAAAAGTCGCCTGATGCATGTTGAGTTACTCCGAGAGAAACATAACACTCAGCTGTGTCTGGGTGTTCTTCCCCGAAGAGTTTAACTCTTATGTCAAGAGCACGCTGATGGGACTGAAGTGCTGCCAGGAAATTGCCTAAAGCATGTTGTGTTACCCCGAGGTTGAAGTAACTTTGAGCTGTGTCTGGGTGTTCCTCACCGAAGAGTTTCATTCTTATGTCAAGAGCACACTGATCAGACTGAAGTGCTGACGAGAAATTGCCTAAAGCATGTTGTGTTACCCCGAGGTTGAAGTAACTTTGAGCTGTGTCTGGGTGTTCGTCACTGAAGAGCTTAACTCTTATGTCAAGAGCACGCTGATGGGACTGAAGCGCTGACAAGAAACTGCCTAAAGCATGTTGTGTTACCCCAAGGTTGACGTAACTTTGAGCTGTGTCTGGGTGTTCCTCACCGAAGAGTTTCACTCTTATGTCAAGAGCACGCTGATTGGATTGAAGTGCTGACGAGAAATTGCCTAAACCATGTTGTGTTACCCCAAGGTTGAAGTAACTTTGAGCTGTTTCTGGGTGTTCCTCACCGAAGAGTTTCACTCTTATGTCAAGAGCACGCTGATCCGACTGAAGTGCCGACGAGAAATTGCCTAAAACATGTTGTGTTACCCCAAGGTTGACGTAACTTTGAGCTGTGTCTGGGTGTTCCTCACCGAAGAGTTTAACTCTTATGTCAAGAGCACGCTGATTGGACTGAAGTGCTGACGAGAAATTGCCTAAGGCATGTTGTGTTACCCCAAGGTTGACGTAACTTTCAGCTGTGTCTTTGTGTTCGTCACCGAAGAGTTTCACTCTTATGTCAAGAGCACGCTGATGGGACTGAAGTGCTGACGAGTAATTGCCTAAAGCATGTTGTGTTACTCCAAGGTTGAAGTAACTTTGAGCTGTGTCTGGGTGTTCCTCACCGAAGAGTTTAACTCTTATGTCAAGAGCACGCTGCTTGGACTGAAGTGCTGATGAGAAATTGCCTAAAGCATGTTGTGTTACCCCAAGGTTGAAGTAACTTTGAGCTGTGTCTGGGTGTTCGTAACCGAATTGTTTAACTCTTATGTCAAGAGCATGCTGATGGGACTGAAGTGCTGACGAGAAATTGCCTAAAGTATGCTGTGTTACCCCAAGGTTGACGTAACTTTCAACTGTATCTGGGTGTTCCTCACCGAAGAGTTTCACTCTTATGTCAAGAGCATGCTGATGGGACTGAAGTGCTGACGAGAAATTGCCTAAAGCATGTTGTGTTACTCCAAGATTAAAGTAACTTTGAGCTGTGTCTGGGTGTTCCTCACCGAAGAGTTTAACTCTTATGTCAAGAGCATGCTGATGGGACTGAAGTGCTGACGAGAAATTGCCTAAAGCATGTTGTGTTACCCCAAGGTTGACGTAGCTTTCAACTGTATCTGGGTGTTCCTCACCGAAGAGTTTAACTCTTATGTCAAGAGCATGCTGATGGGACTGAAGTGCTGACGAGAAATTGCCTAAAGCATGTTGTGTTACCCCAAGGTTGACGTAGCTTTTAACTGTGTCTGGGTGTTCCTCACCGAGGAGTTTAACTCTTATGCCAAGAGCATGCTGATGGGACTGAAGTGCTGACGAGAAATTGCCAATAGCATTTTGTGTTACTCCAAGGTTTAAGTAACTTTGAGCTGTGTCTTGATGTTCGTCACCGAAGAGTTTCACTCTTATGTCAAGAGCACGCTGCCTGGACTGAAGTGCTGATGAGAAATATCCTAAAGCATGTTGTGTTACCCCAAGGTTGACGTAACTTTGAGCTGTGTCTGGGTGTTCTTCACCGACGAGTTTAACTCTTATGTCAAGACCACGTTGATGGGACTCAAGTGCTGATGAGAAATATCCTAAAGCATGTTGTGTTACCCCAAGGTTGACGTAACTTTGAGCTATGTCTGGGTGTTCCTCACCAAAGAGTTTAACTCTTATGTCAAGAGCACGCTGATGGGACTGAAGTGCTGATGAGAAATTGCCTAAAGCATGTTGTGTTACCCCAAGATTGAAGTAACTTTGAGCTGTGTCTGGGTGTTCTTCCCCAAAAAGTTTAACTCTTATGTCAAGAGCACGCTGTTTGGACTGAAGTGCTGACAAAAAGTCCTCTGAGGCATGTTGTGTTACTCCGAGAGAAAAGTAACTTTGAGCTGTGTCTGGGTGTTCCTCACCGAAGAGTTTAACTCTTATGTCAAGAGCACGCTGATGGGACTGAAGTGCTGATGAGAAATTGCCTAAAGCATGTTGTGTTACTCCAAGGTTTAAGTAACTTTGAGCTGTGTCTGGGTGTTCCTCACCGAAGAGTTTAACTCTTATGTCAAGAGCACGCTGCTGGGACTGAAGTGCTGACGAGAAATTGCCTAAAGCATGTTGTGTTACCCCGAGGTTGAAGTAGCTTTGAGCTGTGCATGGATGTTCATCACCGAAGAGTTTAACTCTTATGTCAAGAGCACGCTGCTTGGACTGAAGTGCTGATGAGAAATTGCCTAAAGCATGTTGTGTTACTCCAAGGTTGAAGTAACTTTGAGCTGTGTCTGGGTGTTCCTCACCGAAGAGTTTAACTCTTATGTCAAGAGCACGCTGATTGGACTGAAGTGCTGATGAGAAATTGCCTAAAGCATGTTGTGTTACTCCAAGGTTAAAGTAACTTTGAGCTGTGTCTGGGTGTTCCTCACCGAAGAGTTTAACTCTTATATCAAGAGCACGCTGTTTGGACTGAAGTGCTGATGAAAAATTGCCTAAGGCATGTTGTGTTACTCCAAGGTTTAAGTAACTTTGAGCTGTGTCTGGGTGTTCCTCACCGAAGAGTTTAACTCTTATGTCAAGAGCACGCTGTTCGGACTGAAGTGCTGACAAAAAGTCTTTTGAGGCATGTTGGGTTATTCCGAGAGAAAAGTAACAATCCGTTGTGTCTGGGTGTTCTTCCCCGAAGAGTCCTATTGCGAATTCAAGGGCATGTTGAAAGGACTGAATGGCTCCAGAATAGTTTTGCATCTGATGAAGAGCATGGGCGCGGTCGAAATAGCTTCTTAATAATTCTTCTTGATGCAAATTTAAATCAAGATTTTCTTTGGGTTTAGCTTTATCATCTGGGATATCTTGTCTACTTTCTTTTAAGACCTTGTTATGATAACTGATCCACGTGTCGCACAACTTTGATGCTTCCTCGGGATTATTCAATACATTTTTAAGTGTCGAATTGATGTTGCGCTGGAAGGTCCATGAACCAATGGAATGTGGGAGGATCTGTGTTTCTGTTTGATTTGACATCCTTAGCACAGATTTGCTTATTGCTTGCTTTGTTTCGTAATCAGAGAACATTTCTGTTGCTTTGCTAACAACGCAAATAGTTTCTAATCTAAGTGGTTGAGTGGTTATAACACCTGGTTCTGGCATATCTGCCTCGATCATTGTCAATTCTTTGTTATTCACTTGAGGAATAACAAGAAGACTTGTGTCTCGTAGTGCTCTGCATTCATGTAAGGCTTTGGTGTAAAGCTCCAGTGAAGTTGCTTCCTTTTTATTGAAAAGAAAGTAAGTAACAAGAATTTGCAGCGAGAATACTGTGAGAATTCGCTGTTCGGGACTGTCACTAGTCAAGCAAAGAGCTTCTCGCAAGTTCTGAGCTCCGTCGTCTATTTTCCCTGAAACCAGTTGACAGATGCCTCTATAACACTGGATTTTTCTTTTATCATCTACCGACAAAGAAAGGCCTTCGGCTTTAGAGAGCATCGTCATCGATCTTCCATCTATCCCCCAAGTAATTTCGGTGAATGCCAAGGACACCAGTAACTGGCTGTAGAAGACGCTTTTTCCAAACGCCTGAGCTTCTTTAGTTGCGCGATCGTAAATTTTGTCGATGATTTTTCCCTCGCACCAGAAAAGGGAATCTAGAAAGATTTCTGCTTTTGTAAGGACACCAAATGTAACGTCACATGTCTTAGGATCGGAGCAGCTCTCCATAAGACTCTGAATAATATTCTGCTTCTCTTCATAGAAATCAATAAATGCTTGCATGGATTGTCCTGTCAAAAACTGTTGATTTAGCTTCTCGAAAAGAGAGACGTAAAATGCAGACAAACGTGCTTTGGAGTTCAGCATGGTTTCTTTCATTTCATCTTGACCTCTTTCTCTTGCAAACGACAGAACCAACTTATGCATCGAAAATGACTCAGGTTTGAAGCTAGAGTCGAGGAAAGATTTTCTCCGGAGCCTATGCAAGATTTTCTTGGCCCCCAGAATTGTTTTTACACCCATGACAGCTGTAGCAACTGAGTGGTTAAAATCTCCAGAAAGAACACTAAGTGATACCAGCGCTTCTTTGTCTGATAGAGAGAGTCTCTGAAAAGAGGATTCAAATAGGAGCTTCAATCGCAGATTGCTTGGATAATCTGGATTGTCCAACAGCTGGAAAAGGTTATCTTCTATAGATTCCTTGAAGCTAACTAAAAATTGAGTCGGCTGAGCATTATCCTCAGCAATAGAGGAACACAACAGTTTCATGGCCAAAGGTACGAACCCGCATATTTTTGCAATATTCGAGCAGTCAGACGCGGTCGCTTTTGGAAGTAATCCGCCGACTAAGGTTTGAGAAAAGGACTCGTGTAATGGCCCTATTCTTACTGCTTGATGGCCTTGAAAATTCACATTCATAAATTCAAGAGATTCCCTTGTGGTAAGAAGAAATGTTAAATTTTTGAATTGACTAAGAATGACTTCCAGAAGGTTGATGAAATCCTCCTTCACATTCGGTGCTCCACTTTCGAGTAAGTCATCGGCATTGTCAAGAATCATCACAAATTCACCTGAAATGTCGCTTAAAAAGAGGGAAAGTTCGTCTTCTATGGACATCCGCTGAGGCATTTGATCTTTTGTGGAGTGTCTTTTAAAGAAGCTCAGAAGCTGCGTAGTCAGATCGGCTTTTGAAAGAAGCCCTCGCATGGAGAAGAAGTACACGGGAAGTCCTTCAGTTTGGAGTTGATGTCCGACTTCAGTTGCCACAGAAGTCTTACCAAAACCAGGCGAGCCCCATATCGACACGATCCGGGAACTTTTGGAAGTTAAGTGATTACTGATGTCTTCACACTCTCTCTGACGGCCAGTAAAGTGTGGAACCTTTGAAGGAAGATTTGATGGTGGAAGGAATGGCTTTGAATCTTTGAAAAAGCAAATTGATGCAATCATGAAAGAGCTAATTTCGGTAGTTTGAAGAGCAAATAAAAATATTGATCACCAAAAAGAGTACAGTAACATAAAAAAACTAGAAATTCAAGTTTTATAGATACAGCTTTAATCAAAGCTTCTTGCTTTTTCCGTGAAGTTGTACCATTAACAACATCCCACAAGAGTCACGATGCCGGTAAATATAGTGGGTGCGGTTTACTTCTTGCGCAAATTGTTTTGAAACAAAAGATAACAGATTGTTCAAGGTGGTACTCTGACAATAGAGAAAAATTCATCTTAGGAAAGGAGAAAGGATTGTCAAGACTTGTTCAAAGCATTTTTGCGAAAACTTGAAGTTACCCCGTTGAACTATTACTACTTAAGTACAGAGTAAAAACGCTTTTGTCTCTTTTGTTCCTCCCCGCCAAAGTAATGCTTATAAGACTCAGCCACATTGCATCGTAAAATTTTTGTCAATTAGAAAATCCTGTAAAAAAATTCAATCAGTTTATACCTGTTTGATCTTGATCCATCTTAAGTTTCAAATCATCTATTTTTCCCTTCAACAAAGCGAGGTCTTCAACTTGTGCTATTAATTTGTCGACACCTGATCTTACTTCTTCGAGACACTCGATATATGATCTGGTCTCCTGTCTAAGACTTTCTTCCAACTTGTGAACTTTTTTGGTGGGAAAGTCAGACTCTGTCATGCCACCGATGGCATCAATGGGATCTGTCATGATACCAAGAACTTGGAATGCATCTTTAGCGAGCTGCACGTATTGGTCAAAGGTTGGTTTATCAATCTCTGACTTGTCTGCGTGACAGAGCGAGTTTCGTAAAAGTCGAAGCTGATCAATCGCGAGAGCGGAGGTTTCGGCTGTATTTCCACTTGGACTCACAACAGATGGATGGAACTTTCCAAGAGGTACTTTACGGTGCTTTACGTACAGTTCACCAAGTGTTTTGTAATGACCTTTGCTATCTAGTGTAGCGAAGGACATTGCATAGATGGTGGCCTGAAACAGGGCGGTACAATCCCATTCTTCATAGGAGATGTGTGTAGGAACTTTGGTTTTTCCGCCTTCTTCATTGTGAAACAAATTTCTTACTACAGTGGAGTCATCCCAGAGTTGATACCCAGGACGATGTCCAAATCTGTTGTCCCACATGGATTTGAACGTCTGACGCAAAGCATCGGCGAACTCATTGAGTACAATGGAGGCAAATTTGAAATAATTCAGCTGCTCGTTTGTAAACGGTTGTAGAGCCATGCTCGGCGTTAGCTCTGGAGATAGTGATCCTCGACCGAAATCCTGAAATAGATTCAATTTGTTCAAGCATACATACTTCTCAAGTGAAATTAAACAATGATTGATGTGTGTGAGGGGAAAAGGAAAAAAGTTCTTTCGTTATGTTATTCTCGTTCAAATAAATACTTTACAGGACATGCGCACCGGCTCTATAAGTCGTGCGGGACGGCATGGATATGGATAGTGGTTCTACAACTAAATACACTGGAGACAAAGTGAAAACTCCTCTCTACTTTATATTAGAATAAAGATGTACGTTTTTAATCTGCTTCCTGTTTGGGTGCCAAGTCCTAGCAAGTCCTTTGTAATTAAAACTAAACTGTTTCCCTTTCGAGGATCAAAGGAGGTTTTTCCGAGATATTGAAGAATTTGACGCCATAAGATGATGTCTATCTTAGAACTAAAAGTCCTTCAAAAATTCACTTTAGTTAGCTTGGTTTAGCGTCAAAACTAATTTTGTTTTTAAACCTCAACTCCACTTTAATGATACAGAATTTTCTTTGCCAGCAAACAGTTTGAAAAAATTTCACGTTTTCTTTGCCAGCAAACAGTTTGAATTAATTTCACGTCTGATATGATACTTTCACGGTATTTTGATTTCCATGTTTGTCAAATTTTGAAACTCTTTCAAGTTGCCAAAGACTGAATATTTCCTGTTGTAACTTCCTATAAGATATCCTAAATGAATGAGATTATGAACTTGCATGGCATGAATAAGAAGCACGAAGAAACAAATTATTGTGCATTTGATGAAAACAGGAAATTGAAGGGTACAAAAGATTGCATTTTTATTTATGCTAAAAGCAGCTTTGCATTCTCTGTACGTAAGATGATGACTGACAAACGTCAAATGCCAAAGGTCAAATCTTGTTAGTAACAGCAGTGATCAGAAATTGAGTGTTGTGCCAAGTCTAACAAGGTTTGGAGTTTCTTAGAGCTTACTTATCTTGAAATTCAAGTTAGAGCGAGAAATATCATGATGGCAGACGCACAAACTGATTATCTGAATGATTATTGGACGAACTGCAAGACTGCGACTCGAAATTTATCCGGAGACTTGGTTGAGGTGTTAAGACTTGTTATTCATACCGCACGAAAATTTTAAACCGTTAATATGCAAAATGCCTATGCAATGAAGAGTTCATTGTTCCCGAGGAATGTGGCGTGATGTCTACAGGTCAAACACACCTTGGTAAGGGAAATTTCCCAATTAATCTGGACAATATACTCAGTATTGTTCAATTTCCCTTTTGAAATAAACATGACCACTCTGAACAATGCTCTTCAAAATTCCCCGACTTCGTCTTGGGCAGACATAACAATTACAATCTTCAATCTTGCATCTTGAGCAGGCGTGTTTTTTGAGTTTTTAGTCTGTTGTTGTTTTCTTTTTTTGCACCTTTCAAGCAAGCAGAAGTAAGCGTTAGGTGAGCGCTATGGAACAAACACGCGATAGAGAAGGAACGATTTTTTTTCAAGCTCCACACCACGCGCGTGTCTGTTTCGACCTGCGCTCGGCTCGTGCTCGCCTGAAAAACATTAAAAGAAAAAAATTCATCTGTTTTACACGCTATCTTCGAGAAAGAAAATCACCACCATTCTTAGATCAAAGTGAAAGAACCAGTAACTTGTGCCAAGCAGTCAGTCAGTGGTGACGATATAAATAGAAGACCTCAGCAAATCACACAAATAATTTTTACTCTAAACCGTTTGGTAACGTGACCATAGCAGGTGACTGAAACAAGATTTTGCAAGCTTTCTTTTAATAATTATCTGTCCCGTATAGATCTTACATCTTCGCTTCACTTTTGAATTACCAAAACTGCACGGCTAATAAAGTCAGAAATAAACAAGGTAAGAGTGTTATGTTGGACTTTTCTTTTACAAATTGTAGTGATTTATGCCAGTTAACGGTTGTGACAAGTAGGCGCACCATGTATATTTCATAGTCGCTATCAAGTAAATTTTGCCGGACTTTGAGTTCGTCTCAAGATAGAACAACACAAATACACAAGGAAATTTGTACAGTAACTTTATAACCATCCTTTTTTCTTTTAAAAGCTTGAAGCTCAGTAGATTCTGTCATATCGATCATTTTTAAAACTGTCTTTGTTTTAACGCTACTTTTCGACATAGGAAAAGTATGTCGGACAAAAATATTGACCAAAAAATAAATATCTCTTTGCCAGCTTCAATAATGACAGGGAATTAAGTTTAGATGATAAAACAAAGGATTATGTTGACGGGAATACCGTAGGTCTAGTATATTCGTTACATGAGGTCACACAACTCGGGTAATATTCACGGTGAAAATTTGCATATTTGAGCGGTCGAACGAAAAAAATCATTTCTCGAAAACCGAAATAAATTTTTACAAAAAAACTACACCACAATTATTAGAACATGTTGGGCTATAAAATATGAAAGTAGGGGTGAAAGTAAAGTTTTGGTGACTTGCCGCTGTTTGTCTGATGCATGCTGACATTAGCTCTTCAGTGAAATTAAACAGCGATTGATGTATATGAGGAAACAAGTTCATTTGTCATGATATTCTCGTTTAAACAAATAATCATCGCATATGCGCAGTGGCTTTATCAATTGTGCATGACGTCATGGTACGGAGAGTGATTACACAACTAACTTAACTTGAGACAAAGTGAAAACTCATCTCTTCTTTCTGTTAGAATAAAGATATACGTTTTGAATCTGCTTTCTGTTTGGATTCCAAGTCACAGCGCTTAGTTATTAAAACTAAAACATTTCCTTCTCGAGGTTCAAAAGTTGTATGTCAATAAAATGCAGAAATCGAAGAAGACTCTGACGCCATATAGGATGAATGTGCAAAAGTCCTTCAAAAACTTCACTTCAATAAGCTTGGTATAGCGTCAAAACCTAGGTTTTTTTTTAAACCTCTAATACAGAGTTCTCTTTGAACTCCGGTTGATTTCTTTTAATAAGATGGTCGAAAGCATAAAAATGTAAAAATATCTTGCAGTTATTAATTTCCTACGCCTAAGTGACTTCAAACTTTTGGTGATTTTGCCAGCGTGTCAGCAGAATTATGTAAATTAGTCTTTTGAGCAAACTCCGACCGTATATATATGTAGCTTCCTAAATCTTAGATTTTAACCATTTAAAAATGAAAGGATAGTGGGGAAGAGCGTTTAGAACACACCAATTGATTCTCTAAACGTTTTAAACAGCCAAATTCTGGGAAATGATTCTGTCTCGCGACAAAAAAGGTGAACAAAACGTATTGAATATCATATTGATTAGCGTTCGGTTAACGTGTTAATGAGGAACTTTTTTGAAAAAAATTGGTTTCTACTCTTTTTATATTTGAATTTAGAAAGCTCAAGCTCTTCAAACCTGACAGAACATTTCAGAACCAAACTACAGGATTTTATTAAGTGTAACCGACGATAACACGATCATCAGATCGATCATTCTAGACAATCACAGTCTCCTTTTCGGCGAAGTCTGTGGTGCAGGTCGAAAAATATCAAGGAAAAAAAAATTTAAGTCAGTTTCTTACTCTAAGAACTCCCAGCGGCGCTAAAACCTTGTTTTTTTTTTCTTTTAGCTCGGACTTTAGCGCGACGGACTTCACCCAAAAGGAGGGACTGCACGTAATCTACAACAGCACAAACTGAAATTCACCGTGACCAGTGACTCAGTCACGTAATTCAGTTGTGTACTTTTTCTCTTTTAAATAAGGCAGCAATAACGCGATATTTTGTTCGGAATTTTAGCCTAGTTCCTCTAGGCTATCTACCAGCCGTGTGTGCGCTTGATGGGAGGAGAGAAATAAAGGACTTCAGATCAGCGAGAGGAAATGTCCAAAGTCCAGTGCAAGGTTTCAAAGCGTGCATTGACAGCATTACCGACGCGGTACAAAAGCTCTGCTCCTATGCGTTCTAGTTCATCTATAATTCGGAAAAAAATCTTTAACACCATCCGCACCCTCAGCTACAGTATTTTCTAGACTCCGCAATGATTTCCTCTGTGTGGCCTCATGAACCTCTAGTACTCTCCACATGGTGGATTTACTTACCGGTTGAAATTCAGTTTCTTTGCAATGTATTATTAATGATGGTACACATGGTTACTGTGCGCACCACGATAGGCATGACAAACTCCTCACCGCTTTTAAGGTTTAAGGTGCAAGTGCCTTATGAAACGAACAGTATATTAGACGGACATTCACGTTATAACAAGCAGAACCATTAACCATTTTAATGCAATAGCTGATCAACCTTTATACACACGGTCATAATTAAGCTTAATTATTCTAACACAGAGGTGAGACATACCACGAATAGTCAAAGTCTAATGATGGTATTTTATAATATGCACAAGCATTCGTCACACCTTACGCCACGTCTTGATGGTAATATGACCTCACTGTGAACTCCAAGAAGAGGTTCAGCTGAATCTGTTCCACACGGATTGTGTGCCGCGGGATTTTTTCAATAGGCACTCTGGGCCCCTCACTCTTCGTTTGTGCTCAGTGCCTTCTTCATATTTTTATCAAAAAGGTTTTCAAAGGGCCGCTGTAGGTGTATAGTTGCGTTGACTGAGAACCTATTAGCATAAATACTCAGGATTTTCAAAGGGATCTTTCCGATAGGCGACGAGAGGGGCTTGAAGGCCAACACCGAACGAAAGCTGTCTTACACTTCAGCTCATGAACTACGATCGCTTGAATAGCGCTTTACCATCTCTTGGCGCCATGGCATCGCACACCAGCTGGAAAGATTCTCCAGATTTTTTAACAAACTCAGATTTTTCAGTAAGGGTGCACTTTTCCTTCAATCTCTTTGGGATTCCAAATGTGTAATTCTGGGGCTTTCGTACAGCGTCGGCGATGCTCTCATTACACGTATCGAAACCTTGCACTGGATCTTGGACATTTCCTCTCGCTGATCTGAAGTCCTGTATTTCTCTCCTCCTACCAAGCACAAACACGACTGA